GCACGAGGGTTTGAAACACGCCTTGGGCCGTAAAAATCCATTAACGTTGAATAACGATCCCAACCGCTTTGAAAACAACAGTACCGTTCCAGAACGTAAAAAACCTTGACTAAACGCCCTGGGTCAAATTGTCACTATAACGCATGTGATAGGACCTTCTTGGGTCCGGTGCGGTCACACTAAGCGTCTCGGTCAGTATAACATATGCCAGTCTATCGAGAATGAGGGTGTATTTCTGAAAGCTACAGACAGATTATTTATATAATGCTGTGCTGACTTCAACGTTCATACCCAGCATGGTATAATTGATGACAGCATTTGGAGTCCAGCGGCGAGTCTTTCTTCTTTCAAATCTGGGTAAAAATTATACAGGGTACCTACATTTGCAATACAGTCACCGTCGTGTGTCATTCGAGTTTAATGAGCAGCCTTTTGCAACACATCTGCATACTGCAAGAAAGGAATGACAGAGGGAAACAATTGTTCAATGGTGAGGAAACACGTGGTAGCAATTCAAACTGCATAAAATCCATAAACATATAGATGAACGAAGCAAAGAAAGTCGTTTTTACCTGGAACGCATCTGGTTGCAACTCAAACTGCATCAAATCCAAGGCGACGTCGCAACTCTCTGCTACAATCAGATCCGGATCCTTCTGGAACTTTCTTAGAAGCTGCAGCGTCAATGGGTCTGCAAGGCACATAAAAAATCACAACACAACAAACCTCAGCACACACACAAACCCCTTGAAATTGGAATTAGCAGGCCTTGATCACGCCAACACAGCAAGCATGTGTTTCCTCACCTGCAACCGAGCCTAGAGCCACAGCAGCTTCGTGCCGAACCATGGCGTGGCATGACGTGTCTTCTAGCGCCCTGACAAGAGCTTGGGCGGCGGTTTTGTTCTGTAGCTGGCCCAAGACATAGGCTATCTGATGAATAGTGGGGGAGGGGGAAAGGGAGAATGGATGGGAGGAGGAGGGAAGGGGGACGGATCCCCCCTCACTGCAACGAATCTCAATCTCACACCACACTGCAGCAGATCCCACCACACCACAGCGCAGCATGTCTCACCACACCACACCGCACCATGTCTTACCACACCACACCGCACCATGTCTCACCACATCACAGCGCACCATGTCTCACCACACCACAGCGCACCATGTCTCACCTCGTGTCGCAGCAGAGCACTGGAGCAGGTATGAAGAGCCTCAACGATCGCAAACATAATGGTGTTGCTGTAGAGGTACACCAAATCCAAACACATCCAACCACATCCAACCCAATCCAACCGCACACCACACAGCACCATGCCTCACCTCGTGTCGCAGCAGAGCACTGGAGCAGGTCTCAAGAGCCTCAACAACCGCTCCCACCGCTGCATTTGCACCGCCACCATCACTACTGTTACCATCAGCAGTAGCACCCCCAGCAGCATCACCAGCAGCAGCACCACCACCAGCAGCTTCGGCACCACCAGCAGCACCTGCGCTGCCATTGCTAGTGGCAGCTGCTTTGTCTCTCAGAGCAAAGAGAGCTCCATAGCGGTCGTACATGTCTGCGTCTTCCCGCAGAAGAAGCTTCCTGGAAACACACAGCATGCGGGAAAACAGGGACGGAACCAGCATCATCACCAGAAGCAAAAACAGCAGTGCCGCTCTCGCACGCATGCACATAGCACCTTATGGCACATCCATACACAATCTAAACTTCATAAAAGTACCTGTGTTCATCTGTGCTTGCGTTCTTGGGTGCACTCCCAGCAGAGTCAACCAACAAGAACCATTTCCCCACCTGCACGCACACAGCATGGCATATCCGTACAGTACCTTACGTTTCAAGCTTCAGCTACCTGAGGTCGTCTGTGCTTGCGTTCTTGGGTGCACTCCCAGCAGGATCCACAGACATGAACCGCTTCCCCTCTGCTTCCCCTTGCCCCTCACCCTCATTCTCCCCCTTCCCCTTCTTCTCCTCCTCTGCTCCCCCCTCCCCCTTCCTCTCCCCCTTCCCCCCTCCCTCCGCCGCAGCTAGGCTGTCCTGTAGCCGCCGAACCGCCAGTTGGCACGTCTCCCGAACCTCGGGCGCAGGATCGGCGAGATAGGTTTGGAGGAGAGGGAGGGAGGATGCTTCACCAATAGCGCCAAGAGCCTCTGCAGCCTGCAACACGGGGAGTATGATTATGATACAGTCCAGTGCGGTGCAGAGCGGTGAGTCCGAGTTTTTAAACGGTTCCACGTTCCAACATCAGATCATGGGGAAACGGTGTGCTATAGAAGGGAGAAAGTATAACATAAGGAGGCCTCTCTATGCTACCCTGAGACCTAGAGCCCTGCTGCTGGCGGCACAGGGAGTGTGTGGGTTGAGAAGGGAGGGGAAGATGCGAGGAGGGAGGGCAAGGGATTGACATGGTAGGGAGGGAGAGGCAGTTTTCCTATGCTACCCTGAGACCTAGAGCCCTGCTGCGGGCGGCATCGGGAGTATGGGGACGAGTTTGGGGGAGGGGGAAGGGGAGAAATATAGAAGGGGGAGGAGGGTGTGGGATTGAGAAGGGAGAGAATCGGGGGGGGGGCGGGTTAGGGATTGAAATAGGGCAGAAGGGGGGATGGGGGTTGGACAGCGAAAGGGTAAAAGGCAGAGAGGTAGCGAACGGTTTCAGATGGAAAGTGCACGGTGGAGGGGAATGATTTTTTGGTAAGATAAACTGTTGAGTCGGAGGTTTTTATTGAAAAAAATCATAATACACTCTTTACATCTCATACCTTGACTAGCCAAGATCTTACCTCATGTCGAATAATGGGGTGGTATGACGAGTCTTTAAGCACCCGGGTAAGTGCGGGCACCGAGAAAACATCACCCATCTGCCCGAGAGCAAACGCTGCCTCGTGGGCCAATAGCACCGAGTTGTCCTCCATGCCTGTGCGGGTGAAAATCAGGGCAGGGAAAAGAACAGGCGGAAGAAAAATAGCAATGAGGACCCATTTTCAAAACTTCCTCTAAAGGTTAGACATCATTAAAACAGCAATGAGTGGCATGAGTGACAACTCCATAACCCCCAAGCCCTTCCGAAACCCTAGACCCCGTAGCCCAGAAACCCTTGACCGCCGATATCTAGTCCCGGTCATAGGAATCTCGTGATTCTGATCGCAGTTCCGAAGGAAAATTCTCTAACAGTTCCGCGGGTATCCGTCACTGCACGCTGGCCCTAATATCACAGTGCAGTGCGGTGCAGTTTGGTGCAGTTCGGTGCAGCACATTTGGTGCAACAACCATGCACATCACCTGGTAACGTACCGGAAATTCCAACAGAGTACTGCTAGTACGCGGCATCCCTGCTAGTGGCATATTCGCCTACCTTCTATAAGTGCCTGTTGAGGAGCTTCCCCCTTGAGGTTGCGCAAGGAGAAGAGGGCGCGGATGCGCTGCTCGATGGGCAGCGCGCGGTCGAGCAGCCGCTGGCGCAGCTCCGCAACGACCTCCCGCGCATCCGCGCTAGAAGCAGGTTCGTTATCGACAGCCATTCGCTAGCAGAAGGATACACGGATCGTGCTGGGAAGGTACTCAATCCTGTAGGAAACTATGATAGGAAACAAAGCAAGAGCACCTAAGAATCTGATGCAAAAACGAGGCACTAAAATTGTCCCAGCCGAACAACACGTTGCTCAATCTATATTTTGAGCTCGACTAGGTGATGGTTTCCATACTACTAGCTGTTGGTTGATTCGCAACCGGTAAAAGGTTCAATTCGGTTCTAAGGGCGCGTGTGGTCTTACAAATTTGTGAAAGTTTATGTTTTTAGGTCGAATGTAGCATTTGAACAAAACTCGACTTTCCTTGCAGCGAAGTTCGAATTTTGGGTCTCCAACACAGACGAGTCACAATCACACACCCAAGGTCGAACACAGAGATTCGACCTTTTAGGGAAGGCGGCGAGCCGCCCGTAGGGGCTGTAGGTTACCTGGTACAGCGCGACACGTCAAGGTAATACACAACGAAACTCCGCGACCTTCGCAAAGCACTCGTGATTTTCGGATGGCCTTCGTGCGTGCTGAAAACAACACACACTCGCCTCACGTGCACCTGCACGTTCACCCGTGTGATTCGAGTTGAGTTCACATTTGACATTCGCACTTCTGTGCCCCCAAAATTCTCATGCCTTCGCCAAAGCTTCTTGACGACATTGACGAAGCTGGTAACCACACAAAGTTCGACCTTTTTTCCGAACTTGAAAATAGATCACACGCGCCCTAACAGGTCAAGATGGTTCTGGCTGAATGTATTTTCGTGCCACGACATTTGTGGCTGGGCTGGGCTGTCAGACAAGGTGCGTTGTTCGCCACGCGGCTGGTAGTTCTGGCGAAAGGGTCTGTTCTCGCGATCAGCGTTGACGACATTGGTAACACAAGGGCGGTGGAGCACTCCTGAAATTTCAAGGCTGTCATAACATAATAATGATACACCCTCTTTCTCACCTATCTCACCGGCGGAAGCACTGGCTACAGTGTTTGGACGTAGCGGGCTGGTGAGATAACTCGGTTGCGGGCAAAGTCGCACGAGGGTTTGAAACACGCCTTGGGCCGTAAAAAACCATTAACGTTGAATAACCATCCCAACCGCTTTGAAAACAACAGTACCGTTCCAGAACTTAAAAAACCTCGACTAAACGCCCTGGGTCAAATTGTCACTATAACGCATGTGATAGGACCTTCTTGGGTCCGGTGCGGTCACACTAAGCGTCTCAGTCAGTATAACATATGCCAGTATATCGAGAATGAGGGTGTATTACATCTCCAGGACCAATAACCTGGGAATTGAGGGTGTTTTGCCTTGATAATAAAGGTCCTGAAATATTTCTTTCGCACAAACTCAATTGCGATTCAGCACGGTAACATGTTAGCAGAACCCAGAACTATGCAGCTTTCCACAGCTTGCGTGGTACGCAATTTAGCAGACCCAGGGAGGTGCGCAATATAGCCCTAAAACCCTGAACAAGAAACACCTAGGAGCTGGGGGGCGATAGGGTGGTGGGGGTGACCGGGTTGATTACGAGGAGTCGGGTTTGGTAGCGGGTGATTGTTGGTGGGACGTGGCTGGTGGGATGTGGCTGGTGGGATGCAGCAGCAGCAGCAGCAGCAGCAGCAGCAGCAGCAGCAGCAGCAGCAGCAGCAGCAGCAGCAGGAGCAGGAGCAGGAGCAGGAGCAGGAGCAGGAGCAGGAGCAGCAGCAGCAGCAGGAGCAGGAGCAGGAGCAGGAGCAGGAGCAGAAGAGGAAGAAGGAGCAGAAGTGGAAGACGGGGCACAAGAATCAGCAGAAGCAGTAGCAGGAGGAGCCTGGCATCCCCTGAGAGCGGAGAGCACCCAGGGGGCCTGGGGCTCAGAGGCGGATAGGAGGGCGGAGAGCACCCAGTGGGCCTGGGGCTCAGAGGCGGATAGGAGGGCGGAGAGCACCCAGGGGGCCTGGGGCTCAGAGGCGGCCCCTTACAAACGGCGTCTACGAGCTGCCAGAAGGAGGAGCCTCTTTCGCTGCACCAGCTGCAGCAGAGGCATTATCAGGAGTGGGTGGGGCAGCAGCAGCGGGAGCCCAGTGTCTTCTGAGGGCGGAGAGCACCCAAGGCGCCTGGGGCTCGGAGGGGGGCGGTGGAATCGATGGGGGGCGGCTGCGACGAAGCTCGTCGGGACGGTCAATGTACCTGGGAGGGAGAGTGAACGGCACAGAGAGACAGAGCATTAGGGGGTGGCAGTGTCTCCTGAGGGAGGAGAGCACCGAGGGCGCCTGGGGGGGATAGACGAGAGAGGCAAGACAGCGAGAGGCAAGAAGCGACAGCGAGAGGCAAGAAGAGACAGCGAGAGGCAAGAAGAGACAGCGAGAGGCAAGAAGAGACAGCGAGAGGCAAGAAGAGAAAGCGAGAGACAAGAAGAGACAGCAAGGCATAGGGGAAGATTAGCAAAGCATTGACAGAGAGACACAAAAAAAAACGGAGAGAAACCTATTGTGATATGGGCTTATACTAATAAACCCCTTGTGAGAGTATTGAACTTCGAATTTTTAAATGGATTGAGGTTTTACGCATGTACAGCGCATGCACGAATTGGAGTAACTTTGAAACGCATTTTTAACGCGGGGGGAGAGGGGGGAATTCGTACTCGATATAAGCCATGGGAGCCGCATCCCCAACGCGTGTCCGTGTTGGGAGCACTCGAGTGTAGCCTCCTGCTCTATCCCTGAAAACAAGGTTATCCACCAGAAAAAAGGGGGATGGGGAAAGGGGGGGGGGGAAGGAGTGTCCGCAATGGCATGTGTGTAAGAGTGCAGCTGAAACCTCCATTTCTATGTGTAAGGATGGATGCAGAAACGTAGCAAGCACAATCAGTGTACGTTGAAACGTCAAGGCTTGAGCAGAGAGAAATCACAGTGCAGCAGTGTTCACACCTACACAGTCTCTTCTCGTTACAGGCACACTCACTTGTATCTCTCTGACAGGTCGTAGAACAGCTTTTGTAGCACATCCTTCCCTCTCACCACTGCCGCTGCCTCCCTGCGTGATTGCAGCGTGCCCTGCACACAAGGAAGGGGGAATTGAGGGGAGTGGCGGGAGTGGGAGGGGGAAGGAGAGGGAAATTAGATGAGAGTATGGTTGTAGCACATCCTTCCCTCTCACCTCACCACCGCTGCACATGGTGAGAACATGGTTGTACTGGGAGGGGGATGGGGAAACTGGAAGGAGTGAGGGGGGCAGGGGAGGGAAATTAGGGTTTCGGGTTGTAGCACATCCTTCCCTCTCACCACCGCTGCTGCCTCCCTGCGTGATTACAGCGTGCCCCGCAATGATTAAGAAGGGGGGAAAGGTGGTAAAAGGAAGGGACAAATGTTTCCAGGGTAAGGGGACCATAGCATAGCACGTACGCATCGCATGCAGCAACCATAGTGCACGCAACCACAGCAGAGCCATATGGTTGCGTGCGTGATAACTCAACAACACTAACATCACGCACCTCCTTTGCGAGAGTGACCATTCGATCCGCAACAGATCTCAACTCCTTGGCCTGGCAGGTGGTGGGGAGAGAGGGAGAGGCAGGGGGCATTGCGGCAGGGGAGAGAGAGGTAGGGGGGAGGAGAGAGGCAAAAGGGGGGGAGAGGGGCAGGGAGGGAGCAAATAGAACAATCATAGCGCCGCCCTAGCGCACCGGACAGGGAAAGAGTGACCATTCGATCCACAACAGAACTCAACTCCTTGGCCTGGCAGGTTGGGGGGAGGGGCCGAGGCAGGGGGGGGGAGACAAGGGGCAGGAGATAGGAGAAGGGGAGTGCGGGGAAGAGACAGGAGGGGGAGACGCAGAATGACCATTCGATCTGCTGCGGACCTCAACTCCTTGACCTGGCAGGTTGTAGGGAGAGGTGGAGGCACGAGGAAACGAGATACGGGATGAGGAGCAGGGAAAGAGAGTTGGGGAGAGGTATGGGGAGGAGAAGGTGGGGGAGGAAAAAGCATGGGAGGGAGGAGGAAGGGGGAGGCAAGGGACGAGAGGGATGTATCTTGTTGAATCAAGAAAAAGGAAAGAGAAATCCAACCCTGTTTGCACAAATTTCAGTGGCTTGTTGTCGAGTCGAAACAAGAAACATATTTCAGTTTCTTGGCCGTATAAGTGAATGCCTTGGCGGCTGTGGTTGCAATTATTTTGAATGATTTATCTCCTACCTTGTGTAGGGGTTTTATCTCCTACCTTGGCGACTGTGGTTTCAATCCGCTCGTGCTGAATAAGCTGAGACACCATGGTGCTGCGGAGAGGGAGGGGGGATGGGGGGGTGTAAGGGGGGTTTGGGGACGGATGAGTGGGGGAAGGAGAGGGGTAAGGGGAATGAGTGGTTTCAATTTGCTCATGCTGAATAAGCTGAGACACCATGGTGCTGCAGAGAGGGAGGGGGAATGGGGTAAAGGAGGAGAGGGGGGGTGGGGGGGGGGGGGGGGGGGGGTAGGGATAATTCTGATCCGCTCGTGCTGAATAAGCTGAGACACCATGGTGCTGCGAGGGGGGTGAGGATGGGGGGGGGGGGGGGGTGGAAAGGAGGAGAGAGGGCGGGGGGAGGAGTTACTTCATCCGCTCGTGTTGAAAAAGCTGAGACACCGTGGTTCTGTGGGAGGGTGGAGGGGAGGGTGGAGGGGAGGGGAAGGGGGGGGGGGGGGGGGGGTGGTAGATGAGAGAGGGGAGGGTGGGGAAGAAGAAGGGACGGAGGGGGAGGAAATGATGGGGGGAACGAGGGTGGGGGAAGAGGCGGAGGGGGGAAGGCCTGGTTTCAATCCGCTCGTGCAAAATGAGTTGAGACACCATGGTGCTGCGGGGGGGAGAGGGGGGGAGGGGAGAGGAGAAGGAGAAGGGGAGGGGGGGAGGAAAGAGTGGGAGGTGTGAGAGTGGAGGGAGAGGGGGAGGCGGGAAGGGGTGGTTTTGATCCGCTCATGCTCCATGTTGCTGCGGAGAAGGAGGGTGGGAGCTGGGGGAGAGAAGGGGGAAGGGTATATTTATCCGCTTGTGCTGAATGAGCAAAGACATTATGATGGTGCGGAGAGGGAAAAAGGGAGAAAGGGGGAGAGGTGGAAAGGAGGGGAGGGGGGGAGAGGGGGGGGGGGGAGGGGGGAAACGGGGGCGGCAAGGGGGAAGGGGAGGGAGGAGAAAGGGGAAAAGGTCGCAAACCAAAGCACGCGGTGAAGCGAGCTCGCACTGTCGCGTGCGGTAGCGGAAGTTACGTCACCCCGCCCTCACTCCCCTTGGTTGGCCGTAACGCACAGCCACAACGGGAGATGTGACTAGCGCTACTTCCCAAGCCCCATACCGCGTCACGCCGCGCCTGTTCCGTAGCACGTCACGACAAGCTACACTATACCACCTACTTTTGAGTGGACTAGAGAAAAGCACCTCGACGTAAACGTCACCTCCGCCCCACGGCTCAAAATACCGCTGGTCGCCCCACGGCTCAAAATACCGCTGGTCGCCCCAGCGCAACCCCCACCAAGATCCGAGTATCCTGCATACCGCGTCAGCACAAGCAAGTTTGTACCACCTCCGTCCTACACCTCACCGGAGCAATCCCATCGAAATCCAACTATCCCGCAAACCGCGTCACCACAAGCTAGAGTGTACCATCTCCGTGCTACAGCTCACCGGAGCAATCCCCATCGATGGCTGCTCGCGCGACCCAGCTTGCGAAACGCGTTGCGGTGCTTCATCGCGACCTTCGCGAATAACTACAGTCGAAAGTTGATCGCGCAACCGCGACGATCGTGCTGAGGAGCAGAGCGTGTGAGAGGAGGAACTGTGTTATTTGTGTTAGCGGAGTTTCCTCCAATAAAGCGTTTCACTACGACGCTGGTCATAAGCATGTTTTTTACAAGTACACGAACTTGATACTTGAGTAACAACAAGAAGGTGCCCCAAAAAATGACGTCTGTAATATGGGGTTCTATTACCGGTTCAAAAGGAGTGTTATACCAGAAGACTCGAAATAAGTACATAATATATATTCTGTAGGTTCAGTTAGCATATAAATATTATTAATGAGTGGCCAACAATGTATTCAATGACACATTTCAGTAACTGCTTCCAAAAGGCTTATAGGTAGAATGTCATTATCCAAAACATTTTATTGTTTGTGAAACCAACCACAACAGAGGCGTGCCATTGTAAGATAATTGTCAAAATTGAATGAAGAATTACAACAGGGGAATGATATCGCAGCACTGTTTCCATACGTGCAGTCTTACATTATGAGCGATATAGCTATGGTGTGGCTACTGAAAGAATATAAGAAGCCAAAACTGTGAGGTACCGTATGTGCAATTGCATCAAACGTCAGGACTCAGGAAACAAAACGGGGACCTTCAGAGAACCCTCCCTCTCTTTCCCTGCAAAGACAAAGGCAGATGTATCAGGACCACATATGACAATGCGCTCTCCCTCTAAAATAACCAGAGCATGTCACTTACAGGAGGTGCTGCAACTGTGACCTCCAGCTGAAGCTCTTGTACAAGAGCATCTTCTTGCTCCGTTGCTTGATCTGCAGCACGCTTCACCAGGGAAGATGACACGCTAGTACCTTCCACAGAAAGAGAATGCAGTGGAAGCGTATACAGCTCGTCCAAGAGCTTGGTGTCAGGGTTCAGAGACCCAAAAAGCTTCAGGCCGAAATTTCCCTGTAAGATGCACACATCACATCAGTTATCTTCCAACTTTCAAAAAGAGTAACTAACCTGAACGCACCACAGCAGCAATTTCCTACCTTGGGTGTTATTAGCTTTCCACAAAGCCGGTCGATAGCAGTCACTGCCAGGATAGTCTGAAAGTAGAAGGAAAAAATAGAGTCAGAAGACAACCTAACTTCAGGGAATTACCGAGTGCTGCTTTGAACGGATTCCCACCTGCATGTAGGCCTCAATTAAATCATCCACACCAATACCAAGCCTGTTGAAGTCCCGGCTGTCCATCAGCAGCAACCTGTCTGTCTCCGTTCCCCAAGTCCCATCTGGATTCTGCAATCAAATCCATAAGAATAGGTCAGCTGCAATATGGGAGGCAACCTGTTGCATAAGGGTTTCCCAACAAGTCAGAGATTTGTGGTACCTTGTATGAAAGGTTGGTTCCAAGCATGTCCCATGAATGGATCCCACTCTCAAGCTTCTCAGCGAGTGGAAGCTTGGCTCTCCGTGCATAAATGGCCACGGGAAAGAAGCCACCTGCTCCGGACCCCACCATCATCCTCAGATCAGAGGCGTAGATGTTCCCTTTGCTTGTCGGAATCGTCCCCACGTGGTACAGCCTTCCACTCACACTCTGGGAGCTCCAGCCGTTGTTCCCAATCAGGGCCTGCAATAACGAGGACAGAATTGAGTCATCTGCACGACACTACAAATTCCGGCCAGAAATTGTAGGCAATGAATGAGACATAAGTGCCTAAATAAGTGAACTTCTCGCCCTTGAGGTACCTGAACAATGAACCGGTCATAACGCTGCTCAATCGCCATGAACTCCTTCAGCTCTTCGTCATTCGTAATCGTCCACACGCCCTGACCTGCGTTAGCATATGGAACCTTCACAACAGCCAGACCACCCATTCTGCCGACCCAGAGGGGAATTTCCGGCTTGGCGACATCCCAAATGGTCTCAGGAGTAAGGATGGAGAGTCCGGTTGATGCCAGCGCAGCGTTGTGAAGATCGTACGCTTTTGCTCCCACTGCCTTGTTGCGTCCGCCGGCCAAACAAGCAAGGACAGGGTTGAAAATCATAGTCCGCGTCACGGGAGGTATTCTAGTCCATGGCCGCTGAGTCACGTATCTGATAGCACCTCTAACTTGTCTCCACTGTGGCTCTGCAGCACCAGAATTCGTTGGGGAACATTGCTGCTTCCCTTCGCTGGAAGACGAGCTCGTACGTGAGACTTTCGCTCCTGCTGTAACAATTGGCACTTCCTCCTTCTGAGCCTTCTGGATGGCTCCAGCGATGTTGATCTCCAAGATTCCATCCGGACGCCACCTCCATTTCGGCTCTGGTTCATCAGCGTAGCAGGGAGTGAGGTAAATTTCTTCGCCCGTGAGATCCGCCAACGCTGCCGCATATCCTGAAGCCTCCATCTGATTCTTATCGTACAAAACAGTCAGAATCCCCTCTGGAATCTTCTCTCCATTCCATTTGCCAGAATTTAGCACCGGAAGAAATGCCTTTTCTAGCAGAGTCTTATAGCCGGCGTGCTCAAGGTCTTCGTTTTCCATGGGCATGGACTTCTGTCCTGAGGGACATGAGTTCGTCTCAATAACGACGAATCGCTTCTGACCCTTCTCGGTAGTCACAGAGAACAAGTCAGCTCCACCCCACTGAAAGTACCTGAACACGAGGAACCGATGGTTAATAAATGACATATTCAAATGGCGAATATGGTCTCAAAAATCGACGACGACTCACTTGCACGCATATGAAAGCGCCTCTTGAACCGCCTCTGGTTTTGCTGCAGGATGAAGGTGAACATATCTCTTGGCGATCCTCTCGTTTCCGAGCCCAAGAAACGACCTCACAAGAGGGTGAATCTGTGCATTGAGCACTCGAGGATAGAAATGCGAGGCCGGATCAAACGAACCGGGCTTGTACACTTCAGTCACCCTCAGGTCCCTCTTCAGCGGAGAAGGCGGAGGTGAAAGGCTCTCTTCCATTCCAGCCGGCGGCATGGTGATCAGCAGAGAGGAAATTGTCAGATAAGAAGAGCCAGATGCTGAAGTGGTTTTCAAGCTTATGCCGTACTACAGGAGGCCTGTGACGGTGAAATTGTGGACAAAACCACAAAAACAAGTTTCTCAGGAGCAATCAATAGGCATAAAACTAAAAAGCCGCCGTGACGATCAACTCGACTGGTCGTCGGCAGCCACCTGAGTGAGTGGTCTAAAAGCTCTCAAGCATCCAATATCTGCGTCTGCAAAGCACACGCTCAGGCAGAGTTAGTTAGTTTGGCTCATCATTTTCCTGCATGACTGGGAGAAATATTCCAGGTTCACTGGAACCAGCAGCTCCTCGTCATTGCTCAGTCCAGTCCAGTTCAGGCTTCTGCTGGGCTTGTTGGAGATTCCCAAGATGCGAATGTCTCTGGCGGTTTGATTCCACTGAACCGTGATTCCTCGCCATGCCGCGAATTGCGACTCGTGATGTGGAGTCTGCTGCTGGAGAGGGTGATCGGTGACGCGGCATCGAAGCCACATATGGCTGGTCAGACAATTCCAGCCACACGAAAGTGGCTGTCGAAGTGTTGCGATATTGAAAACACGAAGCATTTACACTACAAAATTTACTACAAAATATATAATATAGGCACAGGTACAGCAAAGTGACAACTAGTTTCGCTGGCTGGGAAACTCAGCACAAAGCTTAGTCGTCCCGGTAATGAGGTACATGTCGGCCTGATGCAGCTGCTTCTCCCATTTCAACATCTCCGCCACTTTCATCATCTCCATCTAGGAGCTCATCCTCCTCGTCGAACATCTCCATAAATTTCGCTGTGTCGCTGTCCATCCGTCGTCTGAAGAGTGGCCATGCTCCAGATTTCAGCCAAAAGGCAAGAAGGCCAGTGAGGCAGCTGATGCCAGTAACCACGGCAATCACTATGAGAAAAACGTTAAGTAGATTCACATTGTTGGTGTCTGTGCCCTCAAACTCATCTGTGGAGTTAGAAATTAAGGGGAAGAAAGGGGCAGCAAGCGAACAAAACTGAAACAGCACACCAAACAACTGTTCACAAATTTACTGTGAACATGTCACAATCCTGCTTTGGAGCTATCTGGCACAGATTCGGCTAAATTTAAGCAGCTACTTCTGGTAAAACACAATTCCTGTACGCCCTCTAACTGCAAAGTCAACTGGTGGAGGAAAACTGTGAAGCCAGGCACTTGGCACATAATTGCTGAACCTGTTATTCGAACTCTTAGAGTGCATACACCCACCATACCACACCGGTAGCACTTTTCTTTGTTCACTTCGTTGACTTTTGAGTCGACTCAAAAGTCAACATTTCCAATCCTTCAACCAGGTGGTGGCACTTTTCTTTGTTCACTTCTAAAACAGCATTGCTAACAAGATGAAGAGGAAGTGTACGTACCTCCAGAGGACCGTGAGGTTCTGTCAGAGTTGCAATGAGGGCAGACAAACGTCACATTCAGCTCGTTCTCCACGAGGCGAGTGAGGCGGCCAGATGGGGCGGGAGCGAAGTCCAGGGGACACAGGTTAAACTTGTCGAACGCATCGTCCTCTGTCAACGTGTCCGCGTCGTAGAAACCGCACTGCTTGCAGTGGCCCTCTGTGAGCTCCGTCAAGGGCTGCAGACAGGGCAAGAGGCACAGGTTGATGAGTGAGGCGGCCGGATGGGGCAGGAGCGAAGTCCAGGTGATACAAGGAGAAGCGGTCAAACACATCGTCCTCTGGGGCTCACACCGAGGACCGACCTGAAAGAACTCCTGCAGAGTGCCCACCTGAAAAGAGATCCTGCAGAGCACCCACATGGAAGAACTCCTGCAGAGCACCCACCTGGAAGAACTCCTGCAGAGCACCCACCTGGAAGAACTCCTGCAGAGTACCCCCACCTGAAAGAACTCTTGAAGAGCACCCACCCGGAAGAACTCCTGCAGAGCACCCACCTGGAAGGGCTCATGCAGAGTAAAATTGTAGTCCACATTTGCTTCCACGACACCGTCGAGCTGGTGCTTGGGCTCTCCCTCGCACTGGAAGTACACGGATGGCTTCCAGAAGGGTAGGTCATGCGTCTGGAAGATCTTGATGCGCTGAAGCCGCACCACCGCGGCTGGTTTGGAGAAACGACACACAGGGATTTGGCAGCAACGGACGGAGAAGGAATATGGAGCGAAATCGTAGACGGCAAGTGCTATGAATAAATGCGTCGAGCTGGAGCTTGGGCTCTCCTTCGCACTAGAAGTACACGGATAGCTTTCAGAAAGGCACTTAATGCGCCTGGAAGAACTTGATGCGCTGAAGTCGCACCACGGCAGATGGTGCGGAGTGCACACACAAGGAATTGATAGGAGAAATGGATAGGCACGTGACTTGCGAAAGAAAGCGCCAAAAAAGGTCGTCGAATGTGCATCGACGGGTACGTGAGGAAAGTTTTATAGCCTGGAAAAGAGCACTATGGATCTAAGTCTGGAAAGTTGACGTGAGAGATTCACAGACAGTGAGATCTTGTCGACAAGCGCATACCTTTTCGCTAGATAGAAAGACCATCTCAGAGCTTGATGAAAAGACGAGGTGAGTGCGTGCCCGTTCAATGTGAGATCGCCCTGAGACTTATAGCCTCGAGTACAAAAACGGCACAATTTCGCGAATCGTCATCTCACCTTCAGAGAGAAAGGGCAAGAAGACGGCGAGCAAAAGGCATGTTAGAATGCAGCTGAGCGATAGACCCCTCATAATATCTAGCCCTAAACTGCAGCAAGAAGCACGAGAATCTCTCTATCGAGTTTCGCCGAGTGAAAGACTTTCAGGTGTTACTACGCTCGACTACGTCTTGGCGATAGCTTTGATAGAAAAAGGCAAGTGATGAGGACGATGGGGCATCTAGGAGTTGATTTCCAGTTTATATTGGTCGGTGCGTTGCGTTCTGTAGCGGTAATTATTTGGAGACACCACTTACCGCGAGAAACACCTATTCAACCGTACTGTACGATCACCGCGGAAATGCCTGCCAGAATGGTTGCACATGCTCCTGCCTGCATCTAGAATCTGAATGAACCTAGTTCGACGACGTCACACCGAGGAACGAGGTTTGGGAAAACGTGTAGGGCATCCAGACCACAAGCTATGGGATCTGGATTCTGGAGGTCTACAGAGGTAATGCTTCCTATTTCATTGGAGCAGATCTCCACATAAGCTTCAAATCTAGACGATATCGAAGCTCGCTGAAAGGAGTACACTTACACAATGTTGCCTGGTTGTTGTCAGTCGCCAAACCAGGCCAGGCCGTGAAGCAAAACCAGTCAGAAAGCATCCGAACCAGTGGTTTTGATTCCGCTTTTGCTGTTCGGCCGAGCCAATTTATCCGAAGCTGTTGTCCTGCCAACGGCCTTGGGAACGCCCAACCTATAGATTGCAGTTGCTATGAGTCTAGTTTCCGTCAGTTTCTAGGTTCTATTGTGGTGTTCCTTGGCAGTCTGCTTCTTGCTTCTAAATAAGTTAGGCTAAACGTTGCTCATTAGTCTGGCAGTGAGCCAGATCGCAAATTCCAGTGCGGAACTTTACGGTGCCAAGCCTACTTGCCTTCTCATTGTGAAGCTCATTTCGGGAACCTATTCCAGCCTATTCGAGGATGTATCCACTCGAAGAAAAAATGGCTCAAGGGTGAAGTAAAGCCTCCAATATTCACGCCAATTCAACACCGTCGACTCTTTTTATATTCCCATGCTGTAGCCTGAGAAACAACAAACCAAAAGACCTTCGAAGGCGTTTCGCATGGTGAACTGCCAATAGATCCGTTAACATCATGTGGAGCACATTCCGCAATCTGAAGAACAACATCTCGGCGATCGCTTCGGACGTTCTTGACACCGCGGAGGAGCTCGACTTTTGACGCGCCTCCAGAATATATCCGTTAACATCATGTGGAGCACATTCCGCAATCTAAAGAACAACATCTCGGCGATCGCGTCGGACGTCCTTGACACCGCGGAGGAGCTCGACCCTGGCCTGTTCGGCAGTGGGCCCGGCTCGCCGTCTCACCAATCGTCTTCGGACTCCTACTCCGAAGGTTCCTCTGCTGACTCTACCCCGGAGAGGCACGGCAAAGCGGGTCCCGAGGTAAGTGTTTGTACCATTCCGTTCGTATCACCGCTTCGTTCATGTATCCATGCTATGTCAGGAACAACTCTGTCCCCCTGCTTTTGCTTTAACCCCAGATGTCTCTCGCACGCCCTAATTCGCCATTTGGTAACCACCTTTCGCCGTGTCACAGGATCCTTCGCAGCTGCAATGGCCAGGGCAAACAACATCAGGGTTTCGGGCCAAACGAGGCCCTCTCCCCTTCCATCAACAATCAGCCTCTCGCCTGCAAGGCACCCCGGACCCTACTGTAACGAGGCTTTTGCCTGATACATCTCAAGATTCTCCTTCAAACCCAAATTCAGGGGCTCGGGACGATGCTGCTGAGGCGTCACACCGTGCCAGTCAGGGTAGTCACATTCAAAGTAATCACATTGGAGATCCAAACCAGGTTCCACATGGAACTTCTAATCTCCAGCACCCTACTCAACCACCACCCACCACTGCTGGAAACGCGGCCTATCCTGCGGGAAACACACCTGCGGGAGGAAAGGGAAACCCCTTTGGCGCACCCCTGTTTCAAGCCAGCTCTGGAGGAGTGAAAGGACAACCGCAGGAACCACATCGCCAGCAGCACCAGCAGCAGCAGGAGGAGTTGCAACAGTCGCACCCACAGCGGAGACCTGTTGCATCGGCTGCTGGCCTTCCCCCCCACGGACCTCCCCCCCACGGACCCTCCCCACACGGACCTCCCCCCCACGGAGCTCCCCCACACGGACCTCCTCCAAATGGCCCTCCGCCTGTCAGACCTCCCCGCAATGCACCTCCTCCGGTGGGACCTCCCCAGTTTGGACCTCCCTCTCATGGCTCTCCATCATCTATCCCTCCCCCAGTAAAGCCTGCCCCAGATGAACCTCCCCTTGGCACGGCTCCTACCTTTGGTGGCCCAACTGCTTTTGCACAAGCACCTGCAGCAGGTGCAGCAGCAGTGCCGGCGGCGGCGCCAATATCAGCACCAGCAGTGACATCTGCAGTCACGTCAGCTGTCGCGTTAGCAGCAGCAGCTGGGGTCAAGTCAGCAGAATACGGATTAGCATCAGCACCAGCTGCAGAGGAGAGGGGGAAGGGAGAGGAGGAAAGGTCGCAGGCGGGGGAGAGAGCGGGAGGGGTGGTGAGGTTAAGGGAGGAGAAGCAGAGACTGGAAGGGGAACTGAGGGTGGTGAGGGGCGAGATGGAGAGAGAAAGGGAAGCTGCAAGGAAGCTGGCACAGCAGATGACAGGTGAGGACTGAGGACAACCTTCCTCCACCTCAGCTCAACGCACCGGACCTCACCAACTCTCACCACAACCCACCCCACCCAACATCATCACCACACGTTTGCACACCCCACACACCACACTTCACCACAGCACACCTCACCTCTCCTGTCTGCGGCTACCTTCCTGTCTTTCCCATCAACCTCCATCTCCCTTCTTTTCATCCCGGCCCTTCCCCTTTCTTCCCCTGACACTCACCCACTTCCCCCCATCCCCCTTTCCGTTCTCTCCGCCCTCGTTTCCTCCCTCTATCTGCAACCGTTTTCGCTCCCTCTTGTGTCCCTTCTTGGCTTTCCGGCAGGCGGTCGAGAGGGGTGGGAGTCAGCTGTGCAGGAGTGCAGCATTCTCAAAGCCGAGAGGCAGCAAGTGAGTCACAGCCACATGCATGCACATGCGTGCACACATTTCTATTCTTGCTGGTTGAGGAAGAAGGGTGGGAGTCAGCCGTTCAGTAGTGCAGCATTCTCAAAGGCGAGAGGCAGCAAGTGAGTCACAGCCACATGCATGCACATGCGTGCACACATTTCTATTCTTGCTGGTTGAGGAAGAAGGGTGGGAGTCAGCTGTTCAGTAGTGCAGCATTCTCAAAGCCGAGAGGCAGCAAGTGAGTTACAGCCACATGCATGCACATGCAGGCACATAGACAGAGTAGGGGCCACATAGACAGAGTAGGGGCCACATAGACAGAGTAGGGGCCACATAGACAGAGTAGGGGCCACATAGACAGAGTAGGGGCCACATAGACAGAGTAGGGGCCACATAGACAGAGTAGGGGCCACATAGACAGAGTAGGGGCCACATAGACAGAGTAGGGGTCACATAGACAGAGTAGGGGCCACATAGACAGAGTAGGGGCCACATAGACAGAGTAGGGGCCACATAGACAGAGTAGGGGCCACATAGACAGAGTAGGGGCCACATAGACAGAGTAGGGGCCACATAGACAGAGTAGGGGCCACATAGACAGAGTAGGGGCCACATAGACAGAGTAGGGGCCACATAGACAGGGTAGGGGCCACATAGACAGAGTAGGGGTCACATAGACAGAGTAGGGGCCACATAGACAGAGTAGGGGCCACATCGACAGAGTAGATGTGCACAAGGGAGCTGAGTAGGATCTTGACGCCAGACAGCAGCTGCACTACAACCCACCTCACCCCACCCCAACCCACCCCACCCCACCCCACCCCACACCACCCCATCCTACCTCACCCCAAGCCCCCCCATCCCATCCCACTACACCCCACCCATCCCTACCCCAACCCTGCTGGTCAACGATTTGGCAGAGGAGCAAGAGGCAACAGAAGAGGAGTCGGCAATCAGACAGCAGACAGAGGAAGGGTAAAGAAATCGAAGGCTTTCTTATACTCACTCAGTCGATTTGTTACCCCATTTGCTTGGCCCCTTTCCTCTTCCCACCCCAGCCGTTCAACGACTTGGCAGGGGCGCATGAAAATATCAAAGAGGAGGCAGCACAGCACCACATCCCCACCACCCCCTCCCCTCCTTCCCGCCCTTCACCCCAGCTGTTCAACGACTTGGCAGAGGCGCATGAGAAGATCAAAGTGGAGGCAGCAGCACCTCCTCCCCACCACCCCCTCCCCTCCTTCCTGCCCTTCACCCCAGCTGTTCAACGACTTGGCAGAGGCACATGAGAAGATCAAAGTGGAGGCAGCAGCCCGGCAGCAGACAGAAGGGGCGCTGAGGCAGGTGGAGGCTCAACTGGCGCAGGCAGTAGCTGCTGCTGACGCCTCCAAAGCCACGTGGCAGGTACTGATGATGTCAGCAAACACAAGGCGTTTTACGAACAAGAGAGAGAGAGAAAAAGTCTCCCCTTTTTCTTCACTCGTTTTTTTGTCACTTTATAGGAGACAAAACGTCACGAGTTCACCTTGTGATTTCACCACATAACTTCACCTTTTTCTCTTTCCATATTTCTAGAAAGCATGACACTGAAACATTCTTGCGTTGCGTCTCTTCTGTTTTTCTCAACTCGCAATCCCGCTCTCCTCTCAACCCTTTCTTCTCCCACCCCTCTCGTCTCTCAGCTCGCTCTCATACCCTCTCTTCTCTCACTCTCTCTCCTCTAACCTTCTCTCTTTCCAATCCTCTCCCCCTTTTCGGCACTTTCCAGGCCGAACTGCAGCAGCTCTCGCGCCAGCTCGCCGAGGCTCGGGCTGCCGAAGCTGGGGCTCAGCTTCGGGCCGCCTCTGCAGCTGCTCCGGCGGCTGCGGCCGCAGCTCAGTCAGAGGAGGTGCGTACCTTGCACGGGAATGGTGGAGGTCGTGTGAGCATGCTTGTGTCACTTTTGTCATCTTCTCAATAATGTCAGAAGAGGTGTGTATCTTGCATGGGAATGGTGGAGGTCGTGTGAGCATGTGGTTTCTTAAGGTCTAGCTTTTGAGGCGCCTAAAAAATCGGCAAGTCAGACGAGGTGTGTACCTTGCATGGGAATGGTGGCGGCATGCTTGCGCTACTTTTGAGGCTTATGAGTCAGCTTAAGAACCCCATAACACTTCCCTGTGCCTCCCCCTTTGCGCTTCCCCGGTGCTCCACCTCTTTTCCCCTCCCCACTATCGCAGCGATCCCAAATAAAGGCGAAAATGCAAGCAGCTGAGAAATCCCTTTCCTCCCAACGCACCTCCTTCCAGACCTCCCTTCCTCTCTGCCTCTTTCCTCCCTTCCCTCCCTATGCCCCTCCCCACCATCGCAGCTATCCCAAGTAAAGGCGAAACTGCAGGCAGCAGAACAGGCCCTTTCCTCCCAGCACTCCTCCTTCCAGACCTCCCTCCAACAGCTAAGGGAAGAATGTGACCGTCAGGTGAAAGCAGCAGAGGCCCAGGTGAAAACAGCAGAGGCCCAGGCGAAAGCAGCAGAGGGCCAGGCGAAAGCAGCAGAGGCGAGGAGGAAAGAAGCGGAGGAAGCAGCAGAGGCGAAGGCAACAGCTGCAGTAGTAGCAATGGAAGAGCAAGCAGTGAGACGGATAGCAGTGGCAGTGAGAGCGGCAGAGAGGGAGGCAGAGGAGAGGAGAGCAGAAGCAGAGAAGGAAGCGGAGGCGAGGAGAAGGGAGATGGAGGAGGCAGCGGCGGCGCAGAGAGGGGAGTTAGAGGGGGTGCTGAGTGCGATGAAGGGGGAAAGGGACAAGGCGAAGCGGGAACTGGCGAGGCTGAAACAGCACCTGCTGGAGCTGGTGAGTTAGAGGGATAGGGGGGGAAGGAGAAGGGATCTCCTGAAAGCAAACCAATTTTGATTGACTTACTACTCTAGCCCTCCTGTGTTGAATCGGAAGCATATCTTGAGACTACTCCATATATGCCCACGCACCCACCATCCTCCAACCAAACCAAACTAGTTTTTTCATTCCTTTGGAGAAACAGTTGAGGCAGGAGGCAGTCATGGTGTAGCACGAGCATCCTGTATGCACCCCTTCCCGTCTTCCCCCCTTCCCCCTTCCCCACCCCCGTTCTTTTTCTCTCAGTAAACCGCCGAATCAGTTAAAAGTGGTGTAGCACGCACTGCGCACATTAGTGGTGACTAGTTCTCTCAGTCATGGTGTAGCACGCACCCCTTTTTTGTACTCTTTCGGGCCCCCATTCTGCGCCCCCCTCCCCTCCCCATCCCACCCGACCCCACTCCTCCATCTCCCTCCCCCCACTCTCCCCCTCCTTTTTCCTCTCAGGAAAATGCCGAGTCAGCCAAGGTGGAGCATGAGACCGACCAAATCAAATCCCTCGAGGCGCAGCTACAGGACAAATCCCGTGAACTGGCAGCTCTGCAGTCCGCACTAGCAGACGCACGTTCCGCCGCGGAAGCTGCCAGGAAAGAGGTGGAGAGCCGAGCGAAGGAGGTGGGGGAGGAGGGAGCGAGGAGGGAGAGGGAAAGGGAGGAGGCGGAGAGGGAGAGGCAGGTGCTTCGGGCCGAAATTGAGGCTCGGGATCAGGAGCTGAACAATCTTCAGGCGGCCCTGGGGCATTTCTGCGCCGAAGCTGAGGCTCAGGTATGGTGGGCCCTAGGCAGGTGCTTCGGGCCGAACTTGAGGCTCGGGATCAGGAGTTGAACAACCTGCAGGCGACTCTGAGGCAGTTCTACGCCGAAGCTGAGGCTCAGGTATGCCCTCGGCAGAATCAGTTTGTCCATCTGTATTTCCTGTTTCTGTGCATTTTGGTGCGCTCAAACAGTTGCCCACCAACTGAATCAGTTGCTTGTCTGTGTTTCTCATTTGGTGCATGCTCTCTTTGGACGTGCAGAGCAATCTTTTAGTCAACTCATGAATCGATTGCCTGTTGCTGCTGTCTGTGTGTCTCATTCTGGTGCCTTCTCCCATCGGACGTGTGCAGAACCGGTTGGCAGCAGAGCTAGCGGCAGCACGGGACGACAACACCAAGCTGGCTGAGCAGCTGCAGGTCAGCGCTTGCTCCTTCCCTTCCTCCCCCCCTCCTCCCCTTTTATTCCTAGTTGTTCCTTCAGTGCTTTCCTGCAGCCGGCAGCAGGGCAGCAGAGCTAGCGGCAGCACGGGACGACAACACCAAGCTGGCTGAGCAGTTGCAGGTCAGTGCAGCGACAACACCTATAGCTCCTTTGCAGCGAGTTTTCTCAATTGTTGTCGCCTTGCAGCTGCTCAGACAGCTGGGTCAATTTAGGAATTCTCGGGTATTTTGAGAATTCACAGGCATTTCTTGGAATTGTGGGGCACCGAGTTATGTTCTCAAAAGATCCTGCAAATCCTTGGCAGCAACGCAGATATAGAGGCGGCTAGGCATACCAGCTCTCCAAATGCGCTGAGCAGCTACTGGTTTGTCGTGAGCCATCATATGTGCAGAGCAGCACCTGTTCCGATCCGAGTCCCAAGTCTCAAAAAAACCTTGGAGACGTCTCAAAAGTCTGAGCAGCTGCAGGTGTGTTGTGAGCCATTCATCCATCATATGTGCAGTGCAGCACCTGTTCTGAGACTGAGTCCCAAGCCTAAAAAGGCATCTGCCAGCAGGTGTTTGCTTTTAAAGCGCCTCAAAAGTGTTTTCTTCCCTCGTCTCCTCCTTCGCCCTTTCTCCCCTCCCATCCCACATCCTTCCTTCCCACATTCCCTCCCTCTTCCCGCCCCCCTTACCGGTTGGTGCGGGACCTTGCAAGGAGGAGGATGAAGGAGCCACAGGCAGCAGAGGCGAGAAAATGAGCTGTTTAAAGAGAGAACGGTGTTGCTTAGTCGTTCCCCCCGCCTTTCCCCTCCCCTCTACAGTTGGCAAAGGACCTCGCAAGCAGGAGGGCGGAGGAGGTAGAAGCAGCCGAGGCGAGAGCAGCAGAGGCAGAGAGGGGGAGAGCAGCAGCGGTGGTGGGGGAGCAGAGGGCGGGGAACGAGCTGTCTAAGGTCCGCCAGGCTCTGGAGCAGTGCATGGTGCGGCTCAACAGAATGTCTTCTGATTCTGACTTCACTGTAGACAGGTGAGAAGCAAAAAAATGTAATGGAAGGGGGATTATAAAGGGGATATGTTTGCTGGAGCAGTGTATGATGCGGCTTAACAGAATGTCTTCGGATTCTGACTTCACTGTAGACAGGTGAGAAACAGATTTAAGAAGCGCCTCATAAGGGGGATAGTCTTTTCTGGAGCAGTATATGGTAGTGTGTTTCTCAAGCGAATGCCATCGCACTCAGGCTTCACTGTCGGCAGGAGAGACACAGAGACGATATTAACAAAAGCGCTTATGAAGGGTATGGATCTGGGTATGGATCTGGGAGCAGTGTGTGTTCCGGATCAAAAGAATCTATTCTGATTCAGAATTCTCCTTCCCTCCGCCCTCACCCTCTCTGTTTGACTTTTTTTGTGTCGTGGAACTGCGTGCATGTGGAGCAGGAGAATCGTGATCAAGCTTCTGGTGACTTACTTTCAGCGCAAGCACAGCAAGGAGGTGAGTGGTGCAGCCTTTTCAGAAGGTAGTTTTCAGGTGAGTGACTTTCGAATCTGACTGTTTGTGTGTATCTATGAAATTCGTTTTAGGTGGGCTTGGTTCCCTGTACTGTGCTCATGGTACCACACTACTTTGCTGCTCTGTTACCCTGTTACCTGGTTACCGCACACGCTCCCAGGAATAAATTTATTCCTGTTTCCACGTTTCTCCCTTTCAAGGTGTCTCACAAATTTGCTGCTCTGTTACCCTGTTACCTGGTTACCACACACGCTCAGGTGCTTGACCTCATGGCGCGTATCCTGGGCTTCTCAGAAGAGGACAAGCAGCGGGTGGGGTTGGTTGGCAGCATGTGGTAGGGGGTTGTTGCAGGCGCCTTGACCTTCTATCTCTTTTACTTTCTTGTGGTCCCCTGTTACCCGGTTACCTGGTTACCACGTTCAGGTGCTTGACCTCATGGCTCGGATCCTCGGATTCTCAGAGGAGGACAAGCAGCGGGTGGGGTTGGCAGCAGCAGGCCACATGGGGGTGGGAGGAGGAGGAGCAGGGGGTGTGAGGGGCGTGTTTGGGCTGCCTGGGAGGCTGGTGGGAGGGCTGTTTGGAGGGGGAGCGAGCGTGGGAGGAGTGGGGGGAAGCACTGGTGCCCTGGCGAGCATTGCAGACGACAGCACGGTGAGTGGGGCGTGCTTGGGCTGCTGAGGAGGCTAGTGGGAGGCTAGTGGGAGGCTAGTGGAGCACTGGGGCTCTGGCGAGCACTGCAGATGATAGCACGGTGAGTGAGTGGCGCACAGGGTTGTTTCTTAGTGGGCCGTGTTTGGGCTGTATGGGAGGCTGGTGGGAGGACTGATTGGAGGAGGGGCAAGTGTGGGGGAGTGGGGGGCGCACTGGCGCTCTTGCGAGCATTGCAGACGACAGCACGGTGAGAGGGTTGTTTGGCACAGTGAGAAGGGTGTTTGGCACGGTGAGAAGGTTGTTTGGCACGTTGAGAAGGTTGTTTGGCACGTTGAGAAGGTTGTTTGGCACGGTGAGAAGGGTGTTTGGCACGGTCAGAAAGGTGTTTGGCATGGTGAGAAGGTTGTTTGGCACTGCATCCCTCCATTGTCAACCTCCAACCCCCTCCTTTCCCCTACAGACCTTCACAGACCTCTGGATTGACTTTCTCCTCAAGGAATCCGAGTCACGGGAGCGTGGGGAGATGCCCGCCGACCCCTCGTTACAGTCACAATCAGCCAGCCAGCAGCAGGGGAAGCAGGACCTGTCTCGTTTCAGCCAGCACCACCCGGACCACCAGCAGCACCGCCAGGAGCTTTTGCAGCAGCAGCAGCAGATGCACCAGCAGATGCACCAGCAGTCACAGCAGCAGACGCAGCATCAGCAGGACCGACAGGCAAAGCAGCGATCCTCCTCCCATCCCTCCTCCCCGCGCTCCTCTTTCTACTCCCCTTCTCCCTCCAGCCCGCCCCGCTTCCCCGGCTACCCTGCCTTTTCCGCCGCTCCGGGCAGCCCGCCGAAATATTTTCAGCCCGTGTCGCCCCGGGCGTCTGGAGGCGGTCTGGGCGGCGGGGCAGGCGGATATGTTTTGTCTCCAAATGCGGGCAGGTGGAGAAGCAGCACGAGCCCCCAGAGAGAGTCCTCCCAGGCTGTAGCGCAGTATGTGGCATCTCCGGTTGTAGCAGCACCAGCACCGGCTGTAGCGGCTATATCCCCGGCTGTAGCGCTGGGGTTTTCTGCAGCGGGGTTGCAGCAGCAGGCAGGAGAGAGCTACAGCTACCGAATGTCAGACCACAACCCAGTTGGGCTTGCAGGGACTGCATCAGCAGCTGTAGCAGCGTCTGCTACAGCTGCTGCTGCTGCTGCTGCTGTGGGAGCAAGAGCAGGGGCAGAAGGAGGAGCAGCGGGAGCAGGAGTGATAGGGGGCGGAGGAGGAGGAGGAGGGGAGCTGCCATTTATTGCAGCAGGGGCCCAGACCTATAGGGATCCGATGCACAGCCTCCCATCCCCTTACCTGCCTGGCATCCCTGGTCTCGGCCCTGGCATGGCCGGTACACATGGAATGGGTGGCACAGGTGGGATTTCAGGTGCCGGCACAGGTGCTTCAGGTGGTTTCTCAGGTGGTCCAGTCACCACAGGGATGATGGGTGGGGGGTCAGCAGTGCCAGGGATTTCAGGGGAGCTTTGGAGTGGGTCGGCAGGGGCAGGGGGAGGTATATCTGGGGCAGGTGGGATTATGGGCAGTGGACCAGGAGCCGTGGTGGGAATGTCTTCAGGAATAGGGTTACCACAGAGTGGAAGTGGTAATGGCATGTTACAGGGATATACACCGCCGAGCATGCACAGGCAAGGGTCTGGTGGTATGAGCAGTAGCAATGCGCTGTTCAGTGCAAGTGGGGGAGGGATGGTGGGGGTGGCTATCGATGTGGACTTAGATGGTAATGGTAACGCGTCAGAGTTTTCATCTGTACCTTTAAATATGGGCCCAGGGCAGAAGGCCACTGCTGCGTTGTCGTCGCTGTCGGCTCGTAGTGGTCAAGTGGTGGTGAGTGCAGCTCGGAACCTGTTTGGGCAACAGGAGAGTGAGTCGGCGCTACAATTGTAGGCTCTTCCTGGGAGTGTGACAGCGCCTCATTAAACCTGAATTTATCGTGTTTGATATTGGACTGGACAGGATATAGAACTAGCTTATCATCAAGCCATTGGCAATATCTTATGTAACAACATTGTGTGATGATTTGTTATTTTTGGTTACCAGTCAGTACTCACTTTTACTGTACAGAGCAGATTGCGAGAATCCTACGGAGACCGCATGCTGTCGAGGTCGCTTTTGCTGACCTGTCGATCGGTCTCAAAGTATAACTTGATTGCGATTGGCTGAAAGATTCAAAAGCCATCGGAAATCCGTGGGTCGCTCGCAGCCTCTCACCACGCGAAATTTCGCACGCGCCAATTCAGGCTCGACTGACTCGAAGCAATTCGTCCAAAATGTGCTGTTTCGTTCCGCCAATCAGGCACTGAGCCGTTGGGTGAGGAGCGACCACGTCACTCGCTTCCAAGTGGGATGAGTTACAGTAAAAGCAAGCCAGTGTTAATCCACGTGGCGTGCCAATAGCCCGAGGTGGATTTTTCCCCTTACCTGGACAAATCAGAGAAGAGCTCAACGCCTTATTGACTCAGCCCGAATCCTGAATGCCCAGTTTCTGGCTTTGGGCAAGCATCCCATCCCAGCCAGCCCATGATCCCACCCTCTCTTGCATTCATGTGCACAGCCGTGATTTCCTGTTAACACCTGGTGTAGTACGATCTGGTACGTTAAAGTGTGGTTCAGTGTGGTAAAGCGCCTCAGTCCGAGGCTGATGCAGTTAAGTGGGTCTTTAGACAGCTCGTTGCAATGCATCAGGACTGAGCATTGCAGTAGTTTCTAACAGCTCATCAGTACGGAGCAGCATAGCAGTAAGGAACAGAGCAGAGCAAAGAGAGTGATACATTAGGGTTGCTAGTAACGGACAGAAATAGTATAGGACGTTCAAATTCCTAGATTTGTTGTCAGGGTCATTGGTGTTGCCGAAGCGCCTCAACTGCGAGGCTTGTTGATGGTGCCTTAGCGGACTTGACCAGCTTCCAGTTTGCGGACCAGCTAGCGCTGCTGCTGGTTCGAAAGGCATTACTCGTGTCTAGTATCTCGTTCGTTCCGGTCGTGAGGTTCCTGAATTGCATATATTGACAGTTGCCGTCCAAGACGTCAATTAGCTATTCAATCCTAAATGTCGACAGATTTCATGGCTGCCAAGACGGCGAAGGACGGCCGTGCTCTTCTCAAGCCCGTTGTCGTCCGACAGAAGGCCCAGCAGCAAGAGACGGATGCTTCTGATCTCGTATCGAACCTCATAGAAGCAGCGAAGAAGATGCAGATTCGCAAGCTGAGACGAACAATCGTAGACATCAAGAAGCAGAGCAGCAAGAACCCGTCGGGAGGTAGAGCTTCAGGCGTCATGTCACCAGCACTTGGCCTCGGAAATGGTGCGTTACTTCGCTAAATTGGATCACCAATCAGCCCTTTTTTGTTCAGTGGAACTCAAAGCAGCAAGAGAACTTCGAACATTGTACCGTGCATAAAATGCACCAACAATTTCTGCGTCTACTTCTCTTGGCAGTCTCTGCTCTGGAGTCCAGACCACTCAAGACGCCTCTGGTTCAACCAAGCATCAATGGCACCGATGACAAGGGCCGAACGGCTCTCCATTTCTCCTGCGGGATGGTTTCTACAGAATGTGCAGTTGTGCTGCTAGAATCAGGTAAGATTCACCTGCTTTCTCAGCCCAGTATACTCAATAACTGTGAAAGAAAGACTTGGAAGTTACAGGCCCTGAAACCGCTGACCTGTTTTGCTGGTACAGGCGCTGAGGTGAACGTACGGGACAACGAGGGGTTCACTCCCCTCCACATGGCAGCCGGCTACGGTCGCAGTCAATCAGTCGAGCTCCTTCTCAAAGCAGGTGTGTCTTTCTCAACAGCTGACCTGTCCTTTCACCCTCCACTGCGCAATTTCCCCCTTTTTTTTTCGGGCCCCAACGCCTTTGTCGAAACCCACACGTTCTGTCGAACTTACACGTGTTTTGTCGAGCCTCCAGACACAGTAACAGAAACTTGAAAAACGAACTCTGACACATTCGAACTTGCAAACACACCCGTGCTGACTCACAGGAGCTAACCCGTTCGTCAAAGACAAGATCGGACGCACCCCGCGGGAACTCGCCGTGGAAATCCGAGACACCGGCATGCGTCACGACGGCTCCTCCGTCCCTCGCGGCGACATGGAGTCAACAATCACTCTCCTGGGCAGCGCTGAGTGGAAGGAACACCAGGCGGCGAAAGAGAGACACCACAATGCGATTGGTGGAAATTCGGTGGAAAGCAGCGGTGGTTCTGCTGCAGATGATGGGGCGAAGCGGCCGGCTGTGGGGACTCCGTTGGACGAGTTGCTGGTTGCGGCGCAGGCGGGGGAGGCTGACGGCGTGGCGAAGGCGCTGGCGAAATTGGAAGCGAGGTCGGATGTTACATGGATCGCTGGGCGTGCCGCTTCTCTCGCGAACGCGTTCTCAGGTGCAGTGGAGCGCGCTTAGCTGATAGAGTTTAAAGTTGATAGATTTGAAGGGTTATTGTCATGGCGTCTTGCCTGCCGTGATTTGTTTCCAGTTCTTGATTGTCAATCTCTTCTTTCCCGCTTGATGCTTTGGTCTCGGTGCATTACTCTCTCAGCCCATAACTTCCCTCTCTCATCACTCAACCACTCACCCACCTCTCTCGTGACGCTCTCGCCTCTCTCCCTCAACCACTCATCCGCCTCTCTCTTCACTCCCACTCACTCGCCTCTCTCATCACTCAACCACTCGACCGCCTGTCTCTTCTTCATCTTGCAGCAGCCTGCCGAAACGGCCATGTAGGCATCGCCGAGACGCTGCTCAAATCTGGAGCGTCCGTTGACGCTGTGGACGGGGAGGGAGCAACGCCCCTGCTGGCCGCTGCTGACAGTGGCTTCGCCAAGTAAGAGGGACTGCGGGGAACGTTTTGAACCTGCTTGCCGTTTTAAGCAATTCAGGAAAAGAAAGAAAGCACCTGACTTGACACACACGCACGCACGCACGCACGCACGCACGCACGCGCGCGCGCGCACACACACACACACACACACGCACACACATGCACACATGCACACACGCACACGCGCACACACACACACACACACACACACACACAAACACACACAGACGCAGACACACGCGAACACACACACACACACACACACACGCACAATTCACGGACCAAGTTTTTAAAAGAGCAGAAAGCACCTGGCTTGGCACGACTTAGTTGACTCATTCAATGCTTTCCCAATGCTCCCACCAATTCCTCCTCAATGCGTCCCTGTTGCTCCCAATTCTTCCCAACTTCTCTTCTAACCTCCCCCAATGCTCCCTCATTGAACACCTCCCCTGTGGTGCTTCTCTGCATGTGTCCCGATTCTCCCCTACTGCATCCTCGCTGTGCCCCTCTGCGTGTGTGTCATCACCATGCAGCTGCGTGCAACTCCTGCTAGAAGCTGGCGCTCAGCCTGATGCCCCCACAATGCCGTCCCAAGGTTCCACTCCACCAGCGCTCCCTCATTGCTCGCCCAATGCCTTCCCAATACGTGTGTGTCTCATGCAGCTGCGTGCAGCTCCTGCTTGAAGCTGGCGCTCAGCCTGATGCCCGGGACAAAGTGGGAGTGACGCCTCTTATTGCAGCTGCAAGTCTACTGTACTTAGCTAAACTTCTAAGCCAGCTCTGATACTTGTCTCCGCTTTTATTAACTGTCCTTCGGACCAGATTCTGTCTCAGGCCTACCTTCTCTGACATGTCATACGTTTCACTCTCTCTCGCCGGCTTCACAGGCATACAACGGTCATGACGAGGCTCTCTCAGCGCTCGTGCGCCACGGAGCTGCTGTTGTGATTTCTGAGTCAACTTTGAAGCCTAACGTAATGTGTCATGTGTCACTCTCTTCTCTCCCACCCCTTTCACTCGCAGGCATACAACGGTCATGAGGAGGCTCTCTCAGCGCTCGTGCGCCACGGAGCTGCTGTTGTGATTTCTGAGTCAACTTAGAAGCCTAACGTGTCATGTGTCACTCTCTTCTCTCCCACCCCTTTCACTCACAGAGGAGGCTCTCTCAGCGCTCGTGCGCCACGGAGCTGCTGTTGTGATTTCTGAGTCAACTTAGAAGCCTAACGTGTCATGTGTCACTCTCTCCTCTCCCACCCCTTTCACTCACAGGCATACAACGGTCATGAGGAGGCTCTCTCAGCGCTCGTGCGCCACGGAGCTGGTGTCGATGCGAGGTCGCATGGAGGCGTCACGCCCCTCATTGCTGCTGCAGAGGGCCAGCATGCACCCTGCATCCACCTGCTCGTCCAGGTGAGCATTCCAAGGGCAGACACAAGCTGTGCGGCAAGTGGGACGTATCAATCAAGGCAGCATGCGCAGGAAGATGCCAGTATCCAGGGCAAGACAGCGCTGATGCACGCAGTGGGGCGCAACTCAGTGCCTCAGCTGGAGGGTGCGTGGATGCTTCTCCCCTTCCCTCACATTCGCTATTCCTCAAGCAGGCCGGAGCAGACGTGAATGCACGCACGTCAGAGGGAAAGACAGCACTCATGCATGCAGTGGGGCGCAACTCAGTGCCGGCAACAGAGGCTCTCCTGGCGGGAGGCGCGGACGTTGGGGCTGTGGACGGCGAGGGCATGTCTGCACTGCACCACGGCGCTCGCCTTGATGCATCGGACTGCGTGTGAGTCCCGCTCCTTCAAATGACCGTTTTTTTCTGGTATCTGGCGCTGTTGGTGGGAGTTGCCGTGAGTGCTGTTGATGGCGAGGGCCTGTCTGCACTGCACCACGGCGCTCGCCTTGACGCTGCTGATTGTGTATGAGTCCCTTTTGTGGTCCTTGGGGACTTCAATTGTGGTTTGGTGAGGGAGGGGCGGGCGTGAGCTGCAGATTGCTGTGCCATGCTGTGTGCCAAGGCCGTTATTGAGGCGCCTCATCAAAAGGGCGGGCGTGAGCGTCAGTCTGCTGTATCATGCTGTGTGCCATGCCAAGGTTGTATGCATGGCCAAGAGGTGCACACAGAATGACACAGCAGACTGCAGCTCAACACCTCTTGACAAAGAGGTGCAAGCAACTTGGGGTATTGCTACTGTGAGTTGTTCTTGCTCGTTTTCTGCTTGCCTCCTCCTTTAGTCAGCTGCTGTGCTGCACTGCGCGCCAGGGGTGCGAGCATGACCAATTCGTGCATCAAAGTTTATTCACGGCACCAAACTATAGTCTCCCTCCCTGCCTCTCGCCTCTTCCGCTTGTTCTGTTGCAGTGAGCTGCTGTGTGCCAGGGGTGCGAGCATGACCAAGAGGTGCAAGAAGGGCCGCACTGCTCTCATGGACGCACCCAAGGGCTCCTCCTCTGCTGCCATCCTGGTGAGTGAGCGATCTGGCAGTGCAGTCTTAGTTGTGAGTCAAGAAAAAACTCCCAGGGCGTCTCCACCGCCGGTGGAATCCTAATAGATCATCCTGCAGTGTTCTCGCTCAAGTGTTCCACTTTTTTGTTTCCGGTGGTTTATGTCTCTCATACTTTTGCACCGGATCTGCTGCATGGGGCACGGGTGCAGGAGAAGAAGTGGGGGTGGCAGCAAGGCTGTTCAGTTCAAACATAGACATCCAAACCAACCCAATGAATGGCCTGTCTGTGTCTCTGTGCATGGGGCATGGTTGCCTGCAGGAGGGGAAGTGGGCGGGGTTGGAAGAGGAGGTGTTCTCGAGCTGCTCAAAATGTTCGCTGATGATGTCGCGGCCTCTAAGCCTGCAGCAGGCGCCTTAGAAGCCATATATCTGACTCTCCAAGTGTCTGTGCGTGGTGCGTGATTGCAGGAGGAGAAGTGGGCTGCTCTGGAAGAGGAGGTGGCGAGGCGGCAATTGGAGCTTCTCGAGCTTTTTGCTGATGATGCTTCTGATGCCGCCGCCTCCAAGCCAAACGCACCCGCAGCAGCAGGCGCCAAGAGCGGCAAGGACAAGAAGAAGGCCGGGAAGGGGAGGAGCAGGACCCCCAAGGGGATAGCCTCCCTGACCAGCAAACTGCAGGGGCTGGCAGAAGGGCCAGGCTCGGCGGCAGGCTCGGCAGCAGGTTCGGTGGGCTCTGCTGGTTTGGTGGGTGATGTGCAGAATCTGGTGGTAAAGACCCCAGAGTCATCTAGCCGACCTAGTATGTCCCCTGTGAGTTCGGTTATGGACTTTGGTCAGACCACTGATAGCTCGGGGATGAGCACTGCAGAAGACGAGGAGGGGATGGATGGGGAGGGGGACGGGGAGGGGGAGGAGGGGGAGAGTGAGTATGACACACAGGATATTTTTGAAATTATGGCAGCTGCTAGCAAGAAGGGTTCTGGTGGGGTTGGCAGGGTTGGTGGCGGGATTGGGTCGGGTGCTGGGGTCGAGGATGGTAATGATGGGTTTATTCCGGTGGGGAGCGGTGAGAAGGCGCCGAACAGAGTGAGTGAGGTGAGCGGGTGGCTGTCTGGGGGCAGCTACAGCAGGAAGGCTGCAGGCGAGGGTTCGGACGCAGCAGCACTGCATAAGAAGAGTGAAGGCCCTGCGAATGCCTCTTATGCTGCAAGGGCCGCACAGAAGAAGAGCCCTCCTGCTGCCCCGCCGAGCTTCACACAGCAGCAGCAGCAGTCAAAGAGCAAAACTTCCCTTCCCAAGTCAGTCAAAGCTCCAGTATCTGCTGCCTCCCAGCCGCAGCAGCACCGGCAGCCACAGCAGGCACAGCAGAAGGCTTCTCCTCCAGCAGCAGCAGTAGCAGCAGCAGCAGCACCTGCACCAGCAGCAGCGCATGCAGGAGCGTCGCCTTGGATCCGCGCCCTTGTGGGGGGGCAAGCTGCTTCAGCTCCATCTCCTACCGTCCCTTTGGCTGCAACTCCATCTCCCACCGTCCATTCGGCCCCAACTCCAACTCCTGGCCCTGGCAGCAACCCTGCTTCGTCCACTGGCTCGCCTACTCCCAGTGTGGTGCACAGCGGTTCCAACGGATGTGCGTGCAAGCAGAGCCATCACTGTGGGGAGAACACAGGCGAGCTTGCGAGGCGAGTTGCCGAGCTGGAAGCAGAGCTCAGATCCGCCAGGGCTGCAGCAGATGCGGCCAGGGCGGCTGCAGCAGCAGAGAGGGCGAGAGCAGCACAGCTGGAACAGCAGCTGATTAGTGGACGTAAAGCCACTGAGATAATAAGCGCTCGGGACAAATCGCAGATCCAGGTTCTGCAGGTGAGAAGATGGACTTTTTCCTGCCCGCCCCCTCTTTCTCAGTCCTCCCTCCCCTCTCCCGCTCTTGAAGTTTGAGACCTTTGGTTGTGCAGTCTGGTTAGTGTGTGCGGTACTGATCGGTTAGGGTAGAAATAAGTTTGGCGAATATCGAAACTGCGAAAACACAAAACTTTTTTAGACTGTATTCCCGGTTCTGAGTCCCCCTTTTTTTTTGTCCTTCCTGCATTTTTCCCTTTTTTTGTGTCGTGCGCTGTGTCCTTTCTGCAGCCTTCGTGCTGAGAGTGAGGACTGCAGCAAGAGACTCCCGCAAGTGTTACCTTGCAGAGCAATCGCTTGCTCGACAAGACAACATATTCTCGCAGTTTTTAGCGTCCCGCATGCTGTCTTGCCATGCCTTATCACTCAAAAGGATGGATCCAGGCCGATCGGGTCGTATTGTCAGATAGGCGCATGTGGTGTGGAGGTGTTTGGGTAGATGGAGATGGTTAGAAGGAGATGCTGTGCTTTCATTGTTATTCTCGAAACCTGATTTGAATCATGCGTTTTTCAACCATCGCTTGCTTTTGTTCTTGGGCATTATTGTTCTTCCAGATCTCCTTGTCAGCTTGTCTTCTCGTTTGTTTGTTTGCTTGTTTTTCCTTCTTTCTTTCGTTCTTTCTTTCTTTCATCCTTCCTTTTTCTCTTGCTTCTTGTGCTTTGTATTCGTGTCCCCCTCCCACTGCCTTCCCGTCCCCTTTCATCTAATTCCTCTCTTCCTCTCCCCATTCTTCTCTCTTTCCTTACTCTTTTTCACCCTCCCATCCTACCTTGCTCTCTATCCCTCTCTCTCCCTCCCTCACTGCCTCCCTCCTCCCTCCTTCCTCCTCATTTCATCCCTCCCTCCCTCCTTCCCGCTCCTGCCTTCTCCTCAACCCCCCCCTCCCCCTCCCCAATCCCACCTTCCCCCTACCCATCAATTCCTCTGATCCCGATCCATCTCTTTCTTGCAGCAGCCACCGCATCAGCATATTCACTAGACTTAAAAAAGAAAATCCATTCCCCAACCCTCCCCAATCCCACCTTCTCTCCCCTCCCAGCAATCCCTCTGCTCCCAATCCATCTCTCTCGCAGCAGCCACCGCATCAGCAGAAGCCTCTCGCCGCGCCCTCGCCTCCTCCCACTCCGACTGGCACTCTCAGCTGCAGCGTATCCGCTGCCAGGCTGTAGCAGCTGCCGTCACTGCTGCTACAGCCAGCTGGCAGGCTTGGGAGAACTCCCAGTTCCGTCCGAACTTGGGCGTTGCTGCCTCTGGGGGTGGTGTTGCAACGAAAACAGCGGCAACAGCAACAGCAGCAGCGGCGGCGGCGGCGGTGGCGGCTGCAGCTGGTGCTGCGGCAACAGCCGGGGTAGCAGCTACAGCGGGTGGAGAAAAGGGAGGCACAGTTTCAAACCTATCGAACTCCTCTTACATTCCGAGCCCGTCTAGCCCTTTTTACGACGCAAGCTTGACGACAGGCCATGCAAGCCACCTAGAAGCTGCTGCCACAGCTGTCAACGCTGCCCCTGTTTCCCCTTCCCCTTACGGCATCCTTAAGGTGGCTCTGCTGTGTCAGCAGCTGAGCGATAGCACTGCTGCTAGCAGAGCCAATCCAGCGGCAGCTGACGGAGCAGCAGCAGCAGCAGCGGCAGCAGCAGCAGCAGCAGCAGCAGCAGAGACTATGCCACGCCACTCGAGCCACGCGACACCAGGGGTTCAATACAAGCCCTCGACCACCACTGAGCGTACCGCTGCTACGGCCGCCGACCCAGTCTCTCACGACCCCATGCTCTCATTCAAAGCATCCCTGCTTGCTGGAAAGACTGGCAGAGCCGCAACTGCTGCTGGCATTGCTGTGCCTGGTACTGCAAGGGCTGGTGCAGCCAAGCTTGGAGATGCTGATGCTTACCCGGCTTATCCAGCTGATGAGGATGTATCGTATCCAGCTGACGCACTCAAGTCAGCTGTCGGTTCTGGGAAGCTTGGCTTAGACTCACTCCCAAGATGACGCAGCTGTGTCCCTCAAAGCCTCGTTTATTTCTGGAAAGCTTCTCAGCAACTGCACACTGGACCGCTCCAGTAGTATGGAATTTCTGCAAGGGATGAAAGCAGGTACGCTGGAGCCGCTTTTCTCTTCACCGCACCACCACCATGATACAACAGCAAGCATTATGCGAAAAATAGGTTCGGTGCCGAACCTGCTGTCACTGGAGCACTCTGCTGCTCTGCACTCCCCTTCACCGCTCCGAACCTCTGGATTTCCAGGATTTCGGAAGGTGGAATCTTTTCCTGATTTTCAGCCTTGGAATAGCGAAGGCTACAGCCAACCCGGTAACAATCTTTTCAGCTACCATCCGCTCAGTTACAATCTGAACCGCATTTCACCCAGCTACAACCAACCAAGCTTCAATCAGCCCACCTCTAAAAACCTCATACCGACTCCTTCAGACCACTCTATACCACAGCGCTTTCACAGTCCCATCCAACCAGACAGATTCGTGGGGAATTTCCACCGCCGGGTGGATTCATACCCTGATTTATCTCGTGCTGGGCTGTCTTTTACACCCGGTCAAGAATCCCCGTCTCTTGCTCTCCCGCTCAAATCCCCGAGGCTGCTAGACCGAGTGATTCAGTCTCCTAGAAAGAAACAATCCTCCCTTATGCATCGGTCTTCCAGTGAAAGCTGCTTATCAAGCCTAGCCGAATCGGGCTTATCAGGCCGAGGGGAGGGGAAATTGCTAGGGAAGGCGAGGAGGGGGGTTGGTGGTGGTGCAGCGAATGTGATTCCTGAGAGGAGCAGCGTGCTCGCTTTTGAGAGGCTGCCGTTTGCTCCCAAGGGTACGTTTGAGGCGCAGAAAAAGGCGTCTGGGTGGTTCAGCCTGGTCCCAAGCCCTGACGTTGAATGAGGTAGTGAGAGCTGCCTGTCGAGTCTAGCGGTATCGGGTTCAGCAGGCCAAGTGGGGGGAGGGGGGTGGAATAGCTGGGGAAGGCGAGAAGGGGGGTTGGTGGTGCTGCGGATGTGATTCCTGAGTGGAGCAGCGTGCTCGCTTTTGAGAGGCTGCCTTCTGCTACCAAGAGTACGTTTGAGGCGCAGAAAAAGGCTTCTGGATGGTTCAGCTTGGTTCCCATCCCTGCGTTGAGTGAAGGGGCAGGCAGGAGTTGAGGTGTAGTGAGATGTGCGTGTCGGTTCTAGCTCTCTCACGGTTAGCAGGCCGAAGTTTGGAGGAATGGTTAGGGAAAACGAGCTGGGAGGCTGGTGGATGAGCAGCGGATGCGATACCTGTGATGTGAGGAGCAGCTTGCTTGCTTTTGAGAAGCTGCCCTTTTCTCCCAAGAGTGGTGGTTGAGGTGGAAAGAAATGCATCTGGATTATCAGCTAGTCCCTTTCTAGCCCTGATGCTGAACGAGAGGGCCGGAGTTAGGGTATAGTGAGAGTCTAAGTGTTTGCAACCAAGGGTGCGTGTAAGGAATGGCAAGGCATGTAAGTGGTTGGTTTCTAGCCCTGACTTGTAATGAGAGGGTTAAAGCGAAGGTATAGTAAAAGGCCAAGTGTCTGCTTGCACGCTCCAATGTTATGCTTGCGGTACAGATTCAGCTTTGTTACCAGCCATGACGTTTTATAGAAGGGCATATTCTAATCACTACAATCAGCGTGAGTTGAGGATGACACGATTTATCCAACGCCCCAGTATATAATAAAGAGGAAACACCTCCAAGCAGCTTGTCGGTGGTGGTTGTTGCTGGTGATGGTGGCATGTGGTGTTGATCCCATTTCAACCACCGACCACGAGTTTGTTGAAATTGGCGTGTGCAATTCGTGCGGTACGTAGCCACGTGGACACAAACGAGTGCCACGTCAAATGGTTTGCACCCCACGTTGAAACCCGTGGAACGCGACCGACCAAATTGCACATGAGCAGCCAGTCGGTGACCTCGAAGAAATGCGCACATTCCGCTCGCGCCAAGTGGATGTGTGATTGGAATTCCGCAAGCCCCGCCGGGCCGCATCAACCTCACGTCAGCATCCAAGCCAAGCAACAGCGCGTACGGTTGCGTCATTCTGTCTGGTATTGGAAACACACTGATCGGTTTAGAGGTGCGAATAATGGTTCCTCTCGCTTGGGGAATTCTGGTTCGGTGAAATCTCTGGTGACGACGAATCGCGAATTCGGTGAAATCGTGTTTTGGGAGTCACTCACTCATCATGCACTATCCATTCCCTCCCTTCCACCCACCAGCACTAACATCGCAATTCGCTATCCAGTATTTAGGCCGCCATATCTTTTAGCATTTCTCATCCAATTCAACGTTCTCACCAGCTCACACACCCCCGCCTTCAACATCTTCGCCTCTCGCATCCATCTCGTCTCGCGTCCATCATGGCCCGATTTTCCTTCCTCGCAACGTCGCTCGCGGTTCTGATCCTCGCCATGGCTAGCAGCGCATTCGCGCGACACTACGCTGGCACCGCGGCCGTTAAGCCCGCCCCAGTCGCCTGCACCAAGTCGACTCTGGCGCCATACACAAAATCTGTCCAGCTCACAGCTGACGGGTACGTGATTTTTTCTTGGTGAAGCATATGTTCTCCGTGTTAAACAAGCAGTGGCGATTTTGAGTCACTTTTTAGCATGAAAATGCCATCGTTCAAAGTTCCTCACCCGCTTTTCTCACGGACTCGCATATTCTCACGTCGCCCTTCCACCCCGTTACCCTCAGACTGTTTCTCCTGCACTGGAACATCACTAAGAAGAACGACGGAATTATCGCTGCACTCGAGGCGAAGCCCGGCAGCGGCGCCGAGACCGGCTGGATGTCCATTGGCTGGACAGCGAAAGCTGGCCTCATGTCTCCCGCTGACGCAGTGGTGGGGAATCTGGCTGCAGCCGCGCCGAACAACGTGCTGGCCTACACGATGAGTGGCAAGACTGCGAACAAGGTCAAGAAGTCAACTGCAGTGAAGCTCTCGGCGAAATCCGTGGTTACCACTGCTGACGGTGGCAAGATTGTCAAGTGAGTTTCGCCATCCGCTTTGCAAAAGCCGTACTCCGTCATGCCGCGCGTTCATGCACCTCCGAGGTTGTTTCCACTTCTGGTTTAGCGTTCCGTACTGACCCCGTGCGTTTCATCTCATTTCAGGTTCACTCGTTCAGGCAAGGGCGGTGTGGGTCCTGTCAGTTACACGGGTAACAACAACATGATCTGGGCCTACTCCAGCACCCAGGCTTTCACCTCCCACACCAAACGGTATGATTCTCAAACCGTGTGCCTTGCAAGCTAAATACTTCCCTCTTCTTACTTAGGATATGTTTTCTACACATTTATTTCTGATTGACCTCTTTCACCAAATTGCTGATACACTGCCTTTTTTTTTTTCACCAGAGGTGGCATCGTCATCAACCTCGCATGCAAGGTGTAATGGCTTTCCGTGCTAATATTAGCACGATGGCGGCCTTGGCTCCTCTGTAAGGAAGGTAGTAATTAGTAGTAGCAGACAGAGACAACTTGGCGCATCAGGAATCAGCACCAAGGGTGTGACACTGCCGCTGCTGTTGACCCCATTAGGCTTATGAAGACTGTGTACTGTAGTGTACCTTGTTGCTGATTGTTGATGCAATACATATTGACCAGTGCAAAGATGACTAGTGTGAACAACGTGCTTAAAAAAAACCAAGCCTTTTCATTCAACAATGTCTGACAGTCACTCATTCCTCGGATTCGTTTGTGTTGACGCAAGAACCAGGATTGCAGAACGGTTTACATTTTAACCCATTGGATAGCAGAAGCATATGGACGGAAATAGAGTACAAATAAGAAACAACACAACTAGCAATAGTATTTTAGCGACAACAGGAGCCTTAGCTCGCTGCATAGATGAAACTGGCCGTACTATCAAGGGGCAGCTTATTCCCTGACAATTCAAAGAAGAAAAGAAACGAAAATGAAAAGGAAAAAAAGCAGGAAACTGATTTTGCCTAGTCAATGCCCGAGTGTTAACCCTCGTCTTCAGAAGTCTTCACACAAAGATATACGGTAGTTTGATCTATTTTTCCGGCCGCTCCACGTTTGGAAGCAGCTGCTGATAGCAACTCCCCTCCTCCCGCTCCCCCGTCCTCTGATTCCCCTCCTTCGTCTTCCTGGTTGTGAATCGCGATCATAACTTTGAAGTGCAATCCGTTGCTGGTTGCACTGGCAGCACAAGACTAGGAGCACCGCAGTGCTCCTTCTCTTTCCCACATGGCTGCTCCTTCCTCCTTGGTCTTCCGCCCTACGCCCCTCTTCACCCCCTCTGTTCCCCCCCCGCCCCACCACATATTCCCCCACCCCCAACTCACACACACTAAAACACCCCATAGTAGACACAATTGAGTGTCGAATAGATTGTCGCTAGGATACAAACAAGGTAAGGCCTTGCACTTAGCAGGCCCACCCCCCGCCTCCTCCACAGCTTTCCTACCCTCCTGCTGCTGCTGCCCCTTGCATTCTCCCTCAAATGAAATCCAAACACCCGTCCAGAAAGTCCCACGAAGCCCCCTTCATATCGAAACCCATGATCCCTCCCCCCCGGTTCCCCGGTTCCCCCACCATCTCCGTCCCATCGCCCCCCTCCCCTCCGCTCTCTGCTCTCTCCTCTGTGAGAGACAGAGGGGACAGGCGGCCAAAGCAGGAGAAGGGGGAAGAGGCTGAAACGCCCGCTATCCCCCCCACCATCTCCTCCCTCTCGTCCCAGAGTCGTGGCTTTTTGAACGGTCCACCTAGGATCTCGTCGTCTATTCCATCCACGGCTCTCGCAGCCTCGCCTTGCTCCCCCAACTCATCCCCACCGTCCATCTCGAGGAGATCTGTGAGATCAGCGTTGAGTGTCCGGGATTTGGGTGTGCATGCTGCTGCTGCTGCTCCTCCTGCTGCGGATCCTGCTGCTGCAGTGGCCTCCCCTTCACATGCCCCTGCTGTAACGTTGTAAGGCACTGGGAGCATTGACTGCTGCTGCTGCTGCTGCTGCTGCTGCGGTTGCTGCCACTGCAGTTGCTGCTGCTGCTGCTGCTGCTGTTCCTGCTGCGGAGCACCAAACAGAGCAGCAGGGTCGGCAGGCGCCACCACACCGCCACTAGGGAAAGAGTAACTCCTGTCTTCCCCTGCTCCCCTCTCCATAGCCTCTGCTGCTACTCCAACCCCGAAACCCCCATCTCCTGCCCCAACAACACCTCCACCAGCAGCGCCAGCAGCACCAGAAGCAGCAGCAGCACCAGCAGCATAGGAGTCGTGAACCGAAGCTGTTGTGTTCCCGCCACTGTTACTCTCATTGTGGCTATCCCTGTAACCAGCACTACCGGACCCCACGCCAAGGCCCAGGCTCCCTACCGGACCAGGAGGGGTGAGAGTGTTGGTATTGGAAAGACCAGAGCTTCGATTGTAGCTGCTAACGTAGCTGCTGGTGGGGATGTAGCTTGAATACACCACCTCTGGCTGCTGCTGCTGCTGTTGCTGCAGTTGAAACTGCTGCTGCTGCTGCTGCTGCACGCCAGGGCTTGTCCCTCCATCTTCCCTTCCTTCTTCTCTTGCCGCTCCAACAGTCGGTGATTGGTCCAGACCAGAAGGGGCTGGAGCAGATGGTTGGGAAGGAGGGAGAGTGAAGGAGGAGACTGGGAGCATCTGGTATCCGTTTGAATCGCCAGCCACCGATGTGAATTGCCCCACCTGCTGCTGCTGCTGCTGCACTGGTTGCTGCTGCTGCTGCTGCCACTGTTGCTGATACTGCTGCTGCTGCTGCTGCTGCGTTTGCAGCTGAAACGGCTGCTGCGGTTGGTGCATTTGACACTGCTGTTGCTGCTGCAGCTGCGGCTGCTGCTGAGTTTGCAGAGGTCGGCTGGCTGAAACTGAAGGCCTGGCAATGCCAACAGGCATGCTGAACTGCTGCTGCTGCTGCCCCTGCTGCTGCTGGTGCCGCACCTGCTGCTGCATGCATGAATGCCCCTCTGAATACTGCTGCTGCTGCTGCTGCTGCTGCTGCTGCTGCTGCTGCTGCTGCTGCTGATGTGGCATGCCACCTGGCAGCCTCAGCATGCCAGCCGAGCCAGACGACACAGCACCCCTTTGCGGGGACCGAGCGCCGCCCGCTGACGTGGCAGGTGCTGCTGACACAGCGCGGCCAGCTGACGTGGCAGGCCCGGCAGACATGGATGACGTGGCAGGAGATGCGGTGGGGATAGACAGCAAGCGGATGGAAGGACCCCCACTAAGTGCAGATGCACTGGGAGCAGCACTTACGTAAGTGTTGGCGGGAGAATCACCCCAATAATTTCCTCTTCCTGAGCCCATACCTGTAGCAGCAGGTATGGGAGGGGCACCCATCGAACCTGCAGGTTCGGCAGAAGAGGGCGCAGCCAAACCGGAGCGGGAAGGCGTGGCAGGTACCTGGCCTGCAGTGGAGGCTTGGTATGGAGTCTGGTAGATTTGGCCGGAGGCAGGTTCGGTGGCAGGAGCAGCAGACTGAGGGAAATGGCTGAAGGGCTGCTGCAGCTGCTGCTGCTGGTGGTATTGATTGTGCTGCTGCTGCTGTTGCGATTGCTGGTATTGCTGCTCATACTGCTGCTGCTGCTGCTGTTGCTGCGGCTGCTGCTGTGGCTGCTGCTGCTGGTAACCAGAAAGAGCCAAGACAGCAGCGACAGCTGGAGCAGGAGAAGCACGAGAACCAGCAGCACTGGCAGCACCAGCGCCAGCGGCAGGAGGCGAGGCGTAATCAGGGGCAGGGGCAGGGGCAGGGCGGAGGGTGGGAGTGGGTGCAGGACGGAAAGCAGTAGAGGCGCTGCTGACGGGACTGGCAGGAGCTTGACAGGAGGAAGGGTGAGAGGCTAACGGCTGCTGCTGCTGCTGCTGCTGCTGCTGCTGGTAATACTGCTGGTGATGGTGCTGCTGCGGCTGCTGCTGCTGGTGATGGTGCTGCTGCGGCTGCTGCTGCTGCTGTTGCTGCTGGTATTGCTGTTGCTGCTGGTATTGCTGTTGCTGCTGCTGCTGTTGCTGCTGCTGCTGGTATTGCTGCTGCTGTTGCTGCTGCTGCTGCTGCTGCTGCTGTTGCTGCTGTTGGTATTGCTGCTGCAGGTATTGCTGTTGCTGCTGCTGCTGCTGCTGCTGCTGCTGCTGCTGCTGCTGCTGCTGCTGCTGCTGCTGCTGCTGCTGCTGCTGCTGCTGCTGCTGCTGCTGCGGCTGCTGCGGCTGCTGCGGCTGCTGCTGCTGCTGCTGCTGCTGCTGCTGCTGCTGCTGCTGCTGCTGCTGCTGCTGCTGCTGCTGCTGCTGATAGTTTTGGTGCTGAGAAACGGAAGAGGCAGGAGAAGAGGTGTGTTGAACATGAGGAGAGAGCCGCCCTCGGGAATGAGAGTGAGGTGAAGGATAGGAGGAGGGATGGGAAGATGGGTGAGAGGTAGGGAAGGACTGGGAGTGGGTAAGGTGGGGCGGCATGTGCGGACGAGCAACGCCGCCCACTTGCTGCTGCTGCTGCTGCTGCGGCTGTGCTTGAGGTTGGTTCGGAGTGTGGGAGAGAGGATGGGGTAGAGATTGCGAGTGTGCGGGAGTGTATGAGGGAGCGTGAGCGTGAGTGTGAGAGTGAGTGTGTGGGGTGGAACCGTGTAATGGACACTGATGCTGGTGCTGATGCTGGTGCTCCTGTTGCTGGTGATACTGCTGCTGCGGCTGCTGCTGCTGCTGGCTACCACAGTGCGCCTGCGCTTGCACCTGAAGGCCAAATCTGCTCATGCTGTTACCAGCATTGGCTGCAGCGTATGTAGCAGGGGAAGAAGCACCACTGCCAACACCACTAGCAGCACCACCAACAGCATTAGCAGCAGCCGAAACTGCAGGAGAAGAAGCAGCAGAGGGACCAGGAGGAGGGCCCATGAAATGTTGAAGCGTGGGAGTGAGGGATGGAGCAGCAGGAGTGCCTGGTGTGTGAGCGACTGAAGTAACCGCAGCGGGTGTGACCGCAGCGGGAGTGACATAAGACGGAGTGGCTATGCCCACGGGGAGAGAGGCAGCAGGAGCAGCGCCACATGCACCTCCGTTATTAGCACCTCCGTTATTAGCACCAGAAGAAACGTCAGCCGCCGCAGCAGCAGCGGCAGAGGCAGCAGAAAGCAGCATCGACCCATGCACAGGCGCAGAGGCAGAAGAGGTGAGGGCCCTTACTGGGAGAGTCGCTCCCCCTTGGCCCTGCACCTGTCCGCCCTCTGGCAACGCCTGTTGCATCAAACTCCCATAACTGCTCGTGCTTCTGTTATATTGTCCTTGCTCCTTCCCCATGGTTCCGTTTGCTGGGCTGGCCACAGCAGACAGAGACAGGGACCGAGAGGGTTGCTGCTGCTGGGGGTTTTTGAAGGAAGCAGCGGCGGCAGGGAGAATGCACGGGGAGGGGCAGACGGGAGGAGGGAGAGACGCAGGTGTGCTTGTAACGGGGGTGGCTGCAGGAGTGTTGAGGTGGCTGGGATGGGTTTGGGGGTGAGTGTAAGGAGTGGAGGGGTAGGGGCGGAGAGCGGGGGTTTGTGGGGGATGGGAGGGGGGGTAGGAAGGGGAGGGCGCAGATGCAGAGGGAAGGGTAGCGGGGGGGGCGCGCGGAGGGGGGAGGGGGAGGGCGGGGTTGGGGAGGGGGGTGAGGGAGGGGAGTTGGGAGATGCGGTGGGTGGGGTTGCTGCTGCTAGTGGTGGTGACAGAAGTTGGTGTTGAGACATATGCTTGTTGCAACTGCTGCTGTTGTTGGTGGTGCAATTGCTGCTGCTGCTGCTGCTGCTGCTGCCATTGGTGCTGTTGGTGCTGCAATTGTTGCTGATGCTGCTGCTGCTGCTGCTGCTGCTGCTGCTGCTGTTGCTGCAGCAGCTGCTGCTGCTGGTTCGACCCCCCAGCCGCTTCCCCCGCCCCCGCTGCCCCGACCCCAGCGCTTCCCCCGGCACCAACCCCGCCCAGCACCCCTCCGCCTCCCGCTCCCCCTCTTGCTGCCGCCGCATTCCCAACCCCCCCATTCCCACCGCTCCCATTTCCGCTCCCCCCGATCCCGCTCCCCGGAGAAGCAGCAGCGGCAGCAGGGGTGGGAACGGACACCTTGAACGATTGAAGAAACGATGCAGCACGGGAAAAGAGAGAGTTCTGGGACAGCTGCTTCAGATGAAGAGCGTCGCCGGGAGTCTTCGAGTCCGAAGCAGCAGCACCAGATTGACCTGGTTGACCGGGTTGACCTGGTTGACCGGTTTGACTTGAGGGAGCAGCGCAGTTGCTGGGCCCTGGGATGCCAGTGCCAGTCGCTGCTGCTGCGGCTGTAGCAGCGGCTGTAGCGGCTGTATCACCAGGAGCAGCAGCAGCAGCAGGAGAACCAGCAGCAGCAGCACCTATTGCTGCAGTCTTTGGAGTGGCGGCGCTGGCGCTCGCAGCCACTTTAGCAGCAGCTTTGGCAGCGGCCGTAGCAGCTCGAGCGGCGTTCCTGCCCGAAGGAGTTGCCGAAGCAGATTTGCTCCGAGCCACAGCTCTCCGGCTCGCTGGTGGCTTACCACCCGGCGTCACAGCCGCTGCCGCCGTTGCCGCCGCCGTTGCCGCCGCCGGAGCCGCAGCAGCAGTAGTTGCAGCAGTAGCGGCAGAAGCAGCAGCCCCAGGGGTCCGACTCCCTCTTTTGTTTCCGATTTGCTGATTCTGCTCCTGCTGGTTCTGCCCTTGCTGCTCATGTTGCTGTGGCTGCTGTTGCTGCTGTTGCTGCTGCTGCTGCTGCTGTTGCTGCTGGTGGAACGGACCAGTGGCTGGGAGACCGCTCCCAAGGGAGAACACAGGCACAGGCCTGGAATCCAGAGCCATTGGCTCAGGTCCGGTTGCTGCCGAACCTCCTGCCGAGCCTGACGTGAGAGGGTAGGAGGCGGAACGCTCGAAGACAGGCTCGGGTTTGATTGGAGGTGCGATGCGCGGGGCGGTGAAGGCAGGGAGCGGGTTAAGCGCGGGGGAGGCGGGGACGGAGGCGGAGGGGGCGGCGGAGGAGGGGACGGGCGGAGGCGCAGATGGTTGCGCGTTCTGGGAGGCCTGGATGAAAGGATGAAGTAGCGCCTGGGTAGCGTGGTGGATGGGGAGGGAGAAAATACGAAAAAAACATATTAGAAAACGGATGGTAAAATTCCGTATGGTTTTGAGTGCATGTGTTCAAGTCGTTTGTGGCCATATGCGGGTGCAAGAGAATGAAATCGCGAGACGAGCTCACCTGCTGAGCAGAGGGGCGTTTAGCTGGGTCGTACTCCATCAAGGAAAAAATGAGCTCCGCCATGAGAGGATCGTGTTGTAACAGCATTCGGCCAAGTCGACCACGCCTGCAAATAGGAGGTAAGGTAGGAAAACAGGGGGATTAGAGATGTCGAAATCGTAGGTTTTCGCAAACTGTTTCGCGATGCTGGCGAATGCTCTCAGCCATCGTGAGCTTCGCGATTGATCCTAGCCACGCGAAACCGTTTTCCACCTGCACCAACTACAACAATGTGCAATCCAAATTCAAATTTCTTGTCAGCCGCGTCGCGCTTACCGCGCCGCCAATCCAGATTTCCGATTGGGCCACCATGCCCCAATCCCTTCCTCCTCCAGGCGGTCGTGATTGAAAAAGGAATTTTGCTATCCCAACAGCTAAGTTCTCACCTACCGCTGCCCCTGAAATATTCTTACCGAATTGTCGCATGGTTCTTCTCCGCTGAGTCGTCGTCGCCCACGCCCTTCCCGCCCTTCCCGCCCTCTCCGTCCGCTTCTCCTGCGATCTCCTCCAGCTGCTGCGACGGGTACACGCGCGCGCTCCTTGCCATCTGGGGGAAGAGCTTTCCGTTGCGAAACAGCTTCGCGGGAGGAGGTAACCCGAGCATCTCCACCATCTGGCGAAGCAGCTGCGCGGGCGAATCGCAGACGAAAAGCAACCGGCCAATCGCGAGCTCCGAAAGAACACACCCCAGCGACCAGAGATCGATACTCTTATCAAAGGGCAGCCCGAGCAAAACTTCAGGTGCCCGGTACGCGAGTGTCTGAACATCAAAATCCCGACACAAGTCCTTCACCTGCCGCTGCATGAACGAATTTCCAAAATCAGCGAGTTTGATATTCAGCGGCGCCGGCCGCGGGGAATGCACCGGGCAAACTCGCCCCCCCGAACCCGACGCCCCTGCAGCAACCGCAGCGGTTCCGCTTGGAATTGGAGCAGCAAGGAGGATATTTTCGGGCTTGATATCCCCGTGGATGAACCCGATCGAATGGACCGCCGCGAGCGCCGTGAGCACTTGGCGCGCAACCGCGCGGACGTCCTCCACTCTGTCGGGGAACGCTGGCGCGCGCGCAACTGGTCCGCTCCGCGCGCCCTCCGCAACGGGATCCGCGCAAGTGCACGACGCGGAAGCACCGCCGGGAGACGCGGTGGCTGATGCGGCGGGTTTCGCGGAGGCGTCTTCAACGGCCCGGCGACAGAGGTAATCGAGGAGCGACCCGTGAAGCTTCTCCAACACCAAACACATGTGCCCGGAAAAATCAAATCCTCCTGGTTCAATCAGCCGCACAACGGGACAGCCGTCAGCTTCTCGATCCCCGCTCTCCGCGCTCCCGTTTTCTGAGCCGCCAACTGCGGCCGGCAGAAGCGAGTTGAGGATATGTAGCAGCTGTAGCTCCTGCCGTCCCACCTCACGATACTGCCGGTGCATCGCCTTGATCACAACGGTCGGTTGTATCTGACTTTGGTTTTGATTCGACGCCCGTTGGAGATCAGACGCCGTTGGTAATCCCCCGAGCGCGCCCGCTCCGCTTGCCCCAGCCGCGGAGCTGCCTGCGGTATCCACCGCCTCGAACACGCGCGCAGACCCGCCTTCCGAGATCGTTGCGCGGAAGCGGAACCGTCCGCCGAGTAGGGGAAGGTGAGAACCCACGCGCAACCGGCCCGCGGGAGTCGTGTAGTTAGCGGTGGTGGTCGGCGGCGGCGCGGCGGCACCCGCGGCGTTCCCCGTGGAGCTTGCTCCGATTGCGCCCGTTCCGCCAAAAGGGAGCCCGCGGGTGTTGTGCGCAAGCGAAGGAAGGAGGCGGCCGATTGACGGGAACGACGGTGCGGCGGTGGCGGAAGAGTTGAGGTTGGCGGGGGGCGGAAGCAGCGGCGGAAGCGGCTCCATTGGCGGATGAACCTCCGCGGGGGACTTGGAGGACAACGAAGGCGGGGAAGCGAGAGCCGGGGCCGCGGGGGCTTCGGAGAGCGCGGGAAGGGGAAGGTGGAGGAGCGGGGGCACGATGGGCTGCTGCTGCAGTTGCTGCTGCTGTTGCTGCGGCGGCGGCTGCTGCTGCTGCTGCTGCTGTGGTTGGTGGGGAGGATACTGCTGCTGTTGCTGCTGATGTGGTTGGTATTGCGGATGCTGGGGGGGCGGCGGCTGCTGCTGCTGCTGGTACTGTTGTGGGTGTGTTTGCATGGACTGCTGATTCCCGTTGGACGGGGAAAGAAATTGCGCGGAGGCGCTGGGTCCCGGTGCGCTGCTGCCTGTGACGCTTTGAGGCGGGGCGAGAGAGGGAGCGGTAGGCAGAGGAAGAGACATCGACGACAACGACGAGTTGTCTTGCTGAGTGTGAGGCATACTCGCGTTACCATTGAGAGAGAGAGGGCGGAGCGACGGCGGGTGCGAAGGCTGTTGCCCCTGTTGCTGCTGCTGCTGATATTGCTGATGATGTTGAAATACCGGAAGAGGCTGCTGTTGCTGCTGCTGCGGCTGATGCGACGGCTGATGCTGAGGCTGTTGCTGCTGGTATTGGTTCTGCTGTCCTTGTTGCATCACCATCCCTTGCGCAAACGTCTGCTGCTGCGAATACTGCGGCGCGTACTGCGGTGGGATTTGCGCGGGCTGGTACGACTGTGGCTGTAGAAACTGCGGCTGTTGTTGCTGCGCTAGCTGCGCCTGTCCCTGCTGCTGCTCAGCCACCCGCACGCCTGACTGCTCCGCGGGCGCAGCGCCTCCCGCCGCCCCACCCATTCCCCCAAACCCCGATCCATGAATCGGATTGTGAACATTACTGCCTAGAGATTCTGTCTGGTGACCGTTGAAAACCCCGGTCTGGCCCGCTTGCTGCGGCGCTTGTAGCGGCGCCTTCAGCCCCTGCTGCGGCGCATGGAGTTGCGCTTGCGCACCCTCCCCGTCGCGCGCCTGGAGCAGCTGCTGCTGCTGCTGCAGGGGCATGGCGGAACCGAACAGCGCGCCGTTCGGGAGGGGCATCAGCGCGGGTGCCTGCGCGGAGGGCGCGGTGGAAGGCGCATGCGCGGATGGGGGTGCATGCGCGGAAGGAGGCATGTGTCTGCGTTCCACCTCTTGGGATTCCGCAAAACCGAGAGGCATCCGCCCCTCGATATAATCAGCACCCGACACGTCCCCACGTCTATTATCCCTATGCTACCAGTTGTGCTGAGACTTCAGTCACCCCAAATCATGGAAACGCTCGAGATATCTAGAGAATCGGTCTCGCTCTTTAGTCCAGTTGTTCAATCTTAAGAGCGCCCGGCATTCTTGCTCCGAATATAGCGTACGCCACCGCGTCTTTTGCGCATCTAATGACAGTTCGCTGAATTAACCTAGGCTACTACGCAAGTCTGGAATGCGGTCCGTTTACGTGAATAATCTCCTAGGTTGATGGAAGATTCGCGCCTCTCTTGGTTCTAGAGCTGAGACATTCAAATCAGACTGTACGACGAGACACGCAGAAGCGTAATGGCATGTGGCGAAGGGCTATTCAGAAGGAAGACAGGCGGTGGCTTGTGTGGGACGCTTGGTTGTTTGATCGCCCCTGTGTGTTCTCTGCAGCCACCTTGCTTCCCGTCGTGACGGGCTAGGAGAAGCAGAGGAAGTAACCTAACTGAGGGACAGGATTGACTTCCAGTCGCATGACGTCGGAATTTGGCGGACGGGCGACGGGGCGGGTTGTGGTCATGAGTCATGAGCGAGCAAGGACGGGTAATGAGATGACGAGTGGGGTTGTGTGGGTGTATGGCTTGGGTTGGGTTAGGGTGGCATGAATGGCTGGATGGCTGCTTTGGTGCTTTGCCGCCGTGGTTCGAGTGGCTGCGCATGGTGTATGGGTTTCCTTGCGCCGTGCGGCGTGGTTGTGCAACTTGTGGTTTGAAATGAGTTCTGACGTGGTACAGGAAAGCAAAATAGGGTTTGAGTGCGGTCATAATGAGTGGTTTTGGCAGTTGCGTTTCGGGAAAGGCATTTGAGAAATGCGTTCAAATTTAGCCGCAGCGGAAGATTGCGGGAGGGGCGAATTGAGAAGAATGTGGAACGGGCGGTCGCACAAGCCTCATCCCGTCGCAGCCCGTACGACATGCTCTCCACCGAAAAGGGGCTGATCGTCGACGTGAGCGACGTTTGCGACAGCTCGGCTGAAGGAGGGGGAGCTTGAACGACAGTTGCAGATAGAAATGGCTACGACAAACAGCTTCCACGTCACCTGTCGCGATGTCTTACGACGACTTGCGATCTTGTGGTGGTCATGCGATGGATTTCAAATCTTCGACTTCCCAGTGCGGGGCGCGGGACGCTCGGCTACCAATTACGTGCGCGGGCAACTCCTTCCCGCTTTCAGGTAGTGGCCGATTCGATGAGAGAATCCGCGATCCGACAACACGAAAGGAAATGGAGCACAGCCCAAGTCAATGCAGTCCCAACTGCTGAGGAATCGAAAACGACGAAATTGACGGCCGAGTGTACGGCCCTGTCTGGTCTGGACCGTCATCACCAAGGTAAGCATTGTGAATTGTAGCATCTGCAAGAAAGATTCTTTACCCTTTTTTCCGTGTTACGTTGCAAACACTGTTCCTCCTGGCTTTCGAACGGGAGTAAACCTTCAAACTGTATAGATTATCGACGTTTAAGACTACAGTTTATCGGGACATGAAGAAGGAAAACCATTATCACAAAATGCAAGATTGTGGTTGACAATCTGGGGCCTTGTCCGTTTTCGACTTCGAACCGTCCACAGTGATACCGCCCTAGCGCACAACTGTAATTTGACACCAATACACACTACAGGATTCGTATCATTCGAGTACAGCTTCAAGCAGGGTGCCTTTATGAAAATAAGGTCAAAAAAAAAAAAAACAATGTAAAATAAGAGGGGTGGCATGGCACTGACACATTATATCACAAACCCAAGCGCACAAGAACCTCATCAAGGAAAATTATGAAAGGAGCCGAGAACGCAAGCAGAAGCAGCAGGCCATACGCAACATTCCTCGGCAGGCCACATATGCGTACATCATCGTCCTCGTCTCCATCATTCCCTCCCCGCTTCTTCCTCTTCTTCCTCTCCAGAAGCTTCTTCCGGATAGCTGCGTCACTCAAAGCGCCCTTTGGCTGCAATGAAGGGCGCAGCAGGGAAAGGCAGGGCATATGAACAGGAGTCGTAAAGACGAATAAAAGCTTAGTGTTCTCATCATAGTTCATACAGAAGGAGCTATGAAAGAAATGCGCACAGGAATGAACATGGATGAGCTGAAATTTTGACAAGGAAAACATACAGCACACAATTCTTAGTTAAATGGTGTACAAATCCACTTACCTTGTCTCCGTTATAATCATCTTCTTCTCCTGACTCCACTTCCTCCTCTTCCTCCTCCTCGTCCTCCTCATCCCCATGATCCCACTCCTTTGCCTGCCAGTACAGCTCAGCAGCACGCGGGATCGCCACATCACGCAGGGTCAGTGCCACGTCGGCCTCCCTCTCCAGCAACTCAGAGGCCAACAGGTGGACCGCCTCGTCACCAGCGAACGCCAGGTGGCAGCGATTGTCGTCAAACAGCTGGAAGAAGCTGCAGCACGGCACGGGTGTGCAAATGGGGAAGATTGTAAGGGGGATGGTGAAAAGCCCAGCGCTGTATGTTGGCGTCCAGATCATCAGTAGCTATATATCAGCACCAGAAGTCACAAGATTACTTGTAGAGCAACCAAGGACAAGCCAGAATCCTTGCACCTCAAAACGAGTCACTAGTTGGGTGCAGGTGGTACCTGGGGTTTTGGGGAAGGTGATACCTGGGGTTTTGGGGAAGGTGATACCTGGGGCAGGGTTTTACTCGCAGCCGGCCTTTGCTGTCCTGCACCTCCTTGAGCGTCAACTCCATCCCTTCCTCCCACAAGATTGGCGTCCTACACTCCACCCGAACCAACCCACCAGCCTCGGCGCCCGCTGAACCTCCTGCCCCGGCGCCGCCGCCACCACCACCGCCAGTGCCTGCCCGGGTTTGGAAAAAGTAGGCCTTCGAAAGCACGCGATTGGCCATCCATTCCTTGCATCCGGGCAGGAACTCGAAATCTATTACAAACCCCGACTCCCCCTTCCCACACTCGGCCTTCTCACCCTTCCCTCCACCTCCTCCCCTCTCCCCATCCCCCTCCTCCCCTCCCTCCACTCCCTCCTCCCCTTCGTCTCCTTCTCTCCCCTTGAGTGGCCTCCAGCGAATGTCTGAGAGGTGAGCGAGGAGGGGGTGGTCGCGGCGGCGAATGGTCTCGACAAGGCAGGGCACGGAGCGCAGGACAAGCAGCCAGAAGCGGGGGAGATGGGCGTGGGAGGGGTCACCGCTGCAAGGAAGGAAGCAGGGAATAGCAGCGGAAAGGTGTGGTTTCAGCGGCAAATAGTCTCTACAAGGCAGGGCACGGAGCGCAAGACCAGCAGCCAGAAGCGCGGAAGATGGGCGTGGGAGGGGTCACCGCTGCAGGGGAAGGGTAGGACCCCATTTAGATCTGACTGCTCACCTGTCGAGGGCCTTGGGGCCAACCACAACCGCCTTGCGCCGAGCGAAGATGCCAGAAGAGCGTTCACTCAGAGAGGCGCGAGCAGCGGCGATGGTGGCCTCCCTTGCCTGCTCTCCCTGCTGCTGCTTCTCTTGAAGGTGCTTTAACGCTCTGATGGGAGTGGAGGGGCCAAAGGAAGGGAGAGGGTGAAGATGCCGGAAGAACGTTCACTCAGAGAGGCGCGAGCAGCAGCAATGGCTGCCTCCCTTGTGTGCTCTGCCTGCTGCTGCTTCCCTTGAAGGTGCTTCAACGCTCTGATGGGAGTGGAGGGGGGAGAGGTGCGGGGAGAGGCCGCACAAATGTGCTACAGACGCATAAAAACACATTTCTGCACGTGCACAGACCCTCATGAACCAATTATTGCATATACACACTCTGTCGCACGCGCACACACACTCTCACACACACAAATCCCCTCAAAATCCGCCATTTGTCTGCACCTGATCCGGAGCCGAACCAGCCGATGAGGTCCGGAAGATGGGCGCCGAACGTGCTCGTACCCCTCATCGTCTGCCACGTCAGCATCATCATCATCACCACCACCACCGCCCCCCACGCCACCCTCTTCCTCCCCAAAGCCCCCGCTCGTGAACAGATCAGCTGCCCTGGGTACCACCTGAGAGAATGTGGAAGGGAGAGGGCAAGGTAAGGGGGCAAGTGAATGGGGAAGGGAGGTTGGGGAAGCATCATCATCATCACTACCCCCCCTGCCGCCCTCTTCCTCCCAAAAGCCCCCGCTCGTGAACAGATCAGCTGCCCTGGGTACCACCTGAGAGGTAGGGTGGGAGGGAGGGTGGGACGGAGAGAAGGGGGGACGGTGCAAGTACAAATCTGTACATATACCACACATGCACACGATTTGAAGACCGTGAACACTTCGGGCGTACAACTCTGTATATGTACCACAAAAGAGAGCGTTCCACCGCACTGAACCGCTACTCATGTCATTGCACACCGCCTGCCAGATGTCCATCTTGCCAAAAGGAAACACACACTGCATAAGACACACACACCTTGTTACCGCACCAAACACCATTGCACCGCACTGAAACGGCACACACCTTGTTGCAGAGCGCCTGCCACACGTCCATCTTGCCATCAAATAACATCAGCTGCCCAGGACAGATATACCCCACTACCCCACCACACCGCATCACACACCATTGCACCGCACTGAACCGGCACGCACCTCATTGCACAGCGCCTGCCAGACGTCCATCTTGCCATCAGATAACACCCGCTCCTGAGGCACCCTCAGAACCACCTCCCCCAGATCCTCCCCCCCGAACACAGGCATCCCCTCCAAACCCTCCTCCCCCTCCTCCTCCCCTTCCTCCCCATCCCCCTCCTCCCCCTCTTCCCCCTCCTCTCCGTCCCCCCCTCTAATCCTCCCCCCCTTGCTGCTGTGCTGAGCCATGGCTTTATTCCCTCGCATGTTGCGCGAGAGAGTGAAGAAGTTGAAGAAGGAAGGGCAGGGCTTGGTCTTGACTGTGGCAGGGGGCTCCGCTTCCCTACCTGCTCCTTTCTTCCCTTTGCCACCCTGTGATGGAAAAACAAAGGGAGGGGAGGGAGGGAATGGAGAAGTTGAAGAAGGAGAGGCAGGGCTTGGTCTTGACTGTGGTAGGAGGCTCGGCTTCCCTACCTGCTCCTTTCGTCCCCTTGTCACCCTGTGGTGGAAAAACAAAGGGATGGGAGCGCAAGAACAAGGGGAAGGGGGTTGCTTGCAAGAGAGAGGGAACGAGGGAGGGAATGGAGAAGTTGAAGGAGGGGCAGGGCTTGGACTTGACTGTCGCAGGAGGCTCCACTTTCCTACCTGCTCCTTTTTTCCCCTTGCCACCCTGCGATGGAGAAAACAAAAGGAGGAGGGTGGGGGGGGGAGAAGGTGAATGGGGTCAAGACGATCGAACGTTGTCGTTGACTAAAGGATCTAAGGTTTTTTTAGAACTCATCCTTGAGGCATGTTCGCAAAAATCGCTGACTTTTTCTAGTGGTGTCGCAGTTAGAGAGTCGGCTGCGAGACGCAGAGCGTCATATGGAATATGGGGAAAAGGAAATTCCAATATTCAGCGTCATATGGAAACAGACGGGCTGAAATTCCGGTTGAAGAAGGTGGGTGACAAGGGAAGCCCAACAACGCCATCCCAATGACAAGCGCTGATGGCACTGTTTTTGAGTCGACTCAAAAACAGCGTCATACGGAAACAGACAGGCTGAAGTTCCTGTTAGAGAAGCCCAGCGACGGCATCCCAATGACAAGCGCTGATGGCAGACCAAGCATATCAAACAGATGACATGTAAGCTGATTGCGTTGAGGGAGCAGCTGAAACTGAAGAGGAAGCGGACTAGGCCTGAGAGTCGGGGCGAGGGCGGACAAGAGAGGTGTGGGAAGACAATCCTTGCTTGACGTGCACTCATTGGGGATTTTGGACAGAGTGAGCTGTTTTGCGAGAAGATGCAGAAGCAGAAATGTCTGTTACGACTGCTGACAGCAAAGAAAGGGGGGAGGGAGGGGATGAGGTTGGACTACCAGAGAGAGGCGGAGTGGTGAGGGTATTGGAGCTCGATTCTCCGGAAACATCTCCTGTTGGCTCTCAAACTCATAAGATGATAAGTTTTTGGAGAATCGAGATCAAACACCCACCTTCTGTCTCTCTCCAATAAACCGCCCACATTCCGATTGACGTCACAATCTTCTATGCACAATAAATACCCGAGCCAGTGCAGGGCAAGAGAAGAGGAACACAAGGGAGTGAAGAATCCCTCGTGTTCCTGAAGGTCAGCTGCTCCAGGGGAGAACGGGAACACGCGCGAAGGATTTGAAGAAGGAAGAGCAGGGCATGGTCTTGATTGCACCAGGGGGCTCGGCATCATATAACCTGTCCAATGAGCCCATTTCATCCGCCCTTTCTAACCAGTGTCAGATAGTTTAGCTAATCAGCCCAATTCATCAACCGACCAGGCTTAACTCACTTTCCCCTTCCTCCCAGCCTTCACGAGCAGCATCAGCATACAACAGTCTATCCAATCAGTCAGGTTCACCCACTCCCAAAACCCTATAGGCAACCAGGATAAATCCAACTCACCTTTCCCTTTTTCCCAGCCTTCACAATCTGTCGCAGCGTCAGATTCTTCTCAACGCTCTTCCACTGAATCTCCGACACCTCTTTCACCACCACCACCAATCCTCCCCCTCCCCCTCCGCCCCCTTCCCCCTCTCCTTCCTCCATTTCCCCCTCCTCTCCGTCTCCTCCTGTAGCCACCTCCACAGTCTCAATATAGAGCGATTTGTTAGAGAAAAACGCGTTGGGGCCGAAGTGTAGCTCCAGGCGAGTGACTGTACCGCCTGTGCCCTTATCAGAGGCACCGGTACTGTCATCAGCAGCTTTTCCACCGCCCTTAGAGGGAGACGTGAGGCGCACACGCACGTCCCTTAGGCTCTCGAAAGCTTCCTCATCTCGCTTGTGAATGAACTCTGCTACAGCATCCTGTGAGCGCAGGGAGGAGAGGGCAGGGGAGGGCAGGTGAGGGCAGCGGAGGGCAGAGGAGGGCAGGGGAAGAGAGGGGAGAATAGAGTGAGGCGAGTCAAGGTATTATCTGCACACGCACGTCCCTTGTGCTCTACAGTCCTCCTCGCAGTGAACTCCTCTACAGCATCCTGTGAGGGCGGGAAGAAAGGGAGAGCAGAGTGAGGGCAAACGAAAGAGCAGAAGCGGTAGGTACGGGGAGAGCACGCGGCCAGAGGGAGTGTGAGGCGAGTCAAGTCAGCATCTGCACTGCCCCTGCACGTCCCATAGGCTCTCCAATGCCTCCTCGTCTAACTTGTTAAGACAGAGAGGGGAGGGGGGAGGGGGAAGCGGAGGAGAGTGTGAGAAGAGGAATTAGCAAAGGACGTAGGCGCATCCAGCCTGTCTATATCCAGGCATTAGCAAAGGACGTAGGCGCATCCAGCCTGTCTATATCCAGGCATTAGCAAAGGACGTAGGCGCATCCAGCCTGTCTATATCCAGGCATTAGCAAAGGACGTAGGCGCATCCAGCCTGTCTATATCCAGGCATTAGCAAAGGACGTAGGCGCATCCAGCCTGTCTATATCCAGGCATTAGCAAAGGACGTAGGCGCATCCAGCCTGTCTATATCCAGGCATTAGCAAAGGACGTAGGCGCATCCAGCCTGTCTATATCCAGGCATTAGCAAAGGACGTAGGCGCATCCAGCCTGTCTATATCCAGGCATTAGCAAAGGACGTAGGCGCATCCAGCCTGTCTATATCCAGGCATTAGCAAAGGACGTAGGCGCATCCAGCCTGTCTATATCCAGGCATTAGCAAAGGACGTAGGCGCATCCAGCCTGTCTATATCCAGGCATTAGCAAAGGACGTAGGCGCATCCAGCCTGTCTATATCCAGGCATTAGCAAAGGACGTAGGCGCATCCAGCCTGTCTATATCCAGGCATTAGCAAAGGACGTAGGCGCATCCAGCCTGTCTATATCCAGGCATTAGCAAAGGACGTAGGCGCATCCAGCCTGTCTATATCCAGGCATTAGCAAAGGACGTAGGCGCATCCAGCCTGTCTATATCCAGGCATTAGCAAAGGACGTAGGCGCATCCAGCCTGTCTATATCCAGGCATTAGCAAAGGACGTAGGCGCATCCAGCCTGTCTATATCCCTGTCATCATGGTCTCTGCTCTCCAAAGCCTCCTCATCTCGCTTGTGAATACAGTAAGCTACTGAATATGGTGTCTGGGGTGGAAAGGTGTGGGGAGGGAGGGAGGGGGGGGGGGGGGGGGGGAGAGGGAAAGGCGTGAGGCTTCCTAGGAATGGGAAAGGGCTACCAACTTGACACATACACACAAAAAAAAAACAACAACAACAACAACAACTCTGATAGCAAGTCTTACAGAGAAAGCAAAAAAAAAAAAAAAAAAAAAAGCACGCACATGTTTCTTCAAGACAGTGAGCCAAAACTTGGGCACGCCTTTAGGCTCCTTCGTGACCTTCCCTCCTTGCTGCTGCTGCTGCTGCTGCTGCTCCCCTCCTCCCTCCTCCTCTTCCCCTTCATCTTCCTCCTCTGGGTCTGCAATGGCTGCCTCCTCCTCTGTCGGCTCTGATTCTCCACACACGATTTGCTTTCGCCTCTGATATACATGGCACGGAGAGATTTGAAGGGATGGATGAAAAGGATGGATAATGATGTTTGAAACGTCCCAAAACAACGCCTGCCTCCTCCTCTGGGTCTGCAATGGCTGCCTCCTCCTCTGTCGGCTCTGATTCTCCACACACGATCTGCTTTCGCCTCTGATGTACAGAGACAGATTTTGACAGGTGGATGGAAGGATGATTGGATTAACGGGTGGATTTCCACGTCCATTAAAAAACAACATGTAGTCAAGACATGCATGCATATGATAGATAGATTGGAGAGACATGCATGCATATGATTGCATATGATAAAACAACAGCCGGAACTGGGGAATTGATTGGATGAAACTTGGGGATGCCCAGGAGAGAAGAGATTACCTCGAAGAGAGGGTCGCTTGTTCGCTGATAAGCCTTAAGAGCCTTGGACACATCCGCGTTGTAAACGGATTCGAGTTTGTCGTACTCCTCCTGAGAGAGAGAAAAAAAAAAGATAGGAAGAGGGTGAAGCAAACTGATACAAAGTGAAGAACCATTTTCTGAAGCAGATGTGAAAAATAGAACAGCAAATAGAATCGAGACTTATTTTTTTAATCTCTCAACACAAACGACTCAAAGGGACTCAACACAACTAACGATTTGCTTCCACGGGCTCTGTTATAGTTGGTCTCGTCAACTGAAGCTCGTTTAACAGGTAACAGAAAGCGGGATGATAGAAGAGCTAACCTGCGGCTTCATACGCTCGTCTAGTAGCGTCTAATAGCAGACGGAAAGCGGGATGACAGAAAGACAACTCAATGTTACATAAGCTCGTCTAGCGGATCCATGGTTGCGGTACGCGTCTTGTTGAGACGAAGCAACGCAAGTAACCTTTGAGTCAACTCACAAAACTGTTTCATGCGATGTGAGAAGGCTCACCTGCAGCTTCATGAGCTCGTCTAGCGGATCCATGGCTGCTGCTTCACGCCTCGTCTTCGCGGCTCGTCGTCACGCCTCGTCGAGACAGAGCAACGCAAGGGACGGAAGATCTGCTTCCAGAAAAAAGCCCAGAAATCTGATGAGGAGATACACGGTAACCAGAATGGAATTGAAAAATGCTCGTCGAGGCAGCGTCGTGAGAGATTCCGCGTCGAACTTTACAATTTCAGTTCGTAATATGTATCCCTTCGTCTAAATCTGAATTTCCGAGTCGTAATCTCTCCGAGAGCTGCTAGAGAACGCACGAATGCCGTCCCTTGCTGCTTCCCAACAGCGAAGTCTCCACTCCGGAAAATATTTTCCTGCAACCGACTTTCCTAAGCGTCTGTAGTTATGCTTTCTGTGGCATCCATGGGTTCATAGTATCCCAAACCGAAAGTTATGGTGCATACAGCACACATGGCTCCAAGTGAAGGTCAACAGAGGAATTGAACTGCCGTAGCCCATGTCAGGGTACGGCTAGAAATTGTTTTTATTACAGAGTCCTGATATTTCACGGTGTCCTCAACAACTCCGCCAAAAAGCGACAGCGTAATCGGGTTCTGGTTCGTCATCTCCCGAGTTTTGTCGGTTGGGTAATTTATATCTGTGCGACACCTGAAAACTGAGGCGAGTTCCATCAGCCCTTCGAAAAGGGTCGACACAAAAAGCAAACAGATTGTGCCCTGCTTCAAACTTCTTGGCTGGGAACGTTATTATTTTGCAGTAAAGCGGTTTTATACGGCTCGTAACGAGCTTTAGCAAGACATGCTAAAGCGAGAATTGTGTCGCCCTCGTTAGATACTGATTGTAACAAGCTAGCCGCCAAAAATATGTATATACAGCAGCCACAAACAAAACTCGTTGCACTTTCAATCTAAGGTATGAAAAGCAGGCAGCGCAATGCAGCACTTTTGCTTGTCCTTCAACAAAATGCAACGACCTTCTTTGTCCCACTCCAAATCACAAACAGCCATGCCGTCCTGCACACGAAACGTAGATGCCGAACTGCTACTCACCCTTTCCTTTTGTACTACTGCATCTGCTGCTCCAGCACCATCAACCCCTTCCGTGCTTCCGCCATCATCAACCCTTTTCTTGCTCCCACCATCGCTTACTTTTACCGGCTTCCACGTAAATAAATGTGGTGTACCGGAGCAAAATGCAATGGAAGGAACAGCCGGGTGCCAGGCAGCCGCCCTGATTGGCTGACGCTGCAGCAGCACCGCCGCCAGCTCAAACTTGCGTCGTGCCGCCCAGATCCAAAGGACGGTCGGGATGTCATCGCAGCGCGTGGCTAGGTACTCCCCGTTGGCGCTCCACTGTATGAGACCTGGAGGGGGGGAACGAATAAAGCAGGGGGGTGAAGGGGAGTGGGGAGGGGACCGTTGGGTGGTGGGAATGGGTGTGTTGTTTGGGATGTCATCGCAGCGCGTGGCTAGGTACTACCCGTTGGCACTCCACTGTATGGGACCTGGAGGGGGGAGAAGAGTGGGGGGGAATGGGGGTGTTGGGGGTTGGGGATGGGTGGGGTGTTTTAAAGGAGGAAGAGCTTGAATGGCAGAATGGGCAACTGCTTTTGAGACGTTTCAAAAGCCACGTGTAGAGAGGGTGTTTTTGAGACGTCTCAAAAACACCCTCTCTACACGGGGATGGGTGGGGTGTTTTAAAGGAGGAAGAGCCTGACTGGCAGAATGGGCAGCTGCAACACGGTTCTCGGCCCCTGACATTGCAGCAGCAAGGGAAGCATTGGGGATGGAGGGTGTGAGGTAAGAAGAGAAGAGGAGAGGAGGGGGGAGTAGAGAGATCTCAACAAAGCTCAGGCAAGGTCAGTCAAAACTCAGTCAAGCTCAGGCAAGCTCAATCAAGCTACGTCAATCACAGTAAAGCTCAGTCAGTTTCAGCCAATCTCAGTCAAACTCAGCCAATCTCAGTCAAGCTCAGCCAATCTCAGTCAAGCTCAGTCAAGCTCAGTCAAGCTCAGTGAATACCAGTCAAGCCCGGTCAAGCTCAGTCGAATTCAGCCAATCTCAGTAAATCTCAGCCATTCTCAGTCAAGCTAGGCCAATCTCAGACAATCTCAGTCAATCTCAGCCCATCTCAGCCAATTTCAATCAACCACCCAAACAAATTACACAAGATTCACACCCCGAGCACAGACTTACCAACTCCTTGTTTTGGGTTGGGCTTGTCAACTGGAGGCTTCTGGACGGGCAGCTGAACGGGCAGCTCAAGCACCCTGTATGAAACGATTTCCACGTCTTCCTCCTCGTGGGCTCCTGCAAAACAGGACAGATCAGTTAGAAAATAATATGTGTTTCTAGGAAAATATTTTCTCCAGCTTATGTATTCGAAATATGCTATACAATAAGAAGACTCAACATGACATATCTTATGCCATATGACCTCAAAAATATCCTACAGGTTTCACATCACACATGGTATCAGGACACAACGCTCCTGATATCAGAACACAATGCATCTGCTATCGGGACTGACTTCAACACGTATCTGATGCTATCAGGACGAAGCTAACACACTTATCACATGGTATCAGGACAGAACGCACATGGCATGACAGGACACATGCTATCAGGACACAACTCACCTGGTGCCATAGTGGTGGCAGCTTCAGAAACCCCAAGGCATTCCTGGGGGTAGAGGAGTGGTCGATGAAATGGATGGGGTGGAAAGGGGTGGAAAGGGGTGGGAAGGGGTGGGACGGGATGGGAAGGGATGAGGAATTAGAGGCCTTGTTGCGTTGCACAGGTACAACACATAAAAGTAAAACTGTTTGATAAGACTCTGAATATATTCGCCAAGATGTGCAATTTTGATTCTTCGTTTCACGGCCGGAAAGCATGTCTCTGAGACTCCTTTTCAGGCGCCTCAAAAGTCGTTTGATTCTTCGTTTCACGGCCGGAAAGCATGTCTCTGAGACTCTGAGAGCAAGCACACCAATCTCTCGCGCACACCACCACACCGCACACACACACACACACACACACACACCACTTCTCACACACCTCGTACACCACGGCGGCAGCAGCCAGTGGGATTTTGACAGCTGGCGCGTGCGGCAGCTCCACTACTGGCCGCCCGTCCGCCGCCCGGAAGACTCGCAGCAGGCGGTCAGCCGAACAACCCACCGCCACCAGAGCACCTGAAGAAGCACCTGGCAGGGCACCTGAACCGCCGCCTGTGCTGCTGCTGCTGCTGCTGTTTGCGTTGCAAGGGACAATGGAGCCCGAAGCAGCGCCAAGTGAAAAGGCAGGGGAGGGGGCAACAGCCCTGACCCCCAGCCCCGGCCAGGGCAGCTCTATGCGTGCTTGGGGCTCGCCAGAGGGTGAGAAGAGCAGCAGCTGGTGGGGTTGATGGGGGTTGAGTGAGAGTAGAGATGGGGAAAGGGGATGTGAGGAGGTGTTGAGAGTAATTGGGTAAGGAAACTGAGTTAACAGCCCTGCCTCCCAGCCCAGGCCAGGGCAGCTCTATGCGTGCTTGGGGCTCTCCAGAGGGTGAGAAGAGCAGCAGCTGGTGGGGGAGAGAAGGTGAGAGGAAGGGGGGAAGAGGGAGAGAGAGGGGTATAGGAGGTGCTGACGGTAATGAAATAAGGTATGCATTCTGACTCCTAGCCCTGGCTAGGTCAACTCTGTGCAACTGTGTGTTTGGGGCTCTCCGGATTGTGAGACGAACAGCAGCTAGTGGGATAGAAAGGAGAGAGAGGTGGAAGAAAGGGAGGGAGATGTTATAAGATGTAGCTAAACTCGCGTTTGCTGCCCATCAACGGTCGACACGATAGCTGAATTCAACTGATAAGATGTAGCCAAAATACTTTTTTTCGTCCAAGATAGCTCACGTACCCTGAATTCCATTGGGTGATCCCAGACGATAACCCCACTGCCCTCAGCCGCCCATGCCACGTCAGCAGCGTCCACAGTGTCCGTGCGGAAGCAAACCACCTCCTGCCACGTGTCACAAGCGTACAGGCTCACCACGTCACGACTCTGCCCCGCTGCTCCCCCTCCCCCTCCCCCTCCCACTCCCGCTCCCCCTCCTGCTACAGCAGATGCTCTTCGTGCTCCTCCTCTTGCCTCTGTTCTGCCACCTTTCACCCCTCCCACCCCGACAGCAGAGCTCTCACTCGTTCTTCTAGCATTGGCACTACCAGCACCAACACCAGCAGCAGTACCAGCAGCACCAGCAGCAGCAGCAGCCCCAGATTCTATAACCCCAGCAGCAGCAGGGGTGGAAGCGGCAGGTGGCATGCTTTGATTGGACGGGAGCGAGTGGAGGGCTGCTAGGAGGAGGTGATTGGGTGAGAAGGCGAGGGCGTGGACAGGGTGCTTGGGCAGGGGGATGTGCACTGGGGGAGACTGGCTGTGGGGTGGGGAAGGAGAGGGAGGAGGGGAAAAGGAGTAGAGGGGATTTAGGCAGTGAAACGGAGGAGGTGGTTGGGGGAGGAGGAGAGGGCGCGCACAGGGTGCTTGGGCAGGGGGATGTGCACTGGGGGAGACTGGCTGTGGGGTGGGGAAGGGACGGGGGTGGGGAAAGGAAGGGAGAAGACAGAAAGGAGGAAGGGAGGGAAAGACCAAAGAAACAAATTGGATGATAAGACACTGGAGTGGAGGAGTCATTGCGGGAAAAAGCGAGGGTGCGGACAGGGTGCTTGGGAAGGGCCGCAGGGGGGTGTGAACAGGAGGGGAGTGGCTGTGTGGATTAACAGGTGAGGGAGAAGGGAAAATGAAAGGACTTGGCAATGGAAGAACGGCGAGGCTGTGCTGCAAGGTGCTTGGGTTGGGGAATGTGCGCTGCTATTCCATATAGCCCCCCAGAAGTCACATAATCACATTTTGTAAAAGTCATCGGGAATTAACTTTCCACATAGACCTGGAAATGGCTTTCCGTGTAGTCACTTAGAAGTGACATTCCATACGCTCATCTGGAAGTCACACCCCATATAATTACCTGAAAATAACAGATTTTGATATTGTCACCTAGAAGTCACATTCCAGCAGGTGCATGTAATCCGGGGCCCACGAGGCGTGTCACACTCCAAGCGTGTTACGCATTTATCGAGGCCTTCAACAGCAGGTCACAGTGCACGAGAACGAGACAGCAGGCGTGTTGCAAGCATTGATTGAGGCCTTCAACACGCCTGCTGTCTCGTCCTCGTGCATGCAAAAGTGACATTTCCATTCAGTGTAGTCACCTGGAAGCCACATCCCCTATGGTTACCTCGAAGTCACATTCCATATAGTCACACGGAGCCTGTGGTCCGAGGAGAGCAGCAGGTGGGTCGAGTCCGGAGCCCATGCAGCGTGCAGCAGGCCTGCTGTCTCGTCCTCGTGTACTGTGGCGGACCAATCAGGGAGAGCCACCGCCCACACCTGAAGAAAGGGGCCGAGGGGAGACAGGGAGATTCAGGGTGTGTGTGTGCGTGGGGAGTAGGGAGCCCATGCAGCGTGAAGCAGGCCTGCTGTCTTGTCCTCATGCACTGTGGCGGACCAATCGGGGAGAGCCACGGCCCACACCTGAAAAGAGGGGTTTCATACATATTAAGGGAAAGGAATGGGAGAGAAAGACGGTGTTTCATATGTGATAAGGGAGGGAAACTGAGGGTGCGGAGTGAGGGGCCATGAGGCGTGCAGCAGGCCTGCGTACAGAAATAATCTTAAGCGCACTGTAGCTTACACGCCTTGTAGCTTACATCTCTGAAGCTTACATGCACTGTAGCTTGTGAGTAGCAAGCTGCGAACACCATTGTGGAATCTGGAGCCCATTCAACGGCTGAGATTGGGCCTGTGCAGGTGCACGTTCGGAGGTCCTGTAGTTGAATTGAGTGGGCGCATACAGGGGACAGGTATCACAGATTGGCAGGCAGGGAGCGGAGGAGAGTGGGGGCAAGAAAAGTGAGCTGGATGGCAATAGGACGGAACAACAAACGATCCAATTATTTCAGAAACATTAAAAAAAAAAAAAAAAAAAAAAAAAAAAAAAAAAAAAACACACACACACACACACACACACACACACACACACACACACACACACACACACACACACACACACACATTTTCAAAACAATATTCGTGCAGACCGCCGGCTCAAATTGTTAGCGCCAGCCAGCAGTCCAGATATGCATGAGATGGTTATAGGAAACAGATTACTTGCCTCGAGTGACGGTACGGTCAGGTGCAGCCTCTTCCCCTGCGCGACGGGGAGGCACCGGCCGCTGGGGGAGAGTGTGAGGTGAATCAGGAGATTGAACAGTACCTACCGCACAACAATACTTGCCTCGAGAGACGGTACGGATCGCAGGTGCAACTTCTTCCCCTGCGCGACGGCGAGGCACCGTCCGTCGGGGGACAGGCTGCAGGCGCCAGTGTGAGGCAGCACCTCTGCGACGTCCATTTCAAGGGACAATGATACTTCAAGGGGTCGGAGGTCCTAGTCTAAAGAGAAAGAACGTAGTCTAAAGAAAAGGGACGTCACTACGGTAGTCTAAAGAAAATCCCGGAGTGTACGGGGTGCTAGTCTAAGCTAATTTTTCTCAATACTGAACCGACCGACCGAAGATGGAGGTGGCGGTGAAAACAGTGAAAGTGGAAACTATTGAATGGAAGGGGATCTGACAGATGCACGGAAGATGGCAAGCAGGTAGGACGTTAGGTACTATGTATCAGTCTTGGGAACTCCGAAATACGTCTAGCGTTTAGTCAAGAGTTATCGGCTCTTTCTTTCAGTGTCAGGCATTGACGAAATCTCCCATGCTTGTCCTAAACCCGAGGCTGTCTTGCAATGCAAACCGGAGAAGTCAAATAAACCACCCACCTTGGGAATGTTGAAGTGCGAGAATTCAAAAGTTTCTGAAAAGCGCGGGAAGGTTGGTGAGGTGACTGAAGGGAGGAAAGGAGCTGTCAGAGTCGGAACCTTGCAGTTTGCAGTGAAATGCGTTAGTGGCGTAAGCATGACTAGTCGAAGAAGTGTGTATACGCAACCGTCGCTGAGCTCAATGTAAAAATTATGAGTGTTTTTAACACGTTTACTCACATAATTAAGAACTATTCTTATTCTTTCTCCATTTTATTATGTGATAAAGCTTCACCCTGGATCAATTCTCTCTATATCAGCACATCAATCTCAGAATTGAACACTAAAATGTAGGTAATATGCTCATACGCGATAGCAGGTTTTTGTTAGGTTTTACACAAAAGCCAACTTCTTTATGAAGAGGAGCAAGGAGGCAAGGCGAGTGGCCGCCAAAGTTATACAAGCAGTTCCCAAGGTAGCGCTTGCTCTCCATCTCACCTCCCTGAAACGAGGCACTTCGGAGAACCTAGGCCGCAAGCTGCGAGTAAATTGATATCCTTTCGTTATAATCGCTCTATCTCCGCACCTGATGGTGAGAGCATTGAAGCCGCCGTATCTAGCTGAAGGCGCTAGCAGCTCAAGGGGAGTAGCACACGTGGCCGATTCCGACGTGGAGAATGCGCAACCAGGCGACCCGTAACAGCCATGAGCATCGTCATGAGCTCAACGAGTTTTTAAGAATCCTATACTGATTGCTTACTGGCCATGAACAGCAGCAGCAGCCCCATAAGCTTTGTTAATCTCTGAGGATTCCCGATAAGGCCATCGCGTGCGAACCCGCCATGAGCTCAGTTAGTGTCTGAGAGTTCTCAACGCGACAATCGTCACGTCAACCCATCGCATGATCAGGCCATAGCGAGTGAAGCACCATGAGCAGCGTTGAGCCTTTCCGTCGGTACGTGCTCGCTCGTGTTGCCTCTGTAGTGCTCTCGCTAATGTCACAAGCGGTACCGTCACTACCGTCCCCTGTTATCACCTACGCAACAGCCCCAGTGGCTTGTAATTAGTCCAATTACGTATCTCCTTTCCGACTCCAATCTTTCCTCATCTGTACCGCAGGCTTGTGAAACTAGTGGCTAATAATATAACCAAATTCTTTTTTTATTTCCATTTTCTGCTCTCGCTCGCTCTACTCTTGCAGGCTGGTGAAGTTAGTGGCTCGTGCATTTTACGACGACGATGTAACAGATGAGAAAGACAAAGATAAAGACAAGGAGAAGGAGAAGGAGAAAGAGAAGGAGAAGGAGAAGGGCGCCAGTCGCAAGGCAGAGCGGATATGCGGAGGGGAGACCAAGGGACTAACTATAGTCGTCCTCGATGCCCTTACAAGGTACACTGTATCTTCCTTTGTTTTCCTTACCTTTCTGGCTGGTAAAGATCAAGGATCGATGTCGGTACATTGTCATGGCTTTAAGACCCCCCTCTCCCCACCAACAGGCGGCAATGGATGCGAGAGGAGGAACTAGCGGAGCAGCTACATCTGCACCCGAAGCTGCATATGGCAATGCTGTTCCCCTGTTTCCCCCCTCATTCTTTATCTCTCTGTTCACCACCCACCAACAGGTGGCAGTGGATGCGGGAGGAGGAGCTGGCACGGCAGCTGCATCTGCACCCGAAGCAATGCCTCCCTGTCCCCTGCTTCCTCTCAATAGATTCTCTCTCCATTCACCTACCCACCAGGCGCCAGTGGATGCGAGAGGAGGAGCTGGCATGGCAGCTGCATCTGAGTCAACTGTCAAATCATGTAACAACTCGTCTTTGTTCCTTCGCCTCCCTATCTCGTTCTCCCCCCCTCGCCAGGCGGCAGTGGATGCGAGAGGAGGAGCTGGCACGGCAGCTGCATCTGCACCCAAAGCAGCTGAGGCCCTCATATGGCAATATTTCCTTTTCTGTTTCCCTGTCTTTCTCTCCCTTTGCCACCCAACAGGCGGCAGTGGATGAGAGAGGAGGAGTTGGCACGGCAGCTGCATCTGCACCCGAAGCAGCTGAGGCGGACATTGAAGATGCTGGAGGAGGAATTGATGATCGTGCGCGAGCACAGGAAGGAGGTGAGAGCGGTGGAGTGCGGTAATGGAGGAGTTTGTATGTGTTACAGTCTAGTGTGGTGCGGTGCGGTGGGGTACAGACAGTGAATGGTAACCACTTGAACCAGGTGAGGCAGACGCTGAAGATGCTGGAGGAGGAATTGATAATCGTGCGCGAGCACAGGAAGGAGGTGAGGGCGGTAGAGTGCGGTAATGGAGGAGTTTGTATGTTCTACAGTGTGGTGTGGTGCGGTGCGGTGTGGTACAGTGAATGGTAATCACTTGAACCAGCTGAGGCGGACGCTGAAGATGCTGCAGGAGGAGATGATAATCGTGTGGCAGCACAGGAAGGAGTTGAGAGTGGTCGTGAGGAGTTTCAGGAGGAGTGGTCTGGTGTGCTTTGGTGTGATGTGGTATTGCGTGGTGTGGTGGGGTGTGGTGAGCAGTGCTAATAAATTGAAGCATATTGTTGTGCTATGCAGACCAGTAGAGTAGCCAAGAGGCAGAGGCAGGAATGAGTGGGTAGAACTAGCAGCATGATGTGTGCGTCCGTTTTGAATCCTTTTTTTTCACTTTTTTACTCCCTCAACTCTTTGTCCCACACCCCAACCCTCTCTTCCTATGCAGAACACTCGAGCGGCCAAGAAACAGAAGCAGGAGGGGGAGGAGGGGGGAAAGGAAGGGGAGGCGGAAAACGAGGGGTCGAAATGGGAAGGGAATCCGGGGCAGAAGCTGAAGCAGCACTCTCACTCCTACTGCTGCCTGCACTACCCCCAGGTGTGTACCGTAACAGCCGTTCTTACTAACTTTTCATCTTATGTACTCTCAACTCAATTGACCTTCCTCTCTGTTACTTTCTCACTGTGCTGGCTATCAAGCTCCCTCTCCTCAACTTTCATATCTATGGGCTCGTGAGGTATCACATCCATCGGGCGAAGAGTGTGTTACTTTTGAGAAATCTCAAACGTAAAAAATAAAAATAAAAAATAAAAAAAAGGGTAACGCCAACATGTCGTGAGATATCGCATCCATCGGGCAAAGAAAGAAGCTCTCAAATGAAGAAACGGGTAGAAAGCTGCAAGCTCGGTAGACCGACCTGACTAATCTGAGTAGTACTAAAATCACAGAGTACTAGGCGAGAACACGTGTAGGTAAGCGTAGTAGTATTAAAAGGCAGATTACAAGTGGTTCAGAAAACGTACGCGCGTTTCGGCTTTTCAGGGCCTTCATCGGCGTTTCCGAATCCTAACATGTCGTGAGATATCGCATCCATCGGGCAAAGAAAGAAAGCAGTCTGGTTTTCCCTCCTAACGAGGTGACTTTTGAGTCGACTCAAAAGTCACTTTCATATCTATGGTGTCGTGAGGCATCGCATCCATCAGGCGAAGCGAAGGGAGCAATCTGGTTCTCCCTCTCGTTCCTCCAGCCAGCGTGCCACTCGCCTCCCATCATGGCAGATCTACGATGTCGTGAGGTATCGCATTCACCGAGCAAAGAAAGCGATAAAGAACGAGCTGATGCAAGGGACGAGCGCTGCTGGACAGCCGCAAAGAGGTGATGCACCTGCCAGGTGACTTTTGAGTCGACTCAAAAGTCAGGATGAGCGCTGCTGGAAAGCCGCAAGGAGGTGATGCACTGCACCTGCTGTGCGGATTGACCTCCCTCCCTCCCTCCTGTTCTTTCTTCCCCCCGCATGCCGCTTGCCTCCCTCCCAACCTACCAGATCTACGATGGCGTGCGGTACCGCATTCACCGCGCGGTGGACGAGCTAGATTGACCTCCCTCTTACTCCTCCCTCCTGCCACTTGCGTGCCTCTCGCCTCCCAACCTGCCAGATCTACGATGGCGTGCGGTACCGCATTCACCGCGCGGTGGACGAGCTGGATTGACCTCCCTCTTACTCCTCCCTCCTGCCACTTGCGTGCCTCTCGCCTCCCAACCTGCCAGATCTACGATGGCGTGCGGTACCGCATTCACCGCGCGGTGGACGAGCTGGATGGACCTCAAAGAAGGCAATAAAGGACGAGCTGGACAGCCGCAAGGAGGCCATGTACCTGCCAGCCAGGCAGATTGACATCTCCTGCCTGCCACTTGGCTTCCCACTTGCCTCTCAACCTGACAGATCTACGACGTGGTGAGGTATGGCATTCACCGGGCGAAGAAGGCTATAAAGGACGAGCTGGACAGCCGCAAGGAGGTGATGCACCTGCTGTGACAGGCACATTCACCTCCCTCCTCTTCCTTTCCTCCCGCATGCCACTTGCCTGCCACTTGGCTTCCCACTTGCCTCCCAACCTGCCAGATCTACGATGTGGTGAGGTATCGCATTCACCGGGCGAAGAAAGCTATTAAGGACGAATTGGATAGCCGCAAGGAGGTCATGTACCTGCTGTGCCCCAACCCGCACTGCAAGGCCCGGTGAGCACAATAACCCCACTGTGTGTGTGCTGTTTGCAAGCCTTGAGGGTTCATTCATTTCGCTTTGGGCTGTGTTTGGAGTCGCCGTCTCAAAGCTAGACAGTCGCAAGGAGGTCATGTACCTGCTGTGCCCCAACCCGCACTGCAAGGCCCGGTGAGCTTTCTTGCTCTGCTCACTGCTCCCACCCTGGCCCGTGGGTGCTCCATTGTGTGCTGCTTGGGAGATGATTCACTGTGCTTTGAGCTCCCGCCTCAGTGTGCTGGATAGCCGTAAGGAGGTTATGTACCTGCTGTGCCCCAACCCGCACTGCAACGCCAGGTGGGTGTCTTTCATTGCTCCAAGTGTCGCTGCTGCTCCGTTGTGTGCTGTTTGGGAGGGTGGTCCATTGTCCTTTGAGGCGTCATCTCAAAGCTCGACAGCCGCAAGGAGGATATGCACCTGCTATGCCCCAACCCGCACTGCAAGGCCAGGTGGGTGCTGTACTGCTTCTCCGCTCACCGCTGCTCCCATCATTGCTGCCGTTCTTTTTTGTGCTGTTTGGTTTGGTATGGTGCCCCACTGTGCTTTGAGCCACCATCTCATAGCGACAGCCGCACGGGGGTTATGTACCTGCTATGCCCCAACCCGCATGTTTTGAGTCGACTCAAAACACGGGGGTTATGTGCCTGCTATGCCCCAACCCGCACTGCAAGGCCAGGTGGGTGGGGAGGGGGAGGATACTAATCGAGTTTTGAGACGAGTCTTGAGACGAGTTTGAGACGAGTTTTGAGACGAGTTTTGAGACGTCCATATGTATCTCAAAACTTGACCCTATGTATCTGTCTGTCTCTTCCCCATCCTCTCCGTGTAAGATACTCCACATTGGATACAGAGGGGGAGCATTTCTTTGACCTTTTGTATCTGTCTTCTCCCCCCCATCTCTCCGTGTCAGATACTCCACATTGGATACAGATAGACTTATCGATCCGGTGGACTTCAATCTCAAGTGCGAGCGCTGCCACTCAGAGCTGGAGGCCCAGTCTGACATGCTGGGAGGGGGAGGGGGAGGGGGGAAATGGCACCTGGTTAGCCTTATGTATCTGTCTGCGTCCCCCCCGCTCTCCCATATTACCAGGTACTCCACACTGGACACAGATAGACTGATAGACCCAGTGGACTTCAATCTCAAGTGCGAGCGCTGCCACTCAGAGCTGGAGGCGGAATCGGACATGCTGGGAGGGGGAGGCGGAGGGGGAGGGGTGGATGGGGAGGATAACACGAGGAAGAAGAAGAAAGAGGCGCTTCAAAACATGCTGGCTAGATTCGAGGTGAGTGGATGTGTGGTCGTGAAGGTAGGCAGAACAAAGGGGTGTGGAGATGGGTGCAGGGGAGAGGAAGAGGGGGATGGGGAGGATAACACGAGGAAGAGGAAGAAAGAGGCTCTTCAAAACATGCTGGCGAGGTTCGAGGTGAGTGGATGGTCAGGAAGATGGGAGGGAGGGAGGGAAGAGGGGTGGGAATATGGGGAGGGAAGGAGGATGGGGTGGATAACATGAGGGAGAAGAAAAAAGAGGCGCTTCAAGACATGCTGGCGAGGTTTGATTTGAGTGGGGAGTGGTAGAGATGGGTAGGGAAGGAAGAGGAGATGGGAATATAGAAAAGGGGCGGGGGCGGGGGGATAATACGAGGAAGAAGAACGAGGCGCTTCAAGACATGCTGGCGAGGTTCGAGGTGAGTGGATGGTTGTGATGATGGGGAGGGAGGGAGGATGGGGTATGGAGGGGGAAATGGTATGGGAAATTGGGGAGCAGGAATGGGAGGTGGGGGATGGGGAAGATAATATGCGAACGAAGAAGGGTGGCGTGGCGACGCCTTGGTCTCTATCCGAATGGGAGACCAAGGCGTCGCCACGCCACCCTTCTTCCCATCCACTTGCCCTGCCATGTCCCCCTCCTTCCACCCCCACACCCAGCGCCAACTGAAACCTCTCATGGAGCAGATAGTGAAAGTGAAGGACCTCTCACCACCTCCCTGCCGTGCCATGCCCTCCCCTCTCCTCACCTCCCCTCCCCGTCCCCAGCGCCAACTGAAACCTCTCATGGAGCAGATAGTGAAGGTGAAGGACCTCACGCCCCCTTACTTTAGCTCTCTGTCTGAGTGGGAACCCAAGGCTCATCAGGTTCCTCACTGTCCCATCGCCCTGCCCTCTCCCATCGCCCTGCCCTTCCGTTCCCCAGCGCCAACTAAAACCCCTGATGGAGCAGATAGTGAAGGTGAAGGACCTCACACCGCCCTACTTCGGGTCTCTATCCGAGTGGGAGGCCAAGGCGTCGCCAGCACAGAGGGCAGCCGCAGTGGGGGGGGAGATTCCCAAGGCCCTCCCCCGTCTGGCAGGGCCGGGGGGAGGGGGCGCCGGTTCGACTCCTCTTCCTTTCATGGGGGAGACACGGGTAAGTGTCACCTTGTCTAGGTGAGAGTTCAATGCACCGCCCACACAGAGGGGAGATTCCCAAGGCTCTCCCCCGGCTGGCGGGGCTGGGGGGAGGGGGCGCCGGTTCGACTCCTCTTCCCTTCATGGGGGAGACGCGGGTACGTTTCACTCGTCAGAAGGGTGGGGAGTTCCCAGGCAGCGCAAGCCTGCAAGACGTCGCCAGCACAGAGGGCAGCCGCAGTGGGGGGGGAGATCCCCAAGGCCCTCCTCCGGCTGGCAGGGCCGGGGGGAGGGGGTGCTGGGTCCACCTCCCTGCCCTTCGTGGGCGAGACACGGGTACGTTTCACAAGGTTTGGTTGAGTGGGAGTTGAAGCCTCTAAACTTCCAAATCTCTCCCCCGGTTGGCGGGGCCGCGGGGGGGAGAGTGGGTGCTGGGTCGACTCCTCTTCCCTTCATGGGGGAGACACGGGTAGGTGGATGTCAGGGTGAGGACTGGTGGGTGGGTTGTGCCTTTCTTGAGTGGGAGTTGAAGCCTCTCTAAACTTCCAAGTCTCTCCCCCGGTTGGCGGGACAGAGAGGGGGAGGGGGTGCTGGGTCGACTCCTCTTCCCTTCATGGGCGAGACACGGGTAGGTGGATGGCAGGGTGAGGACTGGTGGGTGGGTTGTGCCTTTCTTGAGTGGGAGTTGAAGCCTCTAAACTTCCAAGTCTCTCCCTCGGTTGGCGGGACAGAGAGGGGGAGGGGGTGCTGGGTCCACTCCTCTTCCCTTCATGGGGGAGACACGGGTAGGTGGATGGCAGGGTGAGGACTGGTGGGTGGGTTGTGCCTTTCTTGAGTGGGAGTTGAAGCCTCTCTAAACTTCCAAGTCTCTCCCCCGGTTGGCGGGACAGAGAGGGGGAGGGGGTGCTGGGTCGACTCCTCTTCCCTTCATGGGCGAGACACGGGTAGGTGGATGGCAGGGTGAGGACTGGTGGGTGGGTTGTGCCTTTCTTGAGTGGGAGTTGAAGCCTCTAAACTTCCAAGTCTCTCCCCCGGTTGGCGGGACAGAGAGGGGGAGGGGGCGCCGGGTCCACTCCTCTTCCCTTCATGGGGGAGACACGGGTAGGTGGATGGCAGGGTGAGGACTGGTGGGTGGGTTGTGCCTTTCTTGAGTGGGAGTTGAAGCCTCTAAACTTCCAAGTCTCTCCCCCGGTTGGCGGGACAGAGAGGGGGAGGGGGCGCCGGGTCCACTCCGCTGCCCTTCATGGGGGAGACACGGGTAGGTGGATGGCAGGGTGAGGACTGGTGGGTGGGTTGTGCCTTTCTTGAGTGGGAGTTGAAGCCTCTAAACTTCCAAGTCTCTCCCCCGGTTGGCGGGACAGAGAGGGGGAGGGGGCGCCGGGTCCACTCCGCTGCCCTTCATGGGGGAGACACGGGTAGGTGGATGGCAGGGTGAGGACTGGTGGGTGGGTTGTGCCTTTCTTGAGTGGGAGTTGAAGCCTCTAAACTTCCAAGTCTCTCCCCCGGTTGGCGGGACAGAGAGGGGGAGGGGGTGCTGGGTCCACTCCTCTTCCCTTCATGGGGGAGACACGGGTAGGTGGATGGCAGGGTGAGGACTGGTGGGTGGGTTGTGCCTTTCTTGAGTGGGAGTTGAAGCCTCTAAACTTCCAAGTCTCTCCCCCGGTTGGCGGGACAGAGAGGGGGAGGGGGCGCCGGGTCCACTCCTCTTCCCTTCATGGGGGAGACACGGGTAGGTGGATGGCAGGGTGAGGACTGGTGGGTGGGTTGTGCCTTTCTTGAGTGGGAGTTGAAGCCTCTAAACTTCCAAGTCTCTCCCCCGGTTGGCGGGACAGAGAGGGGGAGGGGGCGCCGGGTCCACTCCGCTGCCCTTCATGGGGGAGACACGGGTAGGTGGATGGCAGGGTGAGGACTGGTGGGTGGGTTGTGCCTTTCTTGAGTGGGAGTTGAAGCCTCTAAACTTCCAAGTCTCTCCCCCGGTTGGCGGGACAGAGAGGGGGAGGGGGCGCCGGGTCCACTCCGCTGCCCTTCATGGGGGAGACACGGGTAGGTGGATGGCAGGGTGAGGACTGGTGGGTGGGTTGTGCCTTTCTTGAGTGGGAGTTGAAGCCTCTAAACTTCCAAGTCTCTCCCCCGGTTGGCGGGACAGAGAGGGGGAGGGGGCGCCGGGTCCACTCCGCTGCCCTTCATGGGGGAGACACGGGTAGGTGGATGGCAGGGTGAGGACTGGTGGGTGGGTTGTGCCTTTCTTGAGTGGGAGTTGAAGCCTCTAAACTTCCAAGTCTCTCCCCCGGTTGGCGGGACAGAGAGGGGGAGGGGGCGCCGGGTCCACTCCTCTTCCCTTCATGGGGGAGACACGGGTAGGTGGATGGCAGGGTGAGGACTGGTGGGTGGGTTGTGCCTTTCTTGAGTGGGAGTTGAAGCCTCTAAACTTCCAAGTCTCTCCCCCGGTTGGCGGGACAGAGAGGGGGAGGGGGCGCCGGGTCCACTCCGCTGCCCTTCATGGGGGAGACACGGGTAGGTGGATGGCAGGGTGAGGACTGGTGGGTGGGTTGTGCCTTTCTTGAGTGGGAGTTGAAGCCTCTAAACTTCCAAGTCTCTCCCCCGGTTGGCGGGACAGAGAGGGGGAGGGGGTGCTGGGTCCACTCCTCTTCCCTTCATGGGGGAGACACGGGTAGGTGGATGGCAGGGTGAGGACTGGTGGGTGGGTTGTGCCTTTCTTGAGTGGGAGTTGAAGCCTCTAAACTTCCAAGTCTCTCCCCCGGTTGGCGGGACAGAGAGGGGGAGGGGGTGCTGGGTCCACTCCTCTTCCCTTCATGGGGGAGACACGGGTAGGTGGATGGCAGGGTGAGGACTGGTGGGTGGGTTGTGCCTTTCTTGAGTGGGAGTTGAAGCCTCTAAACTTCCAAGTCTCTCCCCCGGTTGGCGGGACAGAGAGGGGGAGGGGGCGCCGGGTCCACTCCGCTGCCCTTCATGGGGGAGACACGGGTAGGTGGATGGCAGGGTGAGGACTGGTGGGTGGGTTGTGCCTTTCTTGAGTGGGAGTTGAAGCCTCTAAACTTCCAAGTCTCTCCCCCGGTTGGCGGGACAGAGAGGGGGAGGGGGCGCCGGGTCCACTCCTCTTCCCTTCATGGGGGAGACACGGGTAGGTGGATGGCAGGGTGAGGACTGGTGGGTGGGTTGTGCCTTTCTTGAGTGGGAGTTGAAGCCTCTAAACTTCCAAGTCTCTCCCCCGGTTGGCGGGACAGAGAGGGGGAGGGGGCGCCGGGTCCACTCCGCTGCCCTTCATGGGGGAGACACGGGTAGGTGGATGGCAGGGTGAGGACTGGTGGGTGGGTTGTGCCTTTCTTGAGTGGGAGTTGAAGCCTCTAAACTTCCAAGTCTCTCCCCCGGTTGGCGGGACAGAGAGGGGGAGGGGGTGCTGGGTCGACTCCTCTTCCCTTCGTGGGCGAGACACGGGTAGGTGGATGGCAGGGTGAGGACTGGTGGGTGGGTTGTGCCTTTCTTGAGTGGGAGTTGAAGCCTCTAAACTTCCAAGTCTCTCCCCCGGTTGGCGGGACAGAGAGGGGGAGGGGGTGCTGGGTCGACTCCTCTTCCCTTCATGGGCGAGACACGGGTAGGTGGATGGCAGGGTGAGGACTGGTGGGTGGGTTGTGCCTTTCTTGAGTGGGAGTTGAAGCCTCTAAACTTCCAAGTCTCTCCCCCGGTTGGCGGGACAGAGAGGGGGAGGGGGTGCTGGGTCGACTCCTCTTCCCTTCATGGGCGAGACACGGGTAGGTGGATGGCAGGGTGAGGACTGGTGGGTGGGTTGTGCCTTTCTTGAGTGGGAGTTGAAGCCTCTAAACTTCCAAGTCTCTCCCCCGGTTGGCGGGACAGAGAGGGGGAGGGGGTGCTGGGTCCACTCCTCTTCCCTTCATGGGGGAGACACGGGTAGGTGGATGGCAGGGTGAGGACTGGTGGGTGGGTTGTGCCTTTCTTGAGTGGGAGTTGAAGCCTCTAAACTTCCAAGTCTCTCCCCCGGTTGGCGGGACAGAGAGGGGGAGGGGGTGCTGGGTCCACTCCTCTTCCCTTCATGGGGGAGACACGGGTAGGTGGATGGCAGGGTGAGGACTGGTGGGTGGGTTGTGCCTTTCTTGAGTGGGAGTTGAAGCCTCTAAACTTCCAAGTCTCTCCCCCGGTTGGCGGGACAGAGAGGGGGAGGGGGCGCCGGGTCCACTCCGCTGCCCTTCATGGGGGAGACACGGGTAGGTGGATGGCAGGGTGAGGACTGGTGGGTGGGTTGTGCCTTTCTTGAGTGGGAGTTGAAGCCTCTAAACTTCCAAGTCTCTCCCCCGGTTGGCGGGACAGAGAGGGGGAGGGGGCGCCGGGTCCACTCCTCTTCCCTTCATGGGGGAGACACGGGTAGGTGGATGGCAGGGTGAGGACTGGTGGGTGGGTTGTGCCTTTCTTGAGTGGGAGTTGAAGCCTCTAAACTTCCAAGTCTCTCCCCCGGTTGGCGGGACAGAGAGGGGGAGGGGGCGCCGGGTCCACTCCGCTGCCCTTCATGGGGGAGACACGGGTAGGTGGATGGCAGGGTGAGGACTGGTGGGTGGGTTGTGCCTTTCTTGAGTGGGAGTTGAAGCCTCTAAACTTCCAAGTCTCTCCCCCGGTTGGCGGGACAGAGAGGGGGAGGGGGTGCTGGGTCGACTCCTCTTCCCTTCGTGGGCGAGACACGGGTAGGTGGATGGCAGGGTGAGGACTGGTGGGTGGGTTGTGCCTTTCTTGAGTGGGAGTTGAAGCCTCTAAACTTCCAAGTCTCTCCCCCGGTTGGCGGGACAGAGAGGGGGAGGGGGTGCTGGGTCGACTCCTCTTCCCTTCATGGGCGAGACACGGGTAGGTGGATGGCAGGGTGAGGACTGGTGGGTGGGTTGTGCCTTTCTTGAGTGGGAGTTGAAGCCTCTAAACTTCCAAGTCTCTCCCCCGGTTGGCGGGACAGAGAGGGGGAGGGGGTGCTGGGTCGACTCCTCTTCCCTTCATGGGCGAGACACGGGTAGGTGGATGGCAGGGTGAGGACTGGTGGGTGGGTTGTGCCTTTCTTGAGTGGGAGTTGAAGCCTCTAAACTTCCAAGTCTCTCCCCCGGTTGGCGGGACAGAGAGGGGGAGGGGGTGCTGGGTCCACTCCTCTTCCCTTCATGGGGGAGACACGGGTAGGTGGATGGCAGGGTGAGGACTGGTGGGTGGGTTGTGCCTTTCTTGAGTGGGAGTTGAAGCCTCTAAACTTCCAAGTCTCTCCCCCGGTTGGCGGGACAGAGAGGGGGAGGGGGTGCTGGGTCCACTCCTCTTCCCTTCATGGGGGAGACACGGGTAGGTGGATGGCAGGGTGAGGACTGGTGGGTGGGTTGTGCCTTTCTTGAGTGGGAGTTGAAGCCTCTAAACTTCCAAGTCTCTCCCCCGGTTGGCGGGACAGAGAGGGGGAGGGGGCGCCGGGTCCACTCCGCTGCCCTTCATGGGGGAGACACGGGTAGGTGGATGGCAGGGTGAGGACTGGTGGGTGGGTTGTGCCTTTCTTGAGTGGGAGTTGAAGCCTCTAAACTTCCAAGTCTCTCCCCCGGTTGGCGGGACAGAGAGGGGGAGGGGGTGCTGGGTCCACTCCTCTTCCCTTCATGGGGGAGACACGGGTAGGTGGATGGCAGGGTGAGGACTGGTGGGTGGGTTGTGCCTTTCTTGAGTGGGAGTTGAAGCCTCTAAACTTCCAAGTCTCTCCCCCGGTTGGCGGGACAGAGAGGGGGAGGGGGCGCCGGGTCCACTCCTCTTCCCTTCATGGGGGAGACACGGGTAGGTGGATGGCAGGGTGAGGACTGGTGGGTGGGTTGTGCCTTTCTTGAGTGGGAGTTGAAGCCTCTAAACTTCCAAGTCTCTCCCCCGGTTGGCGGGACAGAGAGGGGGAGGGGGCGCCGGGTCCACTCCGCTGCCCTTCATGGGGGAGACACGGGTAGGTGGATGGCAGGGTGAGGACTGGTGGGTGGGTTGTGCCTTTCTTGAGTGGGAGTTGAAGCCTCTAAACTTCCAAGTCTCTCCCCCGGTTGGCGGGACAGAGAGGGGGAGGGGGCACCGGGTCCACTCCGCTGCCCTTCATGGGGGAGACACGGGTAGGTGGATGGCAGGGTGAGGACTGGTGGGTGGGTTGTGCCTTTCTTGAGTGGGAGTTGAAGCCTCTAAACTTCCAAGTCTCTCCCCCGGTTGGCGGGACAGAGAGGGGGAGGGGGTGCTGGGTCCACTCCGCTTCCCTTCATGGGGGAGACACGGGTAGGTGGATGGCAGGGTGAGGACTGGTGGGTGGGTTGTGCCTTTCTTGAGTGGGAGTTGAAGCCTCTAAACTTCCAAGTCTCTCCCCCGGTTGGCGGGACAGAGAGGGGGAGGGGGCGCCGGGTCCACTCCGCTGCCCTTCATGGGGGAGACACGGGTAGGTGGATGGCAGGGTGAGGACTGGTGGGTGGGTTGTGCCTTTCTTGAGTGGGAGTTGAAGCCTCTAAACTTCCAAGTCTCTACCCCGGTTGGCGGGACAGAGAGGGGGAGGGGGCGCCGGGTCCACTCCGCTGCCCTTCATGGGGGAGACACGGGTAGGTGGATGGCAGGGTGAGGACTGGTGGGTGGGTTGTGCCTTTCTTGAGTGGGAGTTGAAGCCTCTAAACTTCCAAGTCTCTCCCCCGGTTGGCGGGACAGAGAGGGGGAGGGGGTGCTGGGTCCACTCCTCTTCCCTTCATGGGGGAGACACGGGTAGGTGGATGGCAGGGTGAGGACTGGTGGGTGGGTTGTGCCTTTCTTGAGTGGGAGTTGAAGCCTCTAAACTTCCAAGTCTCTCCCCCGGTTGGCGGGACAGAGAGGGGGAGGGGGCGCCGGGTCCACTCCGCTGCCCTTCATGGGGGAGACACGGGTGAAAGAAACTATGAAGTAGAATCATTAAGATTAGCTCAAGGGAGCACAAGGTTATACAAGCAAGAGAAGGTTGGAGAGGAACACCAAACCTAGCACATAAGACACCAAGACCAAGTGGCCTAGTGGGAGGAAGGACCATCCAACCAACCCTAGTGGGGTGGTGGCCAACCAACCAAAGTTGGTTGCCCCAGCACATGGGGCAGTGATGGTTTGACAACCCCACTTGGCCAACAAGGTTGGAACCAAGTCTAAGCTAGGATATTTGGGTTCACCCCAATTAGGGTGTTTACCCACACTACACCCAAAACTAGAGCATGCATGTATAAGTATATTCTAACACAACCCCTTACATGCAGAAGCTATAGTGCCTGGGTGAGAGAGGTAAACAACCCCTGAATCAGGAGGAGGGAGGTGGTCCGAGGCCCAGGAGGGGGAGGAGGGCAGAGTGCGCAGAACGAGGAAGCGCCTTGGTGAAAATATCAGCAAGGTTTGCGGAAGCATCAATCTTCTTGACCTGCAAGAGCCCCTGCTGGGCCAGTTCCCGAACGAAGAAGTAGCGGAGTTCAATATGCTGGAGCGGCCATGGAAGACGGCATCCTTGGTGAGGTGGATGGTGCTCGCGTTGTCGCACCAGATGGTGGGGCAAGGCTGCGGGACACCAAGCTCGTCAAGAAGGAAGCCAAGCCACCGAGCTTCCTGAGCCGCCATGGTCACAGCGTACAGCTCCGCCTCACAAGTGGACAAGGCAATGGCGGAAGAACGAGTGGCACGCCAGCTGATGAGGCCGCTACCAAGGGTAAAGCCATAGCCCTGGGAGGAACGTCGGTCGGGTTGGCAATCCGCCCAAGACGAGTCACTGTACCCCGAGAGGGACAACGGTGGGGTCCCACCGAGAGTGAGGACATAGTCCTTGGTGCCGCGAAGGTAGCGCAGAACCCGCTTGGCCGCCTGCCAGTGCGTTGTCGTGTGGCGCCCAGTACCAACAAAACGAGCGAGGACGCTGATGGGGTATGCCAGGTCGGGGCGAGTGCACATCATAGCATACATGAGAGATCCGACCAACTCCGGATACGGGTAGAGGGAGGAGGTCGGGGTCACGGGAGTTGATGAGGCCGATAGCCCGAGTGTCGGCAATGCACCAGGCGGCATGACGAGACTTGAAATCAGTCAGCTGGGAGGTGTACGACGTCTTATCAGCAGTGTACTTCGCTTGAAGGGCAGTAGCCGTGGTGTAAGCAGCAAGGGCTGCCTTGTGAGTATCCACCAATCGCGTGTGTGTTGCCACCTCCTCCGCATAGGTGGTGAGACGCGAGGCATTGGTGGTGTTGTCGGTCACAAGGCGAGGGAGATCAGGCGGGCGAGGTGCGTCGCCAGGATTGGGTGGCGGAGGTGGAGGTTCAAGACCAAGAGAGGGAGGTGGCTGGGGCTCAAGGCCATCCGGTTCGGCAAAGACAACGGAGTGGAGGTTAAAGCCGCCCACAATGGTGGAGCGGAGGACGCCGGTGAGACTCTGTGAGAAACGGTGCCAATTCAGTGCGGTAGTGCCGTCCTGGACCTCTAGGCGAACGATGGAGCCGGTGTCAATAGGCACAGTGTCGGTCGTCATGAGTGTCGCTCCTGCTGCCGCCGTTGAGTTGCTGTTCAGCTCCGCCGCTGCTGCTGCTGTTCAGCTCCGCCGCTGCTGCTGCTGTTCAGCTCCGCCGCTGCTGCTGCTGTTCAGCTCCGCCGCTGCTGCTGCTGTTCAGCTCCGCCGCTGCTGCTGCTGTTCAGCTCCGCCGCTGCTGCTGCTGTTCAGCTCCGTCGCTGCTGCTGCTGTTCAGCTCCGCCGCTGCTGCTGCTGTTCAGCTCCGCCGCTGCTGCTGCTGTTCAGCTCCGCCGCTGCTGCTGCTGTTCAGCTCCGCCGCTGCTGCTGCTGTTCAGCTCCGCCGCTGCTGCTGCTGTTCAGCTCCGCCGCTGCTGCTGCTGTTCAGCTCCGCCGCTGCTGCTGCTGTTCAGCTCCGCCGCTGCTGCTGCTGTTCAGCTCCGCCGCTGCTGCTGCTGTTCAGTTCCGCCGCTGCTGCTGCTGTTCAGCTCCGCCGCTGCTGCTGCTGTTCAGCTCCGCCGCTGCTGCTGCTGTTCAGCTCCGCCGCTGCTGCTGCTGTTCAGCTCCGCCGCTGCTGCTGCTGTTCAGCTCCGCCGCCGCGCAATGTGGGGAGGGACGCGCAGCTGCTCCGTGGTGCTGGCAGGGGTAGCGCGGCGGGTAGAGGGGTCCGCGCGGTTGCTAGGAAGGGTGACGCGACGGTCAAAGGGGTCCGCGGGACTGTCGGTAGAGGTAACACGACCTTAGGAGGGGTCCGCGCGACTGCTGGCAGGGAAAACGCGACGGTAGGAAGGTCCGCGCGACTGCTGGCAGTGAAATTGCGACGGTAGAAAGGTCCGCGCGACTGCTAGCAGTGAAATTGCGACGGTAGAAAGGTCCGCGCAACTGCTGGCAGTGAAATTGCGACGGTAGAAAGGGTCCGCGCGACTGCTGGCAGTGAAATTTCGAAGGTAGAAAGGGTCGCGCTACTGTTGGCAGAGGAAATGCGACGGAACTCGTGGTCCGCGCGACTGCCGGCAGGTGTAACGCGACAGTCAGAGAGGTCCGCGCGAATAAGGGTAGAGGTGGCGTGACGGGCAGAGGGGCCACGCCGCCGTTAGCAGAGGTGACGCGACGAGAAGCGGGGCTCGCGCGGCTGCTAACAGAGGTGACGCGACGGGCAGAGGGGCCCGCGCGGACGGTATAAGGGGTGACGCGACGAGCAGAGGGGCCCACGCGGCCGCTAGCGGAGGTTACGTGACGAGCAGAGGGGCTCTTGCGGATGCTAGCGGATGTTACGCGACGGGCAGGGGGGCCCGTGAGTTTGTTAAGAACAGGATATCGACTTGCTCTAAGAGGCCGCGCGACGATTTCGCTTAGGTGCTGTAGTGTAAAAAAAAAGATAGAAAGAAATTTGTTATTAGGCCTAGGATCTAGTGGCATTTGCCTTAGGCTCTGAATACCATGAAAGAAACTATGAAGTAGAATCATTAAGATTAGCTCAAGGGAGCACAAGGTTATACAAGCAAGAGAAGGTTGGAGAGGAACACCAAACCTAGCACATAAGACACCAAGACCAAGTGGCCTAGTGGGAGGAAGGACCATCCAACCAACCCTAGTGGGGTGGTGGCCAACCAACCAAAGTTGGTTGCCCCAGCACATGGGGCAGTGATGGTTTGACAACCCCACTTGGCCAACAAGGTTGGAGCCAAGTCTAAGCTAGGATATTTGGGTTCACCCCAATTAGGGTGTTTACCCACACTACACCCAAAACTAGAGCATGCATGTATAAGTATATTCTAACAACGGGTAGGTGGATGGCAGGGTGAGGACTGGTGGGTGGGTTGTGCCTTTCTTGAGTGGGAGTTGAAGCCTTTAAACTTCCAAGTCTCTCCCCCGGTTGGCGGGACAGAGAGGGGGAGGGGGCGCCGGGTCCACTCCGCTGCCCTTCATGGGGGAGACACGGGTAGGTGGATGGCAGGGTGAGGACTGGTGGGTGGGTTGTGCCTTTCTTGAGTGGGAGTTGAAGCCTCTAAACTTCCAAGTCTCTCCCCCGGTTGGCGGGACAGAGAGGGGGAGGGGGTGCTGGGTCCACTCCTCTTCCCTTCATGGGGGAGACACGGGTAGGTGGATGGCAGGGTGAGGACTGGTGGGTGGGTTGTGCCTTTCTTGAGTGGGAGTTGAAGCCTCTAAACTTCCAAGTCTCTCCCCCGGTTGGCGGGACAGAGAGGGGGAGGGGGCGCCGGGTCCACTCCGCTGCCCTTCATGGGGGAGACACGGGTAGGTGGATGGCAGGGTGAGGACTGGTGGGTGGGTTGTGCCTTTCTTGAGTGGGAGTTGAAGCCTCTAAACTTCCAAGTCTCTCCCCCGGTTGGCGGGACAGAGAGGGGGAGGGGGCGCCGGGTCCACTCCGCTGCCCTTCATGGGGGAGACACGGGTAGGTGGATGGCAGGGTGAGGACTGGTGGGTGGGTTGTGCCTTTCTTGAGTGGGAGTTGAAGCCTCTAAACTTCCAAGTCTCTCCCCCGGTTGGCGGGACAGAGAGGGGGAGGGGGCGCCGGGTCCACTCCGCTGCCCTTCATGGGGGAGACACGGGTAGGTGGATGGCAGGGTGAGGACTGGTGGGTGGGTTGTGCCTTTCTTGAGTGGGAGTTGAAGCCTCTAAACTTCCAAGTCTCTCCCCCGGTTGGCGGGACAGAGAGGGGGAGGGGGCGCCGGGTCCACTCCGCTGCCCTTCATGGGGGAGACACGGGTAGGTGGATGGCAGGGTGAGGACTGGTGGGTAGTTTGTGCCTTTCTTGAGTGGGAGTTGAAGCCTCTAAACTTCCAAGTCTCTCCCCCGGTTGGCGGGACAGAGAGGGGGAGGGGGTGCTGGGTCCACTCCTCTTCCCTTCATGGGGGAGACACGGGTAGGTGGATGGCAGGGTGAGGACTGGTGGGTGGGTTGTGCCTTTCTTGAGTGGGAGTTGAAGCCTCTAAACTTCCAAGTCTCTCCCCCGGTTGGCGGGACAGAGAGGGGGAGGGGGCGCCGGGTCCACTCCGCTGCCCTTCATGGGGGAGACACGGGTAGGTGGATGGCAGGGTGAGGACTGGTGGGTGGGTTGTGCCTTTCTTGAGTGGGATTTGAAGCCTCTAAACTTCCAAGTCTCTCCCCCGGTTGGCGGGACAGAGAGGGGGAGGGGGCGCCGGGTCCACTCCTCTTCCCTTCATGGGGGAGACACGGGTAGGTGGATGGCAGGGTGAGGACTGGTGGGTGGGTTGTGCCTTTCTTGAGTGGGAGTTGAAGCCTCTAAACTTCCAAGTCTCTCCCCCGGTTGGCGGGACAGAGAGGGGGAGGGGGCGCCGGGTCCACTCCGCTGCCCTTCATGGGGGAGACACGGGTAGGTGGATGGCAGGGTGAGGACTGGTGGGTGGGTTGTGCCTTTCTTGAGTGGGAGTTGAAGCCTCTAAACTTCCAAGTCTCTCCCCCGGTTGGCGGGACAGAGAGGGGGAGGGGGCGCCGGGTCCACTCCGCTGCCCTTCATGGGGGAGACACGGGTAGGTGGATGGCAGGGTGAGGACTGGTGGGTGGGTTGTGCCTTTCTTGAGTGGGAGTTGAAGCCTCTAAACTTCCAAGTCTCTCCCCCGGTTGGCGGGACAGAGAGGGGGAGGGGGCGTCGGGTCCACTCCGCTGCCCTTCATGGGGGAGACACGGGTAGGTGGATGGCAGGGTGAGGACTGGTGGGTGGGTTGTGCCTTTCTTGAGTGGGAGTTGAAGCCTCTAAACTTCCAAGTCTCTCCCCCGGTTGGCGGGACAGAGAGGGGGAGGGGGCGCCGGGTCCACTCCGCTGCCCTTCATGGGGGAGACACGGGTAGGTGGATGGCAGGGTGAGGACTGGTGGGTGGGTTGTGCCTTTCTTGAGTGGGAGTTGAAGCCTCTAAACTTCCAAGTCTCTCCCCCGGTTGGCGGGACAGAGAGGGGGAGGGGGCGCCGGGTCCACTCCGCTGCCCTTCATGGGGGAGACACGGGTAGGTGGATGGCAGGGTGAGGACTGGTGGGTGGGTTGTGCCTTTCTTGAGTGGGAGTTGAAGCCTCTAAACTTCCAAGTCTCTCCCCCGGTTGGCGGGACAGAGAGGGGGAGGGGGCGCCGGGTCCACTCCGCTGCCCTTCATGGGGGAGACACGGGTAGGTGGATGGCAGGGTGAGGACTGGTGGGTGGGTTGTGCCTTTCTTGAGTGGGAGTTGAAGCCTCTAAACTTCCAAGTCTCTCCCCCGGTTGGCGGGACAGAGAGGGGGAGGGGGCGCCGGGTCCACTCCGCTGCCCTTCATGGGGGAGACACGGGTAGGTGGATAGCTGGTTAGGCGTCGCCAGCACAGAGGGCAGCCACAGTGGGGGGGGAGATCCCCAAGGCCCTCCCCCGTCTGGCCGGGCGGAGGTGCCGGGTCTACCCCTCTGCCCTTCATGGGGGAAACACGGGTACGTTTCACTTGTCAGAAGGGTGGGGAGTTCCCAACCAAGGCAGCGCAAGCAAGCCTGCAAGGCGTCGCCAGCACAGAGGGCAGCCGCAGTGGGGGGGGAGATCCCCAAGGCTCTCCCCCGGCTGGCGGGGCTGGGGAGAGGGGGAGCTGCTGGGTCGACCCCCCTGCCCTTCATGGGTCGACTCCGCTTCCTTTCATGGGTGAGATCACGGGTAGGTGTCACTTGTCTGAGTGCGAGCCCAATGCATTTTGTTTAGGGTTGATTTTGAGAATTCTCAAAATCAACTCCGCTTCCTTTCATGGGCGAGATCACGGGTAGGTGTCACTTGTCTGAGAGCGAGCCCAATGCCTTGTGAGTCGACTCAAAAGTTCACGGGTGAGATCACGGGTAGGTGTCACTTGTCTGAGTGCGAGCCCAATGCACCGCCCGCACAGAGGGGATTCCCAAGGCTCTTGTCCCCCTGGGAAGGGTTACAGGTGCGTTTGGTTGAGTGGGATTTCAAGCCTTTAACCCTCCCAAGGCATTGCTTGCCAGCACTGAGGGCAGCCGTAGTGGGAGGGGAAGGGGCGCCTGACCGAGCCAGTAGAGGTGAAATTTATTCCCACGTGGGCCATACGAGAGGGCATGGTGCTGATTATTACCTCCGTCTCCCATGCTCCACCCTTCCCACGCACTCCCTAATACAGGTGGAGGTTTTGATTGGTGGGAAGGACGTGGATGGTGGAGCAGGAGGGGGGGGAGGAGGAGGAGGGGGAGGAGGAGGGGAAAGGGCGTTGACCAAGCCGGCAGAAATGAAAGTCATTCCCAAATGGGCCATACGAGAGTGCATGGTGCTGACCGCTGTGCAGAGAGGGAATGGTGCTTGGTACATTTGCCACAGATTTGAATCTTAATGCCCGATCCCGTTTGCCCCACCCACCCCACTCACGCTCCCCCAACCACAGGTGGAGGTTTCGATTGGTGGGGAGGACGAGGCTGCTGCTGGTGGTGGGGGAGGGGGAGGGGGAGGAGGAGGGGAAGGGGCGTTGACCAAACCAGCAGAAATGAAGGTTATTCCCAAGTGGGCCATACGAGAGGGCATGGTGCTGACCGCTGCGCAGAGAGGGGAGGTGGAGGAGGAGAAGCCGGGGGGCGAAGGGGAGGGCGGGGAAGGGGGAGCGGGGGAAGGGGATGGGGGAGCGGGGGAGGGTGCGGCGGGGGGGTTGTCTGCAGAGGAAGAGGCAGAGCAACAGAGACTACAGGTGAGCTTTGGTATATGTATATATATATATATATATAGAAATTATCCATATTTATGTGTACGTATAATACATGTATTTTAAAGTTGCAACTCTTCAAGATGCCAGAGGTAATTAACCCGGTCTGGTCGATAGACTGGCAAACCTGCCGTTTTCGTTCCCTTGTTGTTTCAACACTCCATATGAGTTGCGAGGAAAACGTTTTGAAACCTTCTTGATTTAGGAAAGCAGTCACAAGCGCCAAATAACCAAAGCACCAACCTGGACACACAAAGGAGAAAAGGAAAGCGGGGGGGGTCCAAGTTATTGTTATTGTTTTTTAGGATATGTGACTGCTTTCCTAAATCAGGGTTTAGGGTTTGTACATTGGTTTGAGTCAGGATATGAGTCAGGAAGGCGATTTGTACATTGCTTTCGTGTCGGTCCAAATCCCAATGGGTTATACTTGATTGCATGCTCTTGAATATCCCCATACTGGAAACAAAAAGAACTTTCAAAACGTTTTTAAAACTCATATATATACATATATATACTTTTATATACATATATCTATAATGTATATTTATAATGTATATAGATAGACAAGTCATGTCACTTTGATATACATGCGTCTCCGCGCTTCTTTTAGGGATGATACAAGGCTTACTACGCCGTTTTGCCACAGCAGCAACTAGGGAATCCCCCTCAACCTATCCCCCAACTGCAACCTGCCCCTCCCCCCTGTTCCCCCACCCTCATATCATCAGGAATATCACAAGGCTTACTATGCCACATTGCTACAACAGGTGTACCCCACGCAACCTATTCTCCAACTACAACCTGTTTCTCCCCCCTGTTCCCCCACCCTCATATCATCAGGAATATTACAAAGCGTATTATGCCGCATTGCTACAGCAGCAACATGCAGCGGCAGCAGCAAGTGGAGCGGATACTGCTGCCCCAAATGCTGCTGCTACCGACACTGCCACAGCGACAGCTACTCCTACTGCTGTCGCTCCTGCTGACGCAGCAGCAGCCGGGGAGGGAGACGAGGAGGAGGATGTGACATGGGAAGAGGGGGACGCAGGAGCATATGCCACCCCTCCTGCTCCTGCTACTGCTCTCCCTTTCAACACGAGTCAAGCTCTCCCCACTACGCCTATAGCAGCAGCAATTCAGGAGGAGGATGAGGAGGCGGATTATGAGTGGGAGGATGGGGATGGGGGGGATGGTGGGGTGGGGGGGAGCGGGGGAGAGGGTGGAGGGGAGGGGGGTGCGGGAGGGGTGAGTGGAGGGGCGGGGAGTGGGGGTGGAACAGGGGATGGGGCTGGTGTTGCGGTTACCGTGGAACAGGTGGGGGTAGGAGAGGCTGAGGGTGAGGAAGATGAGGATATCGAATGGGACGAGTGATAGAGTGGGAGTAGTTGCTTCGCTACAGTAGTGCATTATGGTTTAAGAGATGTGTACAAAAATAAAGTTCAAAAGTCAGGGTTTAGGGGGTGGGAGGGGGGAGGGAGGGGGTGTGGTCTGGACCAGCATTGGCCAGGCAAATGGTTGCATATTCAGTCCATCAGTATCGTCAGAATCAGACGCACGGTGGGCTTTCAGTATCACCGCCGGGTGCAGGTTCTGATATACCGCAGAGAGGGGAGCATGTTTTTTGGATGAGAAATGTTAGCGGGTCTTATGAATAAGGCAATTTCTTTGAGACAGAATGTTACTGCAGCAGGTCTCTTCTCATCATGCTCTCATACATGGCAAGCCAAGCTATGTGCTGTGTTGAAGTTCGATTATGTTTTTGCTGTGCAATACCATATCTCTATTACACGCATTGGCTATCATTACAACTAGAGTGGCAGATATATGGTAGGCTTTACACATCCTGAAAACACACATGTAAGGATCCAGGCAATTAAAACCCGCTCTTTGTTGTACCCAGCACAAGCGGCTCGGACGGCAGCTTATCCCGATTATGTGGCTCTGAATAATCAATATTACGGCCAATCGGGCAGATGGCGAAAGGATTCAGGGCGTTCGGGCTGCAGAAAAACTTTTTGCGGATGTGGACCATGTTCACAGTGCTGGCGATCCCGGGCAGCTGGAAGATTTCCTTGGTGTAGTTGAAAAGGCTGGGGTACTCCTGAATCATCCTCTTATTACAGTTGAAGTGACCATAATACACCTGGAAAAGAGGGAAACATGCAACACCGGGCAAAAGCAAGGAAACTTGGCAGATTAGTACAACAAAATCTCCCCGGAGCGGCAAGCACCATTGCGATCGTGAGGACAATCGGTAAGAGAGAGGATTGTACTGATAGCTGACAGCAAGATGTGAAGAGAAAGTATCTATTATGTCAGGGGTGAACACACCTCATCAAATCGAATCAGATCCACAAACAGCCGGATGTCTGCCTCTGTGACCGCGTCCCCTGCCAGGTAGCGCTGCTTTGAAAGGATGTCTTCACAGCGATCCAGAGCAGAGAAGAGGGTTGCTACGGCCTGGAGTGGTGGGGAGGCGAGAGGAAGAGAGATGAGAGATCAGGAGAGGGGAAAGAGAGGGTGTGATCCTCTGTGAAGGCGTCTCCTGCGTGTAGCGCTGGCGAGACAAGATGTCCTCACAGCGATCCAAGGCTGAGAAGAGGGTTGCCACGGCGTGGGGCGGGGGTAGGAGAGAGGAAGAGAGATGAGGGATGAGGAGAAGGGAAAGAGAGGATGCCAGTTTCTGTGAAGGCGTCTCCTGCCATGTAGCGCGGCGAGATAAGACGTCCTCACGGCGATTCAGAGCTAAGGCCTGGCGTGGAGTAAGAAGGGGAGTGAAGAGAAGGAGAGGTGGGGAGAGGGGTGAAATGTGTGTCTGCCTCTGTGCAGGCCTCTCCTGCCATGTAGTGCTGGCAAGATAAGACGTCCTCACAGCGATCCAGAGCTGAGAACAAGGTTGCTATGGCCTGGAGTGGGGGAGAAATTGGTAGAATAAGAGAGATGAGAGATGAGGAGGGGAACGATAGGGTGTGAGTGAGCCTCACTAAACGAGTTTTCAGAGATATGTATCGCTGGCGGGCGGGACAATATGCATCCCTTCCCATCGCATCATAAGCCACTTGCTCCTCCGTAAAACCGCATTTGAACACGCCGCTGTTGATGGCCGGCCCAACCCACTCGCTCACCCACCTTCCCCACCCTCTCTCCCAGCACCAACTCTAACCCCTTCTCACCGCATCATAAGCTGCTTGCTCCTTGGCAAATCCACATTTGAACACGCCGCTGTTGATGGCCGGCCCAACCCACTCGTTCACCCCATCGATAGCCCCCCGCATGGCCGCAGGATAGAGGTCCACGTGGGGGTTGGCAGCGACGGCGTTGAATTCGGAGTTGAGCATTCTCATGATCTCTGCGCTCTCGTTGTTCACTATCGTGCCAGATTTCTTGTCAAACAGAATCTGGAGGGAGGAGTGAAAAGAAGGGAAAGAACAGGGAGGGACTTTTGAGATTTCTGAAAAGCCAGGGAGGGTAACAGAGCTCAGCGGAGGTCCGTAGAGGATTTTTTAGGCGCCTCAAAAACAACCAGGGAGGGTAACAGAGCCACGTGACATAAGTGTAGTTCTGAGACGTCTCAAAACTACACTTCCTCAGTCGAGGTTTGCAGAAGATTTTTTAGGCGCCGCAAAATAAGCCAGGGAGGGTAATAGAGCTCAGTGGAGGTCTGTAGAGGTCCACGTGGGGATTGACAGCTATAGCGTTCAATTCCATGTTGAGCTTTCGCATGATCTCCACACTTTCGTTGTTCAGTGTGGTGCAAGTCTGCTTGTGTGTGTTCTTCTGCTGTGCATACCGGCACCGAGAACGTTTTAAACGAAGGATCCAATTTCTCGTAGATATCGCGGGCAAAGTGTACACACTGTACATACGATGTATGTTGTACTGTACATACCGGCACAGAAAAGGTCTTGTATGAAGGATCTATTTTCTCGTATATGTCGCGGACGAAGCGAGCACCAAAAATCGGATCAGGTTGCGCCCCCGGCTCCTCAGCGTCCCCCTCCGCGGACGGAAACGCCCATCCGAAAGGCTCCTCCCCCTCGCGCGTTCGCACCCACGTTGGGTTCAGCACCTGCCACGTCAGCAGGATTGGAGTAGGGGAGAAGGGAGGAAATATGGAAAGGATGTACTCCATATAACACTACAGCCTGCCTTATTTACAAGCAGAAGAGCGCACAGTCACACCAGTCACATTAGAATAAGCACCCCTGCGTACAGTCACACTAGTCACGTCAGAATAAGCACCCCTGCGTTCAGTCACACCATAATCACCCCCACGTACAGTCACAGAGATGGCGTCGTCGAGTCCTTTCAGCTTGAGCGCCATGAGGCACCGCGACGCCCAGGGGCAGGCGTAGCTCACGTACAGGTGGTACCTGGGGGCGGTTGGGAGGGGGGAGAGGTGGGGGCAGAGGGGAGGGATTAAGTATAAGGAGCCAACCAGGCACGCCCAGGGGCAGGCGCAGCTCACGTGCAGGTGGTACCTGGGGGCGGTGGGAGGGAAGGTGGAGGGGGGGAAGACGGTAGGGAGGGGAGGGGTAATGAGGACGGTGATGAGGAGTAGATGTAGCTCACAAGGGAGGGATAGAGAGGGAGAGGGGAAGGAGGAGGTGGGGGAAGTGGGTGGGGGGATGGAGGGGGGGGAAGAGGGGGCGGAGGGGAGGAAAGGGGGGGCGGGGGGAGAGATTGGGGGGAGGTGGGCAGATTTTGATCGAAGAAGTCTCAACTGATACTCGCGGTGTCATCTCACCTTCCGCTTTCCGCCGGGAATCCGCTAGAACCGTCCGCTGTTACATGCTGGCGGAACGGAACCGCCGCCGCGGAAGGCGGAGCGCCTGGTGATGCCGACGCCGCGGCGGCAGTCACGACGGGCGGCATTCTGACTGCTGCGGAAGCGCGGACGGTCGGACCGGAACCTTGTTTGGGAAACGTGCGCGCTACTATCGAGGATGTAGTGTATCGAGTAATAGAGTGGTTGCTGCCAAGAAAAGTGGAAGGTTGGCGAGAGAACGGAGAGGAGAGGAGGAGCGTCGGTGAGTTTGGGAGGACGAGGAGACGGCGTGCGCACGACTGAAGGAGCACCGACGGCATTAACGCTGCTCTGCTCTGCACTGCTCTGCTCGTCTCTGCTCTTCTCTGCTGTAAGTTGATCTGCTGTGTTTCGCTGCGCTGCTCTGCTCTGCGCGCTGCGCGGCTCTATCGTTCGCTTGGCGGTAGTAGTACTAGCAGTAGTGGAGCAAACCAGCAAGACGATGCTGAAAAGGGACGCTCAGGAAACTCAAGAATCGTTCAACAAACAAGGTCGACTGGGGGAGCTTATGAAGCAGTGCAGTAGTAAGCTGCTGGCAATCGCAATCGCAAAATGCGGAAGCTCTTCTGGAACCGTGCCGCGCTGCCGGTCCCTTCCATACCCATTTCCCTCGATCCCTCCGCAAAACCTGGATCTCCCATCGCTTGATTGTTTCAGCCTGCCCGGCTGAGCAGCACATCGCTAAAAGTTTCACAACCCCAGCCCTTTTTGAAACTGTACACGTGCGAAGCGAATAGATTACGCACCCTAGGGAGTAGGGAGGCATTGCCGCAGAGTAGTGGTTCCTAGCCTTCGATGCTGCACGAAATGCGTTGCTGCCCGCCGAAAGAAAGGAAGGTCTCATCGTAAACACAGAACCAGCCACCCGACCAATCATGGAGCTACGACGCGGATCTGAAGCTGGACAGACGTCCAACGCTCGGTGGTTTGAAGGCTCGGGTACTTGTTGCGATTGGGGAATCTTTGCCACGCTGGCAACGCGATTAGGTCAGGAGGAGGTCGCACTAGTCAGGAGAGTTTAGTTTCCTCCGTAGCTTCGCCAGTCCAGGGAAGGAGCTAGCGAAATTGCACCAGGTCCAACCTTTAACTCGTTACAGCTAGCTTCGTAAAAATATAAGCTTACTGCAGTCCATATAAACAAACAACTCCGTTACTTGTGAATGGCTTTCCTCTTTCGATATGGCCAGGTACGCTTATCGAAGCAAGGGATTTGGTACAGCAGTTCCGAGAAGCTACAAATCTCCGAGCAGCTTCTCGGAATTGTCCCTTCCTTCGTCGGGTGGTTCGAGAACCACGTAGCCAAGCGAACGGTGGTTACACAATTTTACGCACATACAACCACTCCTTGCAACCCCTCAGCTCTGCGAATGAGGATTGCAGCGTTTCGCCTACAGTACAAGACCCTCGCACCTCGAAATTTCCTTCGCGCGTTTCGCACAAATCATGCTTTCGTCAAATTCTCCTCACCTGCAAATCCTGCAGTTATAAATTCGCTTCGTGGCAAAATAACTGTCACAAAATCATATTTCGGCTTCATATTTGCGCCTGGCCTCCTCTTCTTGCTTCTCGCACCGCTTCCTCTTCACCGTCTCCTCGGGGTCCTGGTTCTTCTCATCGTTTTTGTCGTGACAGTCTCCCAGTAATTCCCTGAGAGAACAGGCAGAAAGCGCGGGTAAGGCTAGTGGCAAGAACGCGTTTCGTTTCCTTCTTCGTCTTCCTTCTCTCCTCTGCAATTGCGTAATCCAGCCGAAACCAGCCATGGCGGCTGTTGCGTCGTCAGCCCTTCGCCTGCCGCTGTATGCGCTTCGCGCCGCCTCCGTCCCGGTCAAAATTCTTGCTGAGCACCGCTCTTCGCGTTCGACTGATTTTCCTATTACTTTTGCTACCGCCTCTGAACCCTGCAGTCTCCAGCAGTTTCGATCGCCCTCTAAGAGCGTGTGTAACTCGACGGTCTCACCAGCTCCGAGATTTGCGAGAGTTGCGAGGTTTGCAAGCTTCGCGAGTGGCGGCCGGGTAACCGTCGACTCAAACAAGTTCCTCTTCCAACAATCTTTGCTGCCACAGCAGCACCGGCCAGCCATTCGTCGCTCGTTCGTTCGACAAGCCGCCACGTCAGCAGATCCCGCCACGCCAGCGCATCCAGCCACGTCAGCGGATCCCGCCACGTCAGCAGCAGCGCCCGTTATGGTGCAGACGACGCTTCAGGAGTCGAGCGCGGACGGCGCGTTCAAGCGCACGCCCTCCGCCTTCCGCAGCCTTATTACCGCGGATGGGTCTAGCGGATTCCCCGCCGTCGCTGGCAGGTACGCTGGTATGGGATAGTTGTCCTATAACGCGGACGCGCTCCGCCCTCCGCAGCCTTATTACCGCGGATGGGTCTAGCGGATTCCCCGCCGTCGCTGGCAGGTGTGTAAACGGATAGGTGGTCTGATCTCTGGCGTTCAATAGCACGCCCTCTCGATTTCCGTGGCCTCGTCTCCCCCCTCCGTAGATATTTTTGTATCTTAAAAAGACTTATCGTTACCACCCCCGACTTTCCACCCCTCCCCAGGTACCACCTGTACGTGAGCTACGCGTGCCCCTGGGCGTGCCGCTGCCTCATGGCGCTCAAGCTCAAAGGGCTCGAGGACGCCATCTCCGTCACTGTAAGCAGCTCCCGTTATAGTCACTCCCATTATAGGCACTTCCGTTACAGGCACTGTAAGCATTGCGGTGACATGAGCGGACATGAGTGTGCGTCATTGTGGCCAAGCTCAGGGGGGCCGAGGACACGATCTCCGTGACTGTACGTGGGGGTGACTGTACGTGGGGGTGACTGTACGTGGGGGTGACTGTACGTGGGGGTGACTGTAAGTGGGGATGACTGTAAGTGGGGGTGACTGTTATGCGACCATGGGGAGGGCGAGGAGCACATTGGCTGGCCCTTCGTGGCGGTCACAGAGAGCGACCCTCGTTTCTCCTCTCCCTCCCTCGCCCTGCCTCCCTATCCTCCTGCTACTCTAAACCCGAAACTATTGCTCTTTCAGATAGTAGAGCCTGTGTGGCGGCGCACGAGGGAGGGCGAGGAGCACATTGGATGGCCCTTCGTGGCGCCGGGAGGGGAGGCAGAGGCGGCAGGCGCGGAGAGCGGCCTTCAATCCCCCTTCCGCCCCTCTCATTTCTTCCGCTCCCCTCATTTCTCCCCGTTTTTTCGCCACCTCTCGCACCCCTGTTCTATATCAGATAGTAGAGCCGGTGTGGCGGCACACGAGGGAGGGGGACGTTTGAGTCGACTCAAAAGTCACCTTTTTTCCGCCACCTCTTGTCGCACCCCTGTTCTATATCAGATAGTAGAGCCGGTGTGGCGGCGCACCAGGGAGGGGGACGAGCACATTGGCTGGCCCTTCGTGGCGCCAGGGGGCACGCCGGAGGTGGCAGGCGCGGAGAGCGACCCTCTGAATGGAGCTCTCTTCGTGAGGGACGTGTATGAGAAAGCCGACCCCGGTGCTGTCAAGTTCAGCGTGCCTGTGAGTGGTGCGAGTGGCAGTAGGATGGTATATGGCACTGGGGCTGGGGCTGGCTGGTTGCGCCAGGGGGGGAGGCGGAGGTGGCAGGGGCGGAGAGCGACCCTTTGAATGGAGCTCTCTTCCTGAGGGACGTGAATGAGAAGGCGGACCCCTGTGCTGTCAAGTTCAGTGTGCCTGTGAGTGGTGGTACTGTGTGTGTGAGTAGGTGTGTGTGTGAGAGTAGGTGTGTGTGTGTGAGTAGGTGTGTGTGTGTGAGTAGGTGTGTGTCTCTGAAACTGGGACTGGCTTTTTGTCGTTCATGTGAGTGGGAGTGGGAGTGGGAGTGAGTGTGTATACACAAAGCGCTTCTTCATCGTCTGTTCTCTCCTCTCCCCCTGTCACCTTAGGTGCTGTGGGATAAGGAGAGCAGCACGATAGTGAACGCGAGATCATGAGAATGCTTAACTCTCAAAAGACTTATTCTTCTGTTTCTTGTCTCCTGGTCGTCCTCCCTCTCTCTCCTCAGGTCCTGTGGGACAAGCAGAGCGGCACAATCGTGAACAACGAGAGCAGCGAGATCATGAGGATGTTCAATTCGGAATTCAACGCCATTGCCAAGAACCCCCAGGTGATTAATAGTTATAACAGCGTCAGGTGAATCCAGCAGTGTCAGGAGAATTCAACAGTGTTAGGGTACTTGAGCAGCCTCGTGTTATTAACCAGGTTCAGGTAGAATCGACGGATTCGAGTGATTATCACATTGTCAGGTGAATGCAACACTGCCAGGAGAATTCAGTGCCTTCTCCCCTGTCCTCTCCTCCCACTCATTCCTCAGGTGGACGTTTACCCGTCTCACCTGCGTGCGGCAATCGACGAGGTGAACGAGTGGGTGTAATCAGCAATCAACAACGGCGCCTCACCAATCTACGCCCTTCATCTTCCCCTTTTCTTCTCCTTCCTCAGGTGGACATTTACCCGCCCCACCTGCGGGCTGCAATCGACGGGGTGAACGAGTGGGTCTACCCGGCAATCAACAACGGCGCCTCACCAATCTACGCCCTTCATCTTCCCCTTTTCTTCTCCTTCTCCAGGTGGACATTTACCCGCCCCACCTCCGAGCGGCGATCGATGAGGTGAACGAGTGGGTGTATCCGGCAATCAACAACGGCGTGTATCGCTGCGGCTTTGCCAAGAAGCAAGGCCCGTACGAAGAGGTGAGTTCCTCTCTCTCTCACACACTTCTGTATCCTCATATTCTCTATACATGGGTTGAACGAGTGGGTGTATCCAGCAATCAACAACGGCGTGTATTGCTGCGGCTTTGCCACCAAGCAATGCCTGTACGAGGAGGTTAGCCTCTAAATGTTTTTCTCTCCATGATTTTTCCTTTGTCATACACTCTCAGTACTTCTCCTTTAACGAATCTTATAACATCCCCCATATTAGCCTTCCCTGTACTCGCACTATTCGCCTTGGGAAGGAGTTGATTGCGGTACACAACAACGGTTCATCGTCTTACATCGCGGTTCATCGTGTTACTTCAGGTTATGACATGTTTCTGCGTGCTCTCCTCCCTGATCCCTCGTGTGAGGCACCTCTATTCTCACCTCTGCCTTTTTTCGCTAATCCCTCCCGTGTTTCCACTCCCAGGCATTCAAGGAGCTATTCGCAGCTCTTGATCGCTGTGAGGACATCTTGTCTCGCCAGAGATACATGGCAGGGGAGATGTTTACAGAGGCTGACGTTCGGCTGTTTGTCACACTCATTCGATTCGATGAGGTAGGCCTAGTAATCCTTATAACCGCTTCACTTGACGAGGTACACCTTGGTAAGCCTTGCAACCGTTTGATAAGCACCAAGGTACACGCTTACAACTTCACAGAACTCGGTTTATTTAACTGTGATCACAACTGAATTACTCACTCTCCCACCATCTTTGTTGTTTTTCCGTTTTTTATACATTTTTTTCCGGCATACACGCAAGCACACACATTTCCCCGCACACATCTCCACCTCCCACTCACTCACAACCAACCCTTTCCCCCTACCCCCACACATAAACCTTCCATGCTCCCAAGTGCACATGGTTCATTTCAAGTTCTGCAAGTTTGAAACTTTGCTCCTCACTTCACCCACCTCCCCCCCTCCCCCCCCCCCCCACCCCCCTCAACCCTTCCTCCCTCGCCTCCTGCACCCTCCTTGGTACAGGTGTACGTGGTTCATTTCAAGTGTAACCGCAATTTCATCCGCGAATTCCCCAACCTCTTCAACTACACCAAGGAAATTTACCAGCTGCCCGGAATAGTTTCTACAGTGAACATGGCGCATATCAAGTCGCACTATTTCCGATCCCACCCTTCCATCAACCCCTTTGGCATCATTCCTATGGGTCAGGGTATTGATTACACTGCGCCGCACGATAGGGATAGGCTGCCTGGTGTTGCTCTGCCGTGTGGGAAAGAGTGAGTTGAATGTTTCGTCATGTTTTTGAATGGGCCAGGGTACTGATTACAATGCGCCGCATGATAGGGATAGGCTGCCTGGTGTTGCTCTGCCGTGTGGGAAGGAGTGATTGGGAACATTGATGTACCTTCAGATGCATCCCAATGATAAGGATAGAATCCAATGATCCAGTGAATAGTCAATGCATATCGAATCAAACTCTTTCCGAAGCCACCCTTCCGGGTCCCTTTGGCATCATTCCTATGAGTCAGGGTGTTGATTACACTGCGCCGCATGATAGGGATAGGCTGCCTGGTGTTGCTCTGCCTTGTGGAAAGGAGTGAGTGGTGCAATTGATCAATGTTACAATGTATTATAATATATAGAAAAAGGACCAGAGCCGATTCATAGTTGGCGCATATCAAATCCCACTGGTATTTCCGAAGCCACCTTTCCTTCAACCCCTTTTTTGGATCGTTACCGTGCGTCAGGGTACTGTTCATACTGCTCTCCATGATAGGAATAGGCTGCCTGGTGTTGCCCTGCCTTATGGGAAGATGGGAGCAGCTACATAGGTACCATGGCAAAAAAATCTCACGACCGGATAGACACACACGTAGAATGTGCTATGCAGGCGGTTTATAGTAGTTGGATAGCTAGAGGGGCTGTTTGGCAGGGATGAAAGGAGTGTCAAGGGTTGGTCTGCTGTAGCACGTGCCTTCGCACTTACGAGGTTGAAAGGTAATGAAAATTGGACAAGTGAGGTTACAAAACATGCAACTAGTGCGTCCGTAGAGAGATCAGGGACTAGCAGAGGAAACAGAAGGAAGAAAAGGAAACAAACAAAACTACAAAAGCAAAACGGGGTGTTGCGAGAATCGAACTCGCGGCCTCTCGCACCCAAAGCGAGAATCATACCACTAGACCAAACACCCACGTACGAGGCTCCGTATTTTATGTATAAGTTGTTAATACAACAATGGTTTTCATCATCACAGGAAAAGCAGCATGATTTCCTGCACCATCGCTGGCGGCGTCGCCTGCAGTGTCGCCCGCAGTGTCGCCCGCAGTGTCGCCCGCAGTGTCGCCCGTAGTGTCGTCCGCAGAGTCGCGCGCAGTGGGTCTCGCAGTGTCGCCTAAAACCACCCATGTGAGCCACAGCTGGGCGTTCTCGGTGCCCCATCAACAGCAGCGCCAACAGCGGCGCCAACTGCGGCGCCATCTGCTGCGTTTCCTTACCTACCCTTTTCCAGGTACGGTTGAGCCCCCACGGAATGCGGGGAGTGTACTTTCGGGGAAGGCGCTTCTTCTCCGCAGATTCTTTCCCCTCCTCTCCAACTACCCAGTTCCCTACACAATCCCGCTCCCTAATACCCAGTCCCCTCTCCCCCCTACCCAATCCCCTCTCGTCTCCTACCCAAACCCCCCTCCCATCAACCCAGTCCCTTCCCCTCCTACCCAGTGCCCTCTCCCCCTTACCCAATCCCCTCACCCCCCCTCTTCCCCACTACCCAATCCCCTATCCACCCTACCCAATACCCTCTCCCCTCCTCCAAAATTCTCCTCTCCCCAACTTCCCAAACCCCTCTCCCCTTTCCTTGTGGGGCCCACAAGGAAAGAGAGAGTCCCACGAGCGGAGAGAGAGGCCCACGTGGGGAGAGAGAGGCCCACGTGGGGAGAGAGAGAGGCCCACGTGGGGAGAGAGAGAGGCCCACGTGGGGAGAGAGAGAGGCCCACGTGGGGAGAGAAGCGCACTTCCGTCTCAGCTATCTTTCTGTCCTTCCCTTGTCGCTCTCCTCATGCCTGGATGGAGTTCTGTCCCACGTGTGCCAACATGCTGCTGGTAGAGCAGGCAGGTGCACCTGGAGCAAGAGGCACGCGTCTTCTGTCTCAGCTATCTTTCTGTCCTTCCCTTGTCATTCTCTGCGTCCTCTCAGCATTTCAAACCATAAACGGAGCTCTGCCCCACATGCGCCAACATGCCGCAGGTGGAGCAGGCACACGTGGGGCGAGCGATGCATGGCAGCGTGGTCTATTCACCCTGCCTCCCCATGCCTTTCCCCTCCTGCCCATGTGTATCAGCAGCAGCACTAAATGGAGTTCTGCCCCACATGCGCCAACATGCTCCTGGTGGAGCAGGCACACATGGGGCGAGAGGCGCGGTTCTTCTGTCAGACGTGCCCCTATGTGTATGGCATCACCAGGAAGGTGAGTTGAATTCCATACAGTCAATGCTAGTCAACGCCAGTCAATGTCTTGGTTCTTCAGTCAGACGTGCCCCTATGTGTATGGCATCACCAGGAAGGTGAGTTGAAATCCATACAGTCAATGCTAGTCAACGCCAGTCAATGTCTTGGTTCTTCTGTCAGACGTGCCCCTATGTGTATGGCATCACCAGGAAGGTGATTCACTCCAGTCAACGTAGGTCCAAGCAGGTCACAGTCAATGAAAGTCAATGAGGTTCTTCTGTCAGACGTGTCCCCACCCCATGTGTATGGCGTCACAAGAAAGGTGGGGTGATTTGTTCCAGTTGATGCAAGTCAACGCAGGTCAATGGCTTGGTTCTTCTGTCAGATGTGCCCCTATGTCTATGATGTGTCACCAGGAAGGTGAGACTCCTGTCAAAGAAAGTCAATGCTAGTCAACGTCAGTTACGCGTTATACCTCCTCCCCTCCACTCTCCCCCCCAACCCCTCTCCCCTCACACTCCGCCCGCCCGCCCCCTCTCTCCCCCACACACAATGCAGATTTCAAGGCGACAACTGGTGGTGCAAAAGGAGGTGGATGACGTGTTGGGAGGGGAGGACGCATGGAAAAATGTTGACAAAACGGAAGGTGAGCATGTATCAAATTATTATATCACCTGCATAGTATGGGAGAAAAATGGCACTTGATTTGCGAGCGCAATTGATGATTTATGTTGCTCCTTTGTTGTGCTCATTACGATGTTTCTATGTGCAGCCTCGTGTCCCAAGTGTGGTCATTCACAGGCATTCTTCATGCAGATTCAAACCCGATCTGCTGATGAGCCCATGACAATATTTTACAAGTGTTGCAACATGAGGTGTGGCTATCGATGGAAAGAAGGTTAGCTATTGTATTACATTTCAGCTTTCTAAAAGTGTACGTACACCCTCACGTCACGTAGTCTATAACGAATAAATTCTCAGGGTTCTTCTAGGTTCCGAGATTCACGGATGCTTGGAACTTTTGGCCAATCAAACACGCCCCTCGAAATATTTGAATACCATGCGATGCGAACCCAGCTACCCATGCGATTGTTTCGCCAACAAGCTCGATGATGCGCGAAATACCCCCTGGAGACCTCAGCTGCGAGTCTGGCGGAAGACCTGCGTCCGCACAAATCAGGTTTGTCGTTCGCACACCAATATATCCCAGACCGGTGGGGGCAAGCCTCCGCTGGCTGGTTGGGAAGTTCGGGACCTTTCAAGAGGCTTAGCGAGCCTCCACGAACCATAGAACACATGCCAAACCAGAGCAAAGCCAACATACCTGATTGGTCGTAGATGTCAAACCAACCACCCCACGTTTCGTTACCGTCCGAACCTCGGCCATGCCGCTTTCATTGGCGTTTGCACCTTTCCCAACCTTTCGCCCGCAAGTTCGCCCCTACCTGCGCCTCGACAATCCCTTGGCGGCAGTGAAGGCAGGCAAGCGAGAGGTTTGGTTGGACATTCGATACGACACATCCGCCAATTGCATAGTCATTCATTCACCCACCTTGTTTCCGCCCCTGCCTGCTATCCTCCATTCTCATCCACACCACACCACTCATCCCTTCAAATCCCAGCACCCCTGAATTTCTAGCCAGCCCCAACTCAAGGCTGCTTGTGCCCCTTCATTATGCAATAGTGGAATCTATTCCACAGGTCAGGGTCTGTTCATTCTGCCGCAGTTTCTTTGATAAACTCAAAGCTCCCTGAGGCCCCATTGCGGCGGAGGCGCGGCCATCTTGTCGGGTCAGGGTCCGCGCTTGCAGCCTAATCCCCGCCGCATATCTCGCAGTGATAATTTCGCCGGGTCTTTTCCGCAGTCACGCGCGCATTGCACGCGGGCGGAAACATGGCGCGCGCTTGCGGATCTGCGCGCGGATCTGCGCATCTCCAAGTGCTGGTCGTTCTCCTCGCGCTTCTCGTCGCCCCATCCCTAGGCAAGTCGCCGCCGCCTCCGCCCCACAAGTCCCCCCCTCCCCCCAAGGCCTCCCCTCCCCCCGACGCCTCCCCTCCAACCAACGCCTCCCCTCCAACCAAGGCCTCCCCTCCGCCAACCAAGGCCTCCCCGCCCCCTCCTCCCCCAGTCGCGGCACCCGCTCCGGAGCCTACTCTGTCCCCCTCCCCAACGCCTGCGCCGTCTCCAACGCCCGCGCCTTCCCCAACGCCCGCGCCTGCCCCAACGCCCGCGCCTTCCCCAACACCCGCGCCCTCACCGACGCCCGCGCCCGCGTTCGTCGATTCGCCCATCGCTCCGCCCATCGCTCCGCCTATCCCTCCCCCTGTCCCCGCCCCGCAACCCGCGCCCGCGCCTGCCCCCGCTCCATCCTTGCCCCCCGTTCCCCCGCCCACGCCACCCCCCGAGATCTCTCCGCCCACGCCTTCCCCCGAGATCTCTCCGCCCGCGCCGCCCCCAGTTGACGCCCCAGCTCCTCCGCCAATAAGGGGAAAACCTCCGCCGAAATTCCCCCCGGTGGATTCCGCCCCCCCGTCGGAGGCAGGGGGGATGAACCAGGACAACTTTCCGGGAGACCAGTATATTCCGCCGGATGAGGACTACGCATCTCCGCCGTACAATGTGGCGCAATCGCTGAATCCGGCCGCGCCGCAGCTGCCGCCGCCCCCGCCGACACCTGCGCCGCCCGCGCCGTCGAGCGGACCGAGCACCGGAGTGATCGTGGGGACGGTGATTGGAGTGATTCTCGGAGTTGGCGCTCTGTCGTTCGGGATCTGGATCTGCATGCAACGCTCGCGAAACGCCGCTCGCGCGGCTGGGCGCGGTGGTTACGGCGACGTGAATTTGTAACCCGTTTCTGGTTTCGCTGAGTTACCACGGCGGGTGTCGCGGATCAAGAAGCTTTCGTTTGAAGCCGATTCGTTTGATGCCAGTGTGCTCGCGTCAGCGATCGGAAGAACAGTGAGTTGCAGTATGGTTATAGCAGGATTGGGACTTCGTTTCGGTAATGAAGCGGCTTGCTTGAGATCTGCTACTAACGAGTAGATTGGTCGAACATTTTAATAGTTGTAAGTCTAGGTTAAGACCTTTCAAGTGATCTCATTCCCCATGTCCCCATTGAGCGAGCATTTGGGTGTTCAAAAATTTATCACAGGCTAAATAAGGGCACGGAATGAAACAACCCTCAGGAATTTGAGTTCCACAATCATTGTCATTTTTGCCTTCCCTATTCCCCACTCCCCATCCCCCTATCCACCCACTACCTCGTTCCCCGTTCAACACACCCATCTCCCGCTCCTCCGTATCCCGTTTTTCCCCCTATTCTCCGCTCCCTATTCTCCGCGTTCCATCCCCCTTCTTTCCCGTCTTTTCCATACTCCCTCACATCAAATTCGCTGTTCTGCCCCTCCCCTTTCCCCCCCACCTCCCTTCTTCGTCGCTCTTCCTCCCTCTTCCTCCCTCGTTCTCTCCTCTCTTCCCTCTTCCTACCCCCTTCCTCCACTCTTCCTCCCCTAATCCTTCACCATTCCTCGCCAGCCTTCACCTTCACTTTCCTTCCTTACAACTGCATCCCCCCTCGCCAGCCTTCACCTTATTACCTTCTTCTTTCCCTCCCTCCTACCCTCCCTCCCTTCATACCTCCTTCCAACCTGTCATCCCTCCCGCGCCCTCCCTCCCGCCCCTGTCCTCCCCCACCGTTTCTCTCTTGTCCCCCCCGTGCCTCTCTCTCTCTCTCTCTCTCTCTCTCTCTCTCTCTCTCTCTCTCTCTCTCTCTCTCTCTCTCGATCCCTCTCTCTCGATTCCTCTCTCTCGCTCCCTCTCTTCCCCCCTCTCTCTTTCCCCCTCTCTTTTCCCCTCACTCTCCCTCTCTCTCTTTCCCACTCTCTCTTTCCCTCTTTCTTTCCCTATCTCTCTTTCCCTCTCTCTCTTTCCCTCTCTCCTTCGCTCTCTAGCGTTCCCGCACCTTCTCCCTCGCTCATTTCCCCCCCGCTCATTCCCCCCCGTGTCGCTTGCGACCTCCCTCTCTCTCTCCCCTTCTTTGTTCTCACATACGGTACTGCTGCTCTCTGTAAATTTCCGTGTGGTTCAATAAGTTCTGAAGTGTAGGTTTCACAAACATGTATACCAAGCAGTGGTGAAGTAGCACTACATACTGAGTGAGGCTGGTTCCACTGCACAGCCACCAGTGAACCGACATCCTGCACACGTGAGAGAGCCTCATTGGGTATACAGAAATACCAACCTTCTTACTAGAGTGGAAAAGTTATCATCTCAGCATACTAAACCGTAGTGAAGCGCTCTGTCCCGGGTTTCGAAAATATCACCTCGCTTTGTCCCTGCTTGCGTGTTTCGCCTCAGAGGTGGCAAACAATTATTGGACGGCCTTGGTTTCGCCCACCCCACACCAACTTCCACATGGTTTACTGTAGCATGTGGGCGCCTCTGCAGCAGCAGCAAGCAGGCACTGACAGCGCATCAATGCGGAAATTTCCCCTCACAACCATATAGGACTGTTCTCCACCGATTTAAAACAGTTTAAACCGAATTGAAGCTACCCTGTTGGGCAATGAATGGGGCGTATGGCGGCGTGTTGCACACTATTTTCGCCTTCAGACATATTTGTTTGTCTCAGCAACACGATAATGCGCTCAAATCCACTTTTCCGTTCCTAGAGAAGATTATAATAAGTCAAGTTGTTTACCACCGCTCTCTGCCTGCATAGTTGCGGACCGACGTCCCGGTAATTACTTACTCTAATACTATTATTCCGGTTTCTAGTGTCCTAAACTCAGCGAAGCTACATAGCTAGAGAAAAGCGCCATGAACCCGAAGCGCGCAGGCTGGAAGCGCGCCAGCCAGCGACTCGCTCGTGCGAGCGCTTCTCGCGTCGTTCGCCTTCTTCCTCTTCGCAGCGTTCGTTTGCATGATTCTCATCCTCGTTACAGGCGCATCCGTTACCATCTTCGCCGTTCCACCCGTCATAGTTGAGAAGAAACCGGCGGAAGCGCAAGGCGGAGGCTCCGCGGGAGGCGCAGGCGCAGCGGCGGGGGAGGCGGGCGGAGCAGCAGGAGGAAGCGGAAAGGAAAACGTTCCGTTTCTGTCGGACTACGATTTATCGAAGCCAATCGTCGGAGGGCCTGAGAGGAAGAAGCAGACGATCGACGAGGCGGACTTCACCCATGGCGAGGCTGTTTATCAGGTGCGCTCATAACGAGTACAATGTCACATGGTTGGCTTTCGTGGTTGGTGAAAGGAGAGACTCATTTGAACTCGCTATGAGGTGCTTCTGTAAGTGAGAAAAAATAGGCTGTGCTTTAATTTCTAGATTCTGACTGCACACAATGAGCCGAGTCTGAGTTTTGAGGCGGGTCGACAGACAAACGAGCCCTTGAATGCTCTAAAGAATCAATGAATGGACGGTGACGCGTAACCGGGTAACACATTTCCCCCCATTCTCCCCACATTCCCTTGAATGCGCAAAACAACAATGAAGGGAGGGTGACACGTATCAGGGTAACACGTTTCCTCCCCCACATTTTCCCCACATTCCCTCCCTCCCCCACCCCCCCACTCCCGTCCCGTTTCCGCACCCCTTTTCGTCCCCCCAGATGCACCTGGTGCAGCGAATTGAAATGATGGGCGGAAGCAAGCGCAACTTTCCCCACCTCCCGCAACTACCCCCACCCCCGTCCCCATTCTTCCCCCCAGATGCACCTGGCGCAGCGAAACGAAATGATGGCGGAAGCAGGCCCAAGCCGCCCCAACTCCCTCCGATCTCCCCCCCGCCATTTCCCCCACCCCACTCAACTCCTCCTCCCCCTCCCCCTTCCCTTTCTTTCTTCCCCCCAGATGCACCTGGCGCAGCGCAACGAAATGATGGGCGGAAGCAGGCCCAAGCCGCCCTTCCGCGGATGGAATGCGGGGAAGGTGAGAGCGGGAGGGGAATGGAGACGGAGGGAGAGGTTGGGGGGGTGGGGAAGAGAGGGGGGGGTGTAGTGGGGGGGGGATAGCCTGATAGGGAAGGCGCCCTAGAGGAAACGGATGGAGGGAAGGTGGGGCGGCTGGGGGGGTTGGGGAGCAGAATTGTGGGAGGGAGGGTTGGGATTGGGTGTATGGGGGAGGGTGGAGGTTTATTTGGAAGGGGATTGGGGGAGGATGAGAGGAGGAGGATGAGGGGAGGGTGGGAGGGAGGATGAGGGGAGGGTGGGAGGGAGGATGAGGGGAGGGTGGGAGGGAGGATGAGGGGAGGGTGGGAGGGAGGATGAGGGGAGGATGAGGGGAGGATGAGAGAAGGATGAGAGAAGGATGAGGGGAGGATGGAAGGATGAGGGGATGATGGAAGGATGAGGGGAGGATGGAAGGATGAGGGGAGGATGGGAGGACGGATTACGGTAAGTGATGTTTTTCCGAGCTTTCAAAACACATCAGAGTGGCGCAGCGGAAGCGTGGTGGGCCCATAACCCACAGGTCCGAGGATCGAAACCTCGCTCTGATAGTTCTGTTTCCCAAATAGGATTTGTAACGTTTATGCTGCACTGCATTTGTACTTTGATTCCCAGTACAGAATCTTGGTGCGAGGAAGGCTATAAGGTTGTAATGTGTACAGTACACCAGCTATGTTGGTGTTACTTTTGAGAATGATGTGTACACCACGCATGCACAACCATCGTGGATCTCCCAACCACGCAACCTATCCCCGAATTCTGAAATTGGGAACCCTCCTATAATTTCACCCCCTACTACGTTCATTCCTTTAAAAGCATTATATAACTACTACCCTGCTTCTCTTCTGTTCTTTATTTTCCTATACCCAACCGTTACAGGTGAAGGAGGTGTTTCTGTCGCCCATGTATCCCTGTAGGCGCCAGCAGAAGCTTGCCAGGAAGGGTGAGGCTGCATGGGTAAGTAATCGTTCCTAATGTAGTACATCCATAAGTTCTTCAGTGCACACATAGATACCCGAATTTCGCCTCAGATAAGCTCGGAACGGGGGCGTTAAAGATGCATCTCGGTTTAAAGATACCCCAATTTAAAGATGCCTCAGTTTTCTCACTAATTGCCCCATTGTGATTGCGCAATACTTTGTGCCCCAAACCCCCGATGCCACTTATTCTTAGTCTTCCGCGTCTCTCCCCACTTTTCATTTGCGTGTATTTATTTGCAGTGGATTTGTAACGTCGTGAAGATTCGCCGCAATCCACATCCCATTATCTACAGGTACAGTAATATTTACAGGTGCACTGAACTGATGACTAGAGGTATAACAAAGCCTACATTTACGGTAATATCCAACAATACTCAAAGGTGCACGCCACGCTCTGCAGGTATATTATTATGTACTAGTTTCACTACACGCCAATATCATATGCATTTCCCTCTTTCATTTCAACCTGCTTGATTCACCCCATCCTTTTACTAGAGAGATATGCGTCTCTCCACCCCACCCTTTTCACCCCTCTCTTTGCTCCTCTCCTCCCACTCTCTCTCTTTCTCGCACACACGGCAACGGCAACACACTTGTGCACACACACTCACCCGCACACGCACACACACACACACAGCTTTTCCCACCCTCTCCCCCCTCCACACCCACCCACACACACTCACCCACACACCCCACCAGCATTGGTCCAGCAGTGCACAGGGTTTCACACTGAGCAGCGCTGCTTCGCTCGGCTTAGCGACGCCTTGCGCGCCAAGTTTCCTAATGCTACTGAGTTCCCCAACTAGACAGACCTGCTTAGGCGTGATGTACCTATCTTTGATCTTGACTATGAGGCTATTCTTGCTGCCATGTATGCATTGACTGTTAGTGCTGAGGGTGACTGCTACTTGTGTGTGCCGCCTGACCCAGGTATAGCCCCAGGTATAGCGCCTGTGGCACTAGGTGCTTTTGAGTCTGCTCCCCCTGGTACTGCGTCCGCACAGGCCTTGCACACCTTCACACTTGACTCTGGTGCTTCCCGCTGTTTCTTTCGCGACAGCACCACAGTCACTCCCCTCCCTGCACCTGTTCCTGTCTCGCTGGCTGACCCCTTTGGGGGCCCAGTGCTTGCACGGTCTTCCACTGTGCTTCCGTGTCCGGCGGTCCCGTCTGGTGAGCTGTCTGGTCTCCACCTCCCCTCGTTCTCTACGAACTTGGTGAGCAACGCCGTCCTTCAGGATCACTGGGTTGACACCTTTACTCCTGGAGGACAGCGTGTGACGATCTGCACGTGCTCCCGGACCAGCCGTCACCTGGCCACGTTCACACGTGCACCTGGGTCTAGTCTGTACACCCTCACCATTGCGTCACGCTACACCCCTTTGTCCCCCCAGCTGTACGCGTCTGCTCAGGTAGCTACCCAGTGTGAGTGTCGCCGCCTGTCGCACGACACTCTCCTGTGGCACCACCGCCTTGGTCACCCCTCCCTGCCTCGCCTTCGTAGCATGCACTCTCGCTACCTGGTCTCTGGCCTTCTTGAGTCTCTGCCTGCCCTCCCTCCCTCGCCTGCGCCGCCCTGCATTCCTTGCGTCGAGGGGCGGCAGCGCGCCGCTCCTCACTCCTCCTCGTTTCCTCCCACAGAGGCTCCCCTGCAGACTCTCCACATGGACGTGTGGGGCCCAGCCCGCGTCCATGGACAGGGCCACGAGCGGTACTTCCTGCTGGTCGTCGACGACTACACGCGTTACACCACGGTCTTCCCCTTGCGCAGCAAGGAGGAGGTCCCTGATGTTTTGATCCCCTGGATCCGCGCTGTTCGTCTCCAGCTCCGCGAGCGGTTCCAGTCGGACTTTCCTGTCCTGCGTCTGCACTCTGACAGAGGTGGTGAGTTCTCCTTAGACCTCTTGGCAGCCTTCTGTGCGGAGCACGGCATCCGCCAGACGTTCACGCTTCCGGCCTCTCCGCAGCAGAATGGGGTTGCTGAGCGCCGCATTGGCTTAGTCATGGAGGTTGCTCGTACCTCCATGATCCATGCTGCTGCCCCCCATTTTCTGTGGCCGTTTGCGGTCCGCTACGCCGCGCATCAGCTCAACCTCTGGCCCCGTGTCTCCTTGCCGGAGACCTCGCCCACACTGCTGTGGACGGGGAAGGTTGGCGATGCGTCGCGTTTCCGGGTCTGGGGTGCTCGTGCCTTTGTCCGCGATACCACCGCGGACAAGCTCTCCGCTCGCGCCATTCCCTGCGTCTTCCTTGGCTTTGTCCCTGACGCGCCTGGCTGGCAGTTTTACGACCCCGCCTCGCGCCGTGTCTTTCCGTCTCAGGACGTCACCTTTGACGAGTCCGTCCCCTTTTACCGTCTCTTTCCCTACCGCACTGCCCCTCGCCCCCCCCCCGCCGCTCTTTCTCGCCCCAGGTCCTCCCCAAGTAGACCCCCTCCCCGCGCCAGGTCCTGCTCCTTCAGGTGTTTCTCAGGTAGACCCTCCCGTGCCTGCGCCTGTTGAGGTCACTGGTGACTCAGGTCCTGCTGGGGGTGGTGCTGTCTTTGGGGGTGCGGAGCTTGGGGTTGCTGAGCCTGGGGGTGCGGAGCTTGGGGGTGCTGAGCCTGGGGGTGCAGAGCTTGGGGGTGCTGAGCCTGGGGGTGCGGCGCCTGCGCATGAGGACCCAGGAGGTGCTGAGCCGGGGGGTGCGGAGTCTGGGGGCGCTGAGCCTGAGCGTGAGGAGCCTGGAGGTCCTGAGCCTGGGGGTGCTGTGTCTGGAGGTGCTGAGCCCGAGCGTGAGGAGCCTGGGGGTACTAAGTATGGGGGTGCGACGCCTGAGGGTTTCTGAGTCTGCTGCTGCGCGGTCTCCTTGGGGTAGCCGCCTTCGTCCGCGTGTGCCTCTCACCTCACAGCAGCTGCACGACTGGTACGGTCGCCGTCAGGGTCGCGCTTCTGGAGCTCGGGGCTCTGCCGCTGGAGGTACTTCTGCTGACGTCACTGGAGCTGGGAGTGGTGCTGGTCCCGGAGGTGCTCGTACTGGAGGTATTGGAGGTACTGGAGCTGCTGGGGCTGGAGGTGCTGCTGAGCCTGGGGGTGCTACTGCTGGAGACCCTAGGTCTGGGGGTGCTGCTGCTGGAGACACGGAGGCTGGAGACCCTGGGACTGGAGGTGCCGGTTCTGGGGGTGCCGCTGAGGGTACTGGAGCTGCTGAGGGTGCTGGAGCTGCTGAGGGTGCTGGAGCTGCTGGAGGTGCTGGAGCTGCTGCGGGTGCTGGAGCTGCTGAGGGTGCTGGAGCTGCTGAGGGTGCTGGAGCTGCTGGAGGTACTGGAGCTGCTGAGGGTACTGGAACTGCTGGTACTGGTGGCACTGCACAGCCGCGCCTGTTCTTTGCTCCACCATCTCCGTCGTCTCTGCCACCGCCTGACTCCGTACTTCGCCAGGTTCTTAGCCTCCCGTCGTCTAATGGTCTTCCGTTACAGCCTGGCTCACCTCTGCCTGCTCCTTCTCCTTACGCTGAGCAGACAGGGGGCGTTGCTATGCGTCGTGAGCCTGCGTCGCGTCCTGTCTCACCTGTCCGTTCTAGTCGTTCCAGTCTTCATGTTCCTCGTCAGCGTCAGCCGGCTGTCCCCAGCCCTTCCCTTGTAGTCCATCGTCCTTCCTCTCCTCCGCAGCGTGTTCCTCTGCCGTCTCCTCCTGCGTCTTCTCTGCCTGTTGTTCCGGACTCTGAGTCTGACCAGTTTCGTGCTGAGCACCCTACTGTCACGCGTCTGCTAGCCACTGTTGTCACTGACCCGTCGTTTGAGTCTACTGCTGCGTCTGCCTTAGTCGCTGAGCTTGTTGACTTTGCTACTGCCTATCGTCTAGACTACGCTGCTAGTCTTGTTGCTGAGTCTGAGTCTGTCTGTCCTCCGTCCGTTGGGGGTGAGTGTGCTCTTGGCACGAACGTCCTTGAGGACAGACAGGAGGAGTCTGAATGCTTTGCCGCTGCTTTACCTCATCTCGTGTCCATGCTGATTGCCCCTGAGGGAGACCCGGATGCACCAGACATCCCGACCCCGCGCTCTTACGCTGAGGCGATCGCCGGTGAGTACTCCTCTCAGTGGCAGACAGCCATGGACGCAGAGATGGCATCCTGGAAGTCCACAGGCACTTAAGTTGACGAGGTTCCCCCACCTGGGGCGAACATCGTCAGTGGCATGTGGATTTTCAGGGTGAAGCGGCCGCCGGGTTCTCCGCCTGTCTTCAAGGCGCGTTACGTTGCACGAGGTTTCAGTCAGCGAGAGGGAGTAGACTTCTTCCAGACCTTCTCCCCCACCCCCAAGATGACCACTCTTCGGGTGCTGCTGCACGTTGCCGCTCAGCGTGACTACGAGCTTCACTCTCTTGACTTCAGCACAGCCTTCTTACAGGGCAGTCTGCACGAGGAGATCTGGCTGCGCCGCCCACCTGGCTTCACTGGGTCGTTCACTCCTGGTACCCAGTGGAGCCTCAGGCGGCCGGTCTACGGTCTCCGCCAGGCGCCACGTGAGTGGCACGACACACTGAGGACGACACTTGCGGCTCTTGGGTTTGCTCCGTCGACTGCTGACCCGTCGATGTTTCTGCGCACTGACACTTCGCTGCCGCCGTTCTACATCCTCGTGTACGTCGACGACTTGGTCTTTGCCACTGCTGACACTGAGGCTCTCGCCCTGGTGAAGTCGGAGCTGCAGAAGAGACACACGTGCACAGACCTGGGTGAGCTGACAAGCTATCTTGGCTTGCGGATCACCCGGGACAGAGCACGCCGCACCATCACACTGACTCAGTCACACATGGTGCAGCAGGTCCTTCAGCGCTTCGGCTTCACCTGGTCCTCGGCACAGCCCACTCCTCTGGCTACAGGTCACTCGCTCTCAGCTCCACCTTCGGACGAGTCCGTAGAGCCGAGTGGTCCTTATCCAGAGCTAGTGGGCTGCCTCATGTACCTGATGACCTGCACTCGTCCTGACCTTGCGTACCCTCTTGGCCTTCTGGCTCGCTACGTGGCTCCTGGTCGGCACCGAAAGGTGCACATGGATGCTGCTAAGAGGGTACTACGCTACCTGTGCAGTACATCGGGCATGGGGCTCGTGCTTGGAGGACGGAGCGACGTTGTCCTCACTGGGCACTCAGACGCTTCTTGGGTTGACGACCAGGCTACGCAGCGGTCGTCACAGGGTTACACCTTCAGCCTTGGCTCTGGTTCAGTTTCTTGGCGTTCTACACGCTCGTCTTCAGTTCTCAGCTCCAGTTGTGAGGCTGAGATCTACGCCACAGCCATGGCTGCACAGGAGTTACGCTGGCTCACCTACCTGCTGACCGACCTGGGAGAGCGGCCTCGTTCTCCTCCAGTGCTGTACGTCAATAACAAGGCAGCCATTGCCTTGTGTCAGGAGCACAGACTGGAGCACAGAACAAAGCACATCGCTCTGCGTTACTTCCTGGCTCGAGAGTTGCAGCAGCGGGATCAGCTTCGTCTTGCTCACGTGGCCACTCGGGCCAACACTGCTGATATATTCACCAAGGCACTTCCGTCTGGTGATCATCAGCGCTTTTGTACTTTGTTGGGCCTTGTGCCTATGTTTCCACACTTGCTGTAGATTCTGCTTGTACTGTGATCTATACATATATACCTGCATGCTTGCTCTTGTTAGGTAGTGATCACTGAGCCTTTGCTGCATATACATCTCTGCATGTGAACTGGCCTTGTGGCCTGTTGCTAGTGCTCAGACTGCGTGGTGACGTTGTGATCCACCCTGAGCTTGCTTTGCACTTCCTGACTGGTCTTGTGACCCTCTGTTCTCCCCCACTTTGCCTATGGGGGTGTGTCAAACATACATTTATATGTTATAGTTTGGGTAGGCTTTGTGGGGTACTCACTGTGGGGTACAACCCATTAGGTTACTCTTTTGTACCAACCTTCTCCATAGTTGAATCATTCCCTTGCCTTAGTCTCGACATCTTGTGATCGTCTGTTGTATTTGCTATCTCCCACTTAGACTATGGGGGTGTGTCAAACTATATGTTTGTGTTCTCTCTAGGCTATAGTGGGTTAGCCTACAAGGGGTACACCACTTTAGGGTTAGTACTTGTACCCAACTCATTCATAGTTCATTCATTCGTGCACAGTGGTTCTGACAGTATAGCCTCCTACGAAAAGCCTCACAGGCTCCTACCCATTGAGCTGTCCCCACATCGTATACCGTACAAGCCTCATTGGCCCTCGTATGCGAATATGTTTGCTATAGGCCATCTGATGGAATTATATTTACATACATTTTTAATACGATTGTGTAACGACGTTGCACAATGCACATACTACTGCGATCAGACGTTGATCGTAACCAGGATCACCTCAGGAAGGTTCGCACACAACTAGGTAATGGTGGTGGGCCATTGAACTCAAATCAGAGTGAATGTAAAATGATTGAGATGATTTAAAACATGCAAATACATACATATAAATTAGAGTACAAGGTGGGATACGAAGCGACCTATCTAGCAATGTACTCTAAGGGGTACATTCCCTTCCCGTATTGCAGCGAAACTCAACCGTACGACTCCAGACGGTTACGAATTGCTCGGGCAGAATCCTCGCCACTGCTGCTGCCTGATGCTGTCTGCCCTGACGGTCCAAATCCTTCGTAACCATACGACCCTTCGCGTCACTTCTGCCTGTTCGTCTTCACACTCGGTACTGCATGCTTTGGTTGCTACTGTCAGGAGTGCACAGTAACACTTCATATTTTAATATTCGTAACACATACTACCAGGGTTACGAAGTCTATAATTAGTGTTATTGATTATCTCAAATTGAATCTTGCATATGTACAATTTAGCTTTCCTAGTTTTGTGCGTCGGAGAAGTTTGCGTTAAACCCGATAATGAATTGTGTAGTGTTTTCGAAGGTTTAGGGCACTCCACATCGTGCTTGCCGATCCCTGACGTGGCAAAGTATATATTCTGGTAACTTGTAGCTTCCCCTATTGAAGGGCAGGAAGAAAGGGTTTTTGAGCCAACCATTGAGCCGCCATGAAACGACTCAGCAGTCCAGAACATGTGGGCTTTCCTTCGACACATCAGCCTCCGAAGCGACCGACATAATCAAGGTTTGCAACCAATCATGTGCCACCAACAGCCTAATTGTCACCGTTTCGAGACGCTGATGACGTGGCTGGTTTCGGTCTGGCTGGCTAAACCTGTGGCTCGGTCGGAGCTCCGGTAGGTTGAAACTTGAAACTCGGGGTGAAGCCTCTTCACCTCAACCAGAGCAAGGCTTTTGGTCTGGTCGCATACCGAGCCACGATATTCTCTGTCAAGCCTCGTTGAGACAAGCCACCACTTTCGCCATCGATATTGGATCCGAATTTTGAATTGGTCGATGAGAGGGTTTCGTTTCACTTTGGTGTGAGCTTCGATATTTCAGTTCTGGCTCGGACCAGAGTTGCCCGCCTGATCGAGTTCGTTGGCCAGCTTTGCTGTGGCCTTCCACTCACTAGACAGTCGTAACCGCGGTTCCTGGGAGCCAGTGCAGCGCAGATTTCCCAAAGCCAGCTCAGCCAATCAGGAGCTGATTGTATTCCGTCGCCATGTCATGCGCAGGAACCTCACACAGGAGTTAAAAACTCTGGATCACCTTTTGAACCAGCAGCCAGTCACGCCTCAACCACGTGGCAGTGTGAACTTGGCGCCTCCAAGCCATCTCGAGGAAACCCCACAAAGCCTGGACGTCGGGTGTGGCTCGGCCGCAGCTCCGATCAAGGCACGGAATATAATCAGCAGCTTCAGCAATCTCGAACACAGCAACGTCGATTCAACCAAGCAAAAGAGAGACGTCTGGCACCTATCTCCAGGTCAGCAGACTTGGCAATTAAGGCTCGGACACTCGAGCCTCGAACCCAACCAATGACCTGCCCGACCAAACCTGCTCGCATCTCTTCGCATTTGCTTTCCCCGCCAAACCCGTGTCGAGCCTGGCTGGAGGCTGGATATGCTTCGGCCCAATCAGGGGCTTGTTTTGATAACCCCGCCCCGATTGGCGGGAGAAGCAAGCACCAACTGCTTTGCGAAGGTGTTTTGCTGCCTGCAAGCCTCTCTCCGTTCCTCTCCAGTTCTCTCTCCTCTCCTCTCCTCTCCTTTCCTTTCCTCTCCCTTTTACCAGACTCCAGAGCCTCTCTCTTGGTCTAGGTTCTTGATGAGTGTGTCTGGGGTTGTGGAAGAAACAGGAGTAAGGTCACGGAAAGGTTTTGACAGGAGATTTGTTCTCCTTTTGAGTGTTACTGGTTTCGCTGGTTGTTGCGATGGGTGTTGCTCGCAATGCCAGTCCCGTGACTGAGGCCGAGTTTGGCCTAGACGCTGACGCTGATAGGAATTCAATGAAAGCTGGCCGACGTTGCGGCTAGAAATTCGTTTCAGGCTTTCTAGAATACGCCGTTAGGCGTGAAGGCTTTCGTCGATAGGCCAGATTTTCCAGTCGCGTGGGTATTGTTGAAGTCAGAAATCCCGATCGTTATTCTGAGACGATGGACAGGATGAGAGAAACGAGAAAAGGTGATAAGGGTCCCGTGACCACTCCGACGCAGCGTCGGTCGAGGAGCTCCATTGGACCTAAGGAGACTCAAGGTAATTTAGATATTAGTCGATAATGCATAGTCATTTAATTACTCTATTAGATCCCGAGCCGTCTCCGAGCTTTTTAGATGATGCGAAGCTACGGTGTGGATCTGACGTTCCTTGAGGAAGTTAAGAAGATCAGTCCGCATTTTTTCATGAGCTTTAGTAAACGGTGTCGTGCTGTCGGCCATTTAGTCGTGAGATTTGGCGATTATAAGAGACTCTTTGCGAACAACTTCCCAGCTCCGTCGAACAGTTTTTTTTTTCTCCAATAGTTCGCATTTTTATTTCGCAGCCGGAGGTTCCTCGTAGCCGAGCGTTATTGGTTGATGCTGGTAGCTGGAACCGGCGAATTCTTGAGCCGTTAAAGTTTTTGTGTCGTTGATTTAAAGGAATGTCGGTGCAGTCGCCAGGTAGATGTAACCCTCACGTTAGCTCGGTAGACGTTGAACGTGTCAGGCTCGGTCGTTTTTACGAAAGGCGGCACTTTCTCCTCTCCTTCCGCGTTAATGGCATACGAGATGACTGCGGTTTTGACTTATAACGAACGGAGGTTTAGTTACTTAACTTTCGCTGGTAGTCGGTGCCTTCATGGCGCTAATATTTTACAGCAGAGCTTTAACACTGTCGTTTACCCCCTTTATCCATTTGATAGTTACCGATTCTTTTAAGCGCTTTGAGGTACAGATGGTTTATAGACGCCTGGCTTTAAGACGCTAAGAGCCTCTTTTGCTCTTGTTATGACTTTTATGTCCTTCTGCGTTAGCTTTTTCGTGGTAAAAGAAGCTCGATTTCCGTTTCGATTTCGTTGCCTAGCGATACCAAGGGACCTATGTCGAAGGGCCTTTTTTCACGACAGGAGAAAAAGCGCTCCTGTATCAGCCATATGGTTTTCTGAAGCGTTTTTGCGCATCCTACATTCTTTGCCATTTCTTGACCCACGAACAGATGCCGGGCATTCCACACCCGATGGGTCTGGACTTGAGAGCCACGGCTCACGAGGAGGAGGAATCGCGAGAGGTGACACAAGCGGAGGTGGCGGTATCAAAGGATCCAGTCGACACTCTGTCGACATTGGCGGCGGGAATAATGATGGAGCTGGTACTAACGCGTACAACTCCACGGGGTCGAATAGCCGAAAGCGAGACAAACCGAGGGTAGGCTCTGGAGGATCCAACGGCTCGAAAACGAAGCGCAAGCGGAGTGCGTCCGAGGCCGTTTCCCCCTTCTCCCCTCAAGCGGAAGAGGAGGAGGAGGCCACTCCGCCACCAGGCGCAGGCGCGGGGGCCGGGGAGGCCGCGGGGTTTAGCGCGCATGGTGATTCCCCCTCGCTCGGGGACCCGCGCGAGGACTCCCCCGCGGGATTGAGGCGTCCGCCGAAGTTCCGCCTTCCAGGGTCGAAGCTCGAGGTACGTGCGGGAAGGGGTAGGGGGTAACGTCTGGTTGTGCCTGATAAAGCATGCTGTTTTTTCTCATGTCTTTTATTGCCGCTTAACCGTTCGTGCTCGCCGTTTTCCTTGAGCTCCGTGCCTACTAGCGCTTGAACCATTGTATTGTAACGCTCCTCATCTCCCCATGCCTCCGTCTGACCGCTCCTTTTCTGCCCTCTTTCTCCCCGCGCTCCTCCCCTTTGTTTGCCCGTGTGGTTGATGCAGTCGATGGATGAGAACGGCCCCGTCACTCTCACAGCAGTGCCTCGCCGCACACGCACTGGTAAGGAGTGCAAGTTGAGAGGAACCGATGTGTTGAGTTGAACGCTTCGCCTGCTTGTCGTGGAGTATTTGCTCTTCTCTCCCTTACTCCAGTGCATTGCTATTCACTGACACTTGTACGCCTTAATGGTGTGTTCGTGATCGCGCACGTCGTTGTCATGTCTCTCTTGGTACCATGTTCCTGTGCACTACGAAGGGCTTCACGTGCCTGATTGCGTAGGCCTGGCACGTATTGTGGCTACAGAGTATGCCACAGCGCCTCACAGATGAATGAGTGGGCCGTGCAGCTTCAGCCATTCAGCCATTCGGCCTCAGCCTCCCAGTCTCAGCCTCGCCCTGTGATCCTCGTCACACGTTTTGCGCCATGGTGTCCTACTCAGGCCGAATTTTCGACCTGTCTCCTTCCCGCTCCCATCTCCATCTCCGCTTGCCTCCTCCTCCTCCTCCTCCTCCTCCTCCTCCTCCTCCTCCTCCTCCTCCTCCTCCTCCTCCTCCTCCTCCTCCTCCTCCTCCTCCTCCTCCTCCTCCTCCTCCTCCTCCTCCTCCTCCTCCTCCCCCTCCTCCTTCTCCCCCCCTTCCCCCACCTACCCGCGCCCCTCCTCCCCACCTCCCCACCTCCCCGACATTGCACTGAAACTACAGAAAGTGAAGCGTTCGTTCGGTCCTTTCAGCCAGGCCTTCTGTGCTACACGATCCTGCCTCTCGTGGAGACGCATTGCTTGAGGCTCCCCGCACTTACCCTCTCTCTCCCCTCCACCTGCTCCCAACTGAAGCCCGATCTTCCAAGCTTCATTTCCCAAACGTGACGCTTTCTGGGCTTGGAGTGGTGCATCGCAGGAAGACCACTTGGTGTTCCACGTGTGAGAAACCTCAAAAGTTCGTCTCTCTCCCCTCTTTCCTGTGTTTCTCCCTTGCAACCTGCAACCCTTTTTGTACGCTACAGCCAAGGTGAAGCGACCTTCGGAGCCCCATCACCTGGACGTGACACCCCGTTGGGACGGTGCTTGGCCTGAGGACACCTTGGTGATCCATATGTGAGGAACCTCAAAAGCTCGTCTTCCCTGCTCCCCTCCCTTGCGTCCCTGTTTGTACATTACAGCCAAGGTGAAGCGCTCTTCGGAGCCCCATCATCTGGACGTCACACCCCGTTGGGACGGTGCTTCCCATGAAGACGCCTCACCGTCCCCTGGCTCGTGGGAGAGGGACAGAGAGAGGGAGAGGAAGGAGGAGAGGAAGGAGGAGCGCGGGAGAGACAAACGGGGGGAGAGCGAGCGTTGGCATGAGGGAAATGCGCTGACGCCGCCGCTGGGGTCGCACTCCCCGTCTGTTTTCTCCTCTCCTCCTGCTGGCGCAGGGGGGGAGAGAAGAGCGGAGGAGGAGGTGGGGATGGTGCAAGAGGAAAGGCAGGAGGGGGACGATTGGGGAGTTAGTGGCGGGGATGGAGGCGAGAGAGAGGCGAGCGGGGAGAGGGAGTTGAAAGGGCAGGCGGCTATGACGCACGGCAGGGAGAGGAAGGTTATATCCGGGGACGGCTCTCACTCCCGCAAGAGGAAAACGTCTGCTGCTGCGGCTGCTGCTGCCGTTGCTGCTGTGGCAGCAGCGGGTGCTGCCGCAGCTGGTGCTGCCGGCGCTGCTATTGGCGGGTCTGCTGCAGCAGGGAAAGCAGCGGGTGCGTTTCCGGGGGAATCTGCAATGCAAAGCTCGGGTTTGCGATCCTGGCCGGGGGTGTTGAGCCTAGGGGGTGGAAATAACATAGAACAGCAGGAGGGGTCGGAAGACGGGAGAAGGCGGGCGAGTGGGAGAGAGCAGAGAGAGCATGGTTCCCACGGCGGTGGGGTTGATGCTGGGAGGGAGAGAGGGGAGGGTGAGGCGGAGCAGGAGGGAGTGGGAAGTGGGGGGGCGGTAGGTTTGAAAAGGGACCAGAGGGAACAGAGGGAGCATCGGCATCCTGTGGGGAAGAGAAGAGGGGTCAAGGAGGGGCGGGATGGGGTGCCTAGGGCCGGGAGGGAGCATAGGGAGCATAAGGATCATAAGGAGCATAATCAGCGGGGGGAGAAGGAGTCGAAAGGGGAGAAGGACGGGCATGAGCCGCAGCTGCTGCAACTGCGGCCGCATGAGACGGGCAAGAGGGGCAGCAGGCACAAGCACGACTCGCCAGCAAGCCAGGCTCGGGCTGCCGGACCTGCAGGCGGGCCTGGCTCGGAGCAGCTGGAGCTGCCGAGCCAAGGTTTTCCGGTTCAGGAGTTAGGGAAGGGAATGGCGCAGTTGAGTCAGAACCAGGGAGCGGGAACGGGGCTTAGAATACCGCCGTTCTCTTCCCCGTTTCTCCAGCAACCGCAACAGGGGTTGGCACAGCCGCTGCAGCAGCAGCAGCAGCAGCAACACGATCCTTCAGCATCACTTCATAAGCATGGGCACGGGCACGGGCATGGGCTTGCGCATGGGCATGGGCATGGACATGGGCACGGGCATGGGAAGTTGGGGCATGGGCATGGGCATGGGAGCTTGGGGCCTGTCCCTCCCCATTCCCTGCCTGACCCCATGCCTCCCCACTTACCCGCCCAAAGCAACCAAGCACTGCATGCAGGGGGACACGCACACGGACACGGGGCGTCCCTAACAGGCCTTGCCCCTGCTGCAGACCGCATGGGTGGCAGCGAGGGGGGAAACCTGGGAGGAGCCTGGGCTGGGGGCAACGAGGGAGGGAGTCTGGGAGGCGGTCGGTTTGGGGGCAGTGAGGGGGGCAGTGAGGGGGGAGACTTGAGGCTGCCTGGCGGGCAGGCAGCAGAAGGAATAGGGATGGCTGCAGGGGTTTCTGTGTCGGCAGGTGCTTCTGGGGCGCGTCTGTCTGGTGCTGGTGGTCCTGTGGGAGTGGGAGTGGGAATGGGGGAGGGGGAGCTGCGAGCAGTGCGATCCAAGCCAAGGAAGAATGAGGTCCGTGGCCCCTTGCTGCGTCCCTACTCTCTATTTTGCTCTATTTTGCTCTGCGTCTTTTGAGTGGGTGTTGGGGAGGGGGAGGAGCAGCGCGATCCAAGCCGAGGAAGAATGAGGTCGGTGGCCCCTTGCTACTATTTACTCTCTGCTTCGCTCCCCTTTCTTCTCCTTTCACCTCATCTCATTCATTGCCACTCCCTGTGCTATGAACAACTTCGTCATTTCTATTTTGTTCCTTTTTCTGGTTTTTTCCCTCCACCAGAGAGCAGCAGCAGCGGCAGCAGCAGCGGCAGCAGCGGCAGCAGCAGCAGCGGCGGCAGCAGCAGCAGCAGCACAAGCACGAGCTGAAGCCCCTGATCCAAAGGACCGGTTGGGAGGGGACATGGAAGCCTCTCACATCAGACCTTTCACTCTCCCTCCTACCCCGTCTCCTCCTGCTGCTCCTTCTGCTTCTCTCGCTCGGCCAAACGCGTCAGCAGCAGCAGAGATGGGATCTGTTTTCCCTAACAGCAGCCACGCAGCAGCAGCAGCGCCAGCAGCAGACGCAGCCATAGGGTTCATACCCCCCCACACAGACGCTGCTGCTCCTGCAGCAGCGGCAGCTGGGGGTGGGGCGGCGCATGTGGGCTGGCGCTTAGGCCAGGGGCTCGCTGCCTCTGGGGGTGGGGCTGCAGCAGAGGCTGGTGAGGGCAAAGCTGCTGGGAAAGCGGGTGGTGGGCACGGGGAAGGGGACGGAGCGTTTGCAGGGAGAGGGAGGGGAGTGAGAGGGCTGGGTCGAGGGGGACGAGGCGGGGGACGGGGAGGTGGAGGAGGGGGAGGAGGGGGAGGGGAAGGTGGTGGTGTGGCGGGTGTGGTTGTTGCAGCAGGGGGAGGAGGAGAGGCGGGAAGAGGAGAGGGAGGCAGGGGAGGAGGTGGAATAGAGGAAGGTACTGCAGCTGGTGCAGGGATCGCAGTAGGTGGTATGGGCGCTCCTGGTAGTACTGCTGCCAGTGTCGCTGCTGCTGGCGCTTCTGCTGGTGGTGCTGCTGCTGGGGCCGCATCTGCTTCTGCTGCTGCTGCAACGTCTGCGGCTGCTGCCGCGGCCGGTGGTGCAGGCATTTCCGCCGCTGCAGCAGCTGCTGCGGCGCCAGTTGCAGCTACAGGCGGGAGGAGCAGAGGAGGGGGGCGGGGCGCAGGGGGAACTGGGCCCAGAGGCGGGGGGAGGGGGAACAAGGGGGAGGGAGGAGAGGGCGGAGGGCGAGGGGGGAGGGGGGCAAGGGGCGGTAGGGGAGAGGGGGGAAGAGGAGGGGCTGGGCAGGTTGGGGCAGGCGAAAAAGTCAAGGGACGTACGGCAAAGGTGAGCTAACGTGTGACCCGTTTCTCCCAGTCACTTCTTCTTACCCAAGTTCTCCCGGTCACTTCCTTCTATCCTCTCCTTTGCTCCAAGTTCTCACGTTTCTCTTTTGCATAGCTGCCAGTCTATTGTTACTCAAGTCCTCTGTAACTGTTCCCCCCCTCACTCGTCTCCAGGCCAAAGCAGCAGCGGCAGCGGCAGCCACAGCAGCAGCAGCCGCTGCTACAGCATCTGCCCCCACGGCAGCAGGTCCTCACCCCCCGGCAGGCCGGCCAAAAGCCGGCCCAGGAGCAGCAACTGGGGCGGCAGGGGGGCCAGGGGGAGCAGGAGGGGCAGCAGGGGCGCCTGGGCCTGGCGGCAGGCCGACTGCTCCTGTGTCAATGTCAGCGCAGGAGGCAGAGGTAGCAGAGGCGCTCTTTGACTTTGCCAACCTCCTCGCGTTTGGATCAAATGAAGCTGAAGAGGAAGGGGCTGATGGCTCTGCCGCTGCTGCTGCTGCTGATGGCGCTGCTGCTGCTGCTGCAACTGCTGCTGCGGCGGCTGCAGCGTCTGTGGCGGCGGAGGCTGGTAATGCTGCTGCTGCCAATGGGGTGGCTGTAGAGGGTGTGGGTGCACAGCAAGCGGGTGTAGTTAGGAAGAGAGGGGAAGGTGCGGGGAAGAGAGAGGAGGGGGTGGGTGCAGCAGGGGGAGAAGGAGGGCGGAAGCAAGGAGGAGGGTCCAGGAAAGACGAGTCAAGGAAACGAGGGGCGAAGGCAGCAGCAGCAGGGCCTGATGGTGGTGAGTGCATGTGCTTCGGAGTGGCTGTGCTTGTCTCGGGGTGACTTTTGAGTCGACTCAAAAGTCTGTTGAGTCGACTCGAAAGTTTTTTATGTCGACTCGAAAGGCAGCAGCGGCAGGGCCTGATGGTGGTGAGTGCATGTGCTTCGGAGTGGCTGTGCTTGTTTCGGTAAGGGCCGGGATTTGCCTGCGTTTGCCTGTGGTTATATGACTCTTGAGGATTGTGGTTGCGCTCGTTTTTTTAGAATTCTCAAAGGTGGTTGCACTGTGCTACATGCCATACATATCATGCATCCCCCTTTTCCTTGTACTTCCCCCCCCGGGGCCACAGCACCTCTCAAAAAGCGGTGAGAGGCAGCAGCAGCAGCAGCGGATTTGAGACGTTAAAAAATCCGCCCCTCTTGGGTTGAAACGTTTCAGAACACCATGCACTCCTCTTCACCCCTTCCCCTCTTCCCCCCTGTACCGCCTCCCCTGTGTCACAGCACCTCTCAAGAAGCGGAGAGGGGCAGCGGCAGCAGCAGCAGCAGCAGCGGCGGCAGGGGGTCAAGCGGGGGGTGAACACTCTGCTAAAGGACCTGCAGTGGCCGCAGCACAGACCGTACCAGCAGGTGCAGCTGCAGCAGCAGGAGCGGGGGCAGCGGGAGGAGGGGGAGGAGCAGCAGGTGGGAAAGTAGGCAGTGCCCCTTCCACCCCACCGGAGGGATCAGGTCCTATGGGGCCAGTGCTTTCCCTCCCACCCACCCACGCTCCCACCAGCAGAGACTCGCAGGGACCCTTTTCCGCTGCTGTTGCTGCTGCAGCAGCAGCAGGTGGTGCTGGTGGCCCTTCAGGTGTAAACGCAGGTGCAGGATCAACGAGTCTTCTGGGCACCCCCCTTGCCTCGCCTCGCGTTGTCCTTCCTTCTCCGCCTCTAGGGTTCCCCATTGCAGCAGCGTCTGGGGCGGGGATGGGGATGGGCGCGGGGGGGCAGGGCGCAGGGGCGGCGGCTGATGTGTCTCGGCTGCTTGTGTGTGGGGGGAATGAGGCGGATGGGCGGGGGCAATATGTGGGAGGGGCGGGGGGAGCAGGGGAGGGGGTTGTGGGGGCGGGAGGTGGGGGGAGGTCGGCAGGGGGAGGGGGGATTGCGGCAGGAGTGGGGCCAGGGATGGTTGGGGGGAGGCAGAGCGTATTGGAGAAAGTCAGTCAACATCAAATTGCTGCTGCTGCTGCACACGGCCATACAGGTTCGTCAGACCTTTTTGTTTGGTGTTTTGTGCCTTGGGTTTTTTATCTTTCTCTTTTCTAGTATGCTGATTTGCGCCAATCAAGAATTGGTCTGCCTCCACTGTTGCCCTCCGCGCCCCGGCTGCCGCCCTGGCTGCTGCAGCAGGGCCCCTACACTCGCCCCCTTCGCCCCCTTCGCCCCTCCCTCTGTCTCACAATACACTCACAATATAACACCCCTGTCTCCGCCACCTCCCTCCCCGCCCCATCTCCTACAGACGGCAGCACCAGGCAGACCAAGCATGGCCCAGCCTCCTCTGCTGCCCTCCGCGCCCCTGCTGCCGCCGCCCTGGCTGCTGCTGCAGGCCCCTTACACTCCCCCTCCGCCCCTCCTGTGCCAGGCATTGCAGGGGCGGTGGGTAGCGGTGGGGGTATGTTGGGCGGGGTAACAGGGGGTGCCAGTGGGGGGGTGATGATGGGGGGAACGCAGAAGGGGCCAGAGATGGTGGTGGGGGGGCAGTTGATGGGGCAGTTGATGGGGCAGCCGTTGTTGCAGCATCCGCAGCAGCAGCAGCAGCAACTGCAGCTGCATCTGCAGCAACAGCAACAGCAACAGCAACAACAGCAGCAGCAGCAGCAGCAGCAGGAGCAGCAATCACCAAAGCAGCAACAGCAACAGCAGCAACTACAGCAACAGCAGCAGCAGCATCCTGGGTTAAACTTTCAACATATGCCTCCTGCCCAGCAACCGCAGCAGCAGCAGTCACAGCCGCGACAACACCAACAGCCCCTGCACCAACAGCAGAGCCATCAGCACCAACAGCACCACCAGCAGCAGCAGCAGCAGCATCAGCAGCAGCACCAACAACCGCAGCCAACGCAGCAGCAACAAGCACCCCAGTTGCTGCAAGCGCGGCCGCATTTGCAGCAGCCAGGTCAGCAGATGACAGGTCAGCAAATGACAGGTCAGCAGATGACAGGTCAGCAACCGACAGGTCAACAAATGACAGGGCAACAGATGACAGGTCAGCCAGTGATAGGGCAGCAGAACCTGCTACATCTGCAGCAGCACAAGGGGCAGGAGCAGCAGAGTCAGTACCAGCAGCAGCAGAAGGGACAGGAGCAGCAAAGTCAGTACCAGCAGCAGCAGTCACTGCAGCTGCACCTGAACCCGCCGCAGCAGGGAGGGGCTACGGGTGGGGCAGGTAACATAGGGCAGACGCAACAGCAGTTACAGTATCAGCCACAGCAGCAGTATCCTCAGCAGCAGCAGCAGCAGCAACACATGTTGCAGTTGCAGCAGCAGCAGCAACAGCCGCATTTACAGCAGCAGCAACAGCAGCAGCCACAGCCACAGCCACAACCACAGAAGCAACAGCAACAGCAACAACAACAGCAGCAGCAACAACAGAAGCCTCAGCTGCAACTGCAATTGCACCTGCAACCGACAGGACAGCCATCACCACAGCAGCAGCAGCAGCAAATGCAGCAATGGCAACAACAACAGCAGATGCAGCAACTTCAACAGCAGCAACAGCATATGCAACAGCAGCAGCAGCAGCAGCAGCAGCAACAGCAACCGCACATGCAACAGCATATGCAACAACAGAATCAACAGCAGCAGAAGCAACAGCAGCAGCAACAACAGAATCAACAGCAGCAGCAGCAACAGCAGCAGCAACAGCAACAGCAACAGCAGCAGCAGCAGCAGCAGCAACAGCAGCAGCAGCAGCAGCAGCAACAGCAACAGCAACAGCAACAGCAGCAGCAGCCGCAGCAACAGCAACAGCAGCAACAACAGCAGCAACAACAGCATCAGCAACAACAACAACAACAACAACAACAACAACAACAGGGTGCAACAACAACAAAGCAACTTCGGCTTCAGCCACGACCCCCTTCAGCCCTTGAGCAGCAACAACAACATCAGCAGCAGCAACAGCAGCAGCAGCAGCAATTCCTTCAGCACCACCAGCAGCAACACATGTTGCAGCTACAGCAGCCACAGCAGCAGCAGCAGCAGCAGCAGCAGCAGCAGCAACAGCAACAGTCATCCATGCCTTATCCTCACCTTGGCCCGCAACGCACACAAGCGCAACCACAGGGGCATGCACAAGCACAGGCACACGCACAGGCACAAGCACAGGCACACGCACAAGCACAAGCACAGGGAGCGCAGCCCCTGCTTCATGTTGCACCCCCCCTACCTGCCCTCGCAGCCACTGCCACTGCTCCCACTGCTACCTCTGCTGCTACTGCTTCTGCTGCCCCTCCCCACCTGCGCCCGCCCTACCCAATCGCACCCTCAGGTGCAGCCACTGCAGGTGCTACCGGGGGAGGTGCATCTGGAACAGGCACTGCTGGTCTTCTCAGTATCGCCCCTAGGGCTCTTGCTCCCAGGCCGATCGCCCCTCTAACAGGCCAGCCAAACGCAGGGGCAATGGCAGGAGGGGTTGGGGTTTCTCCCTTGACAATGCCCAACCCTGCTGCGGTTCTTCCCCCCCAAGCGGCTGGTTTTGGTTCCATGCGCCAGAATCGGATGCTGCTTCCTGTTCCCACGTTAAGCGCTGCTGCAGCTGCTGCTGCCGGACCTGGCACCGGACCTGGTGCCGGACCTGGTGGTGCTGCTGGTGGTGGTGCAGATTCAGGAGCAGGAGTAGGAGGAGCAGCAGCAGCAGCAGGAGGGGTAGTTGGAGCAGGGGTGGTGGGGGTAGGGAAGGACCAACGCCAAACGGGTAGGCCACCACTAACTTTAGAAAATCTTCTCGGTAGTGCCAGCTCAGCACGAGGTGGCGCGCACGCCACTGCAGCCCGCCCTGCCACGTCACCAGTGGCGCTCCTCCGAGGCGCCGCCGTGCCAGGTCCGGTCGCCGGCTTGCCAGGCTCGGCGGCAGGTCTGGCTGGCGCCGCGGCAGCCACCCCTGGTTCGGCGTCGCCGAACCTGTCGAGTGTTTTGGCTGCAGCTAGGGCTGCCTCTTCTGCTGCCCGTGGCACTCCCCTGGCTCCTGGTGCTCCTGGTGCTCCTGGTACTGCATCTGCTTCTCCTGCTCCTCCTCCTGCTGCTCCTACTAACGCCACTGCTGCAGGAGCCACTGCAAGTCCCCTGCTACCCACAGGAGCAGCAGCAGCAGCAGCAGCAGCAGCAGCAGCGGGTGGGGTTCCAGCTTTTCACAACTCTGTCCCCGCCTATTCTCTGCACGCTGGTGGAAACCCATCCTTCTCCCCAAATTCCCATTTGCTCACTGCTTCCCATGCTGCCTCTGCTACTCACGCCACCGCCATTGCCCAAGCCACCGCCGCTGCCCATGCCACTGCCGGTTCCCATGCCACCTCCACTCCCCCCCCGCGGCTGTTTGCTTCCCCACTCACTGCTGCAGCGCTGGCACCAGGGGGGCAGGGAGCGGAGAAGGGGGGGAAGGGCGCGGGAGATGGGGCAAAGGGGCCTGGTGGTGTGGTGGGCCAGGGAGGAGAGGGAGGAGTGGACCAGCAGACGAGGTGAGATCATGCGTTGCACTTTTGAGTTACTCTTTGCATTTTGAGGCACGTCAAAAGTGGGATGGGGAGGAGAGGGAGGAGTGGACCAGCAGACGAGGTGAGAACATGCATTTCTTTGCTGCCCCATTTCTGTGCTGCCCCATTTCTGTGTTACTCTTCAAACCTTTGTGCTGCTCTTTGCCCTTATGCGTTTCAATCAACTTGTTGCAACTGGGTTCTGAGCAGATGAAACGCATTTGAGACGTCTCATTTGTTTCAATCAACTTGTTGCAACTGGGTTCTGAGCAGATGGAACACATAAGAGTGTGTTATGCCTTCTGCCACGTCTCGGGCCGCTCTCTGCCTTGCCTACCACTGCAGACAGCAAGAATCAGTGGCCGCTTCAACAGCAGTCTCACCCCTTTCACCTCTTTCCCTCCCCCTTTCCCCCCTCAATCCCGCCTCTTCCCTCTCCCCCCCCCAATATAGGCTTCGCATGGGGCCGCCTTCAGCCACGGCCACCACTACAGACAGCAAGGACCAGTGGCCGCATCAGCAGCAGCAGTCACTGCGCTCCAACAAGCTTGAGCTTGACCTCATGGTACGTGCGTGTGTGGTGTGCTGAAAGGGCCTGAGGGCCCTCACAAGCTGCAGCAGCACCCGCAGCAGTCACTGCGCTCCAACAAGCTTGAGCTTGACCTCATGGTACGTGCGTGTGTGGTGTGCTGAAAGGGCCTGAGGGCCCTCACAAGCTGCAGCAGCACCCGCAGCAGTCACTGCGCTCCAACAAGCTTGAGCTTGACCTCATGGTACGTGCGTGTGTGGTGTGCTGAAAGGGCCTGAGGGCCCTCACAAGCTGCAGCAGCACCCGCAGCAGTCACTGCGCTCCAACAAGCTTGAGCTTGACCTCATGGTACGTACGTGGTACGTGGTACGTGGTACGCGGTACGTGGTACGCGGTACGCGGTACGCGGTACGCGGTACGCGGTACGCGGTACGCGGTACGTGGTACGCATGTGATACGCGTGTGATACGCGGGTGGTACGCGTGTGATACGCGTGTGATACGCTGGTGGTACGTGGTACGTGATACGCGGGTGGTACGTGGTACGTGGTACGTGATACGCGTGTGGTACGCGGGTGGTACGTGTTGGAGCAGCAGTCGCTGCCCTCCAACAAGCTCTAGCATGATCTCATGGTATGTACGTGTGTGGTGTGTTTAAGCTGAGATGTGTCTTGGGTAGTGTAGTGGCCTCCCGCCTCCTGCCTACACCTTACCAGATGTTTGTTTCCAAATCTGTTTTCCCTTTTTTTGCAGGTGTTTTTTTAGAACCCACTGCCTGCGTACAACTTACCAGGTGATCGTGTTTTTTTCTCAATTCGCTAATCCCATTTCCCTCCCTACCCTCTTCCCCCTTCCCTCCCGCCCTCTCGGCCCCCCTGTCCTTCACCCCCCTCCCCCCCTACCAAACAGTCCCCACCTGGCAACGGTCTCTCACTGCTGGTTCCGAGTTCAGAGCGGTTGGGAGCGGTGGACGAGGAGGAGACAGCGGAAGGGGAGAGCAAGGCGCATGTGCCGCGTGGCATGGTGAGTGTGGGGTGTGGTGTGTGTGGTGAGAGTGTGTTGCAGTGTGGTACGGTGTGGTGTGGTGGGGTGCAGGCTTGGGAGTGTGGCATGGTGAGTGTGTGTAGTGTGGTGGTGTGTGTGGTCTGTGTGGTGTGTGGTGGGCAGGCTTGAGGGAGTGTGTGGGATTTACAGTGCCGTATGGTGAGTCCTTCTCATCCTCCCCGTCCGCGTGTGATGAGTCAATTTTTGAGTCGCCTCAAAAATTGATGTACAGTGCCGTATGATGAGTCCTTCTCACCCTCCCCGTCTTTTCATCTATCTCATCCGTTTATTTTCTATTTTCCCATCCTTGTCATGTCATCCTTTTCTTCTCCGTCTCATCCTTCTCTTCCCCCGCTGTTTTTATTATCCTTTTCCCTGTCTGATCCCTTCAGCCGCCACCAGCAGCAGGCGTTACACACAAGCACATGGGAGGGGGGTTGGCAGGAGGGATAGGAGGACGAGGAGGCGGATTAGGAGTAGGGTTAGGAGGCGAAACTCCCAAGGAAGGGGTGGGAGGGAGGGCGGAGGGGGAGCTTAATATGGAAGCTAGGCTTAGAAAAACTCCTTCCTTTAATAAAGGCGAGGAGGCTGTAGGATCTAGAAAGGGGTTCGATCTGATGCTGCTGAATGCAGAGGCAGAGAGAGGCAGGGAGAAGGAGAAGGAGACAAGGGAAAGGGACGGGCGGAAGGAGGCGGGGCGGGGGAAGGGGAGGGAGAAGGAGGAGAAGGACAAGGGGAGGGCGGAGAAGGGGAGGGAGAGGGGGAGAGGAGGGAGGGAGCAGGAGGTGCAGAGTAGGATGGAAGATGGGAAGGAGGAGAGGAAAGACGGGGGACTGCTGCAGAGATCTGGCAGTCAAAGAGGGGCGACAGCGAGGGGGGCGAAAGGAGACGCTAAGGGTGGGTCCAGGGATCGAACTGCTGGTTCGTCACCTGTGGTGGGGCCTATGTCCCCAGGAGCAGTAGGGTTGGGAGGTACAGGTTTAGGGGTGGCAGGAGCGGCAGCAGGAAGCATGGTGGTTGGAGCAGCAGGGGCGGCTTTGAGCCAGTCTGCTCCAGAAGCAGCAGCAGCTGCTGCTGCAGCCGCAGCAGGAGGAGCAGGAACAGGAGGAGGAGCAGCAGGGGCAGCACCAGGCATCCAGCACCCCCCAGGGGCGCCCTCCCGCGCTGGAGCCCCCCCAGTGCCCATAATGCCCGCGGGTTTCCCCCCTCCGCCCGCCCACCTTGCCCCCATGCACCACACTCCCCCCGGCATGCCCCACAACCCCCCTGGGATGCCCCCGTCTGGGGCACCTCCTCACGGAGCGGCAGCAGCAGCAGCAGCCGCAGCGGCAGCAGCAGCGGCAGCTGCTGCGTCCATGCCTTTGCCGCTAGGGTTGGGAGGGTGGCCGATCCCTGGGATTGGGTTTTTCCCTCAGGCTGCTGCTGCGGCAGCGGCGGCTGCAGCTGCTGCTGGGTGGCCTCCTCCCTCTGCTGGAGGCCCCTCCTCGCTCCCCTCCTCTCTCCCCTCCTCTCTCGCCTCGTCTCTTCCCTCGTCGCTTCCCTCGTCTCTCCCCTCTTCCCTCCCCGCTTCTCTGTCGCACACAGGGCCGTCACTGCTCCAGCATGCTGGAGTGGCGTCACTGGCACATGCAGGGAGGGACGATGGGGTCTCCTCTCCTGCTCCTCCTGGCCATGTAAGTCACTGTGGCTCCCTTCCCAGTTGTGAGTCGAACAGGGGTTTAGAAATAGGGTTAGGGTTCAGGGTTAGGGTTTAGAGTCGCACTGTCAGTGCTCCAGCATGCTGGAGTGGCGTCACTGGCGCATGCAGGGAGGGACGATGGGGTCTCCTCACCTGCTCCACCTGGCCATGTAAGTCACTGTGGCTCCCTTCCCAGTTGTGAATCGAACAGGGGTTCAAAAGGGGTTAGGGTTCAGGGTTAGGGTTTAGAGTCGCACTGTCAGTGCTGCAGCATGCTGGAGTGGCATCACTGGCACATGCAGCAAGAGACAATGGCTTCTCGTCCCCTGCAGTCCTGCTGCTGTGAGCTCCGCTCCTGGGCACGTAAGTTGGCTGCTTTCCCTTGCAGGTGGTAATCAGCTGTCTGTGAGTGGTGATTCTCTTTCCCAGTTATGAGTCACGCTTCAGCCACTGTGAGACACACTCGGGGTCATCTCACTTCTGCATCATGCCCTTTCTCCCTTGCTGGCCCCGCTCATACTCCCCCTCCCCCCACTCTTCCCCCACCCCCTACACCCCCTCTCTCCCCCACACCCATCCCCCGCCCCGCTTCTCGCCCCTCTCGCCCTCCAGCCGTCACAGCACACTCTGCCGCAACCGCCCCCAGGCTTACTCCCTCTGCCTTCGCAGCAGCAGCAGCAACTGCACGGCAGACGGCCGTGGAAACGTTGTGCCCTGCACGTCTACATCGCCCACTTTATAGAGTTCAATCGGCATGTAGCACGCCAGCAGCACCAGCAGCAGCAACAACAGCAGCAGCAGCAGCAACAACAGCAGCAGCAGCAACAGCAGCAGCAGCATCACCACCACCCGTTCTACCCCCCCCATTTCAGCAATTATGCGGCAGCAGCGGCGGCCGCAGCGGCAGCTGCGGTAGCAGCTTCAAAGCAGCAACCCCCATATGGGATGACCATGCAGGGGCATATGCCTGGTGCGCCTCCCTTTGGTTTGCAAGCAGGTGGGGCAGCAGGCGGAGCAGCAAGTGCAGCAGCAGCAGCAGGTGCAGCGGCTGCAGCAGCAGCAGCAGCAGCGGGGGCGGCAGGCGGGGCAGCAGGCACAGGTATGGCCCAATCATCCCTGCCGTCCTCTCTCCCTGTTCCTCTCTCAGTCCCCCCGACAGACTCTGCTGCGGCTGCTGCTGCCGGTGCCGCTGCCGCTGCTGCAGCTTCGGCAGCTGCAGCTTTGACGGCGGCAGCATCGGCAGCCGCATCCGGTGCAGCAGGTTCGGCGCCTGGAGCTTCTCCGGGCCTGCCACACGGTTTGGGAACGGGTGCAAGTGGGGCAGGGGCAGGGGGAGGTGCAGGGAAGGATAAGATGGTTATTGGTGGAGGCGCAGCAGCAACAGCTGCTGCTGCTTCTGCTGCTGCTAGTGGTAATCTTACAGCAGGAGGGAAGCATCAAAGCCTGCAGCATTCTCAGCAGCAGCAGCAGCAGCAGCAGCAGCAACAGCAGCGGCATCATCCGCAGCAGCAGCACCCACAACAACATCAGCAACAACAGCAGCAACATCAGCAACAGCAACAGCAACAACAGCAACAACAGCAGCAACATCAGCAACAGCAGCAACAACAGCAGCAACATCAGCAACAGCAACAGCAACAGCAACAGCAACAGCAACAGCAACAGCAACAGCAACAGCAGAAACAGCAGCAACAGCAGCAGCAACAGCAGCAACAGCAGAAACAGCAACAGCAGAAACAGCAGCAGCAACAGCCCCACCAGCAACAACAACAGCAGCCGCCGCAACCGAAGCAGTTGACACAGCAGCAGAAGCAGCAACAGCAGCAGCAAGTCCCAGCACCAGCCCAGGCTGGCCTACAAGCAGGCGCTGCTGCTTCTGCTGCTGCTGCTGCTGCTGCTGCTGCAAGTGGCACAGTTGCTGCAAGTGGCACAGTTGCTGCAAGTGGCACAGTTGCTGCAAGTGGCACAGCTGCTGCCGGTGCCACAGGAGTTGCAGCTGGAGTGAGGCACGTGGCATCAGCAGCTGCACAACAGGCAGTTGCAGCAGGAGGTTCTGCTGCTGCTACAGCTGCTGCTACAGCAGCTACTACTGCTACTGCTGCTACAGCTGTCATAAGACCAGCTGGTCCGATTCCTGCTATCTCTCCCATGTTGTTGCATTCCCCTGCCTCTCCTGCCCTACCTGCTACCGGAGCTGTTGCCGGACCTGCGCCAGGGCCAGGCCCCAGGGCTCCTGTGCCTGGTGCCAGACCTGTTCCAGGTTCGGAAGGAGGAGAGAAAAATGGCGCGGGCAGAGGGGTCAGTGGGCAGGTGGCAGGTATGGTTGGTGCTTCAGGTTCGGCAACACCTTCGGCTATGGCAAGTGCCACTACACCTGCTACAGCCGCTGCTGCTACAGTTGGTGCCATGACCAGTGCTGCTGCCGGTGCTGCTTCAACCAGTGCGGTGACAGGCGGTGCTGTGGGTGTAACAACAGGAGCAACAGGAGCAACAGGAGCAGCAGCAGGAGCCGCAGGGGCAGCAGAAGGAGGAGGAGCAGCAGCAGGACCACAAGTGCTGCATGGGCATGCAGTGAAGCTAGGCTCTGCAAACCAGCCTGGCCAGGTTCAGGGGCAAATGAAGGCGCAAGGAGCAGCTGAAACCGCACCATTAGGAGGACCATCAGCAGCAGGGAGGGCTCCTGACGGGACGGTGGGACGAGAGGAGGCTGTAGGGAACCATGTGGGGAGAACTGTCTCCCCTGCTTTACCTGCAGCAGCAGCAGCAGCAACGGCAGCAGGAGTGAAGGCTCCGGGACAGGCACTTGTGCAGGGGCAGAATCAGGTGCAGACTCGGGTGCAAAATCAGGGGCAGGGACAGGGGCAGGTGCAGGGGCGGAATCAGGGGCAGATGGCGCATGTTCCACGAGTGGCAGGTGCTCCGGTTCAGAGCGGTGCTGTTGGGGGGCCGTCCACCCACCTGAGAATACCTGGGATTTTCCCTGCAGGAGTGGCTCAGACAGGGGCGACGCAGACAGGGGCGGTGCAGACAGGGGCGACACAGGCAGGAGCGGTGCAGACAGGGGCAGCACAGGCAGGGGTAGGGCAAGGGGTAGGGCAAGGGGTAGGGCAAGGGGTAGGGCAAGGGGTAGGGCAAGGGGTAGGGCAAGTGGTAGGGCAAGGGGTAGGGCAAGGGGTTGGGCAAGGGGTAGGGCAAGGGGTAGGGCAAGGGGTAGGGCAAGGGGTTGGGCAAGGGGTAGGGCAAGGGGTTGGGCAAGGGGTAGGGCAAGGGGTTGGGCAAGGGGTTGGGCAAGCAAGCGCAGGGCAGGCGGGAATGGGACAGGCAGGGGCAGTGGCACCAGGGTCTGCAGGGGTGGTGCCTGCAGGGGCGGCTCAAGCAGGGGCGGTGGCAGCAGGGGCGGTGGCAGCAGGGGCGGGGTCAGCAGGTGTTATCCAGAGGACAGGAGGGCAGGGATTGGGGATGGGGCTACCAGGGGCCGTACTGTCAGGGAATGTAGGGCAGCACAAGGGGAACACTCTTCCACCGCCACTGTTGTTGCCACAGCAGCAGCAGCAGCAGCAGCAGCAGCAGCAGCAGCAGCAGGGGCAGCAGCAGAAGGGGAATTTCCTTCCGCGCTTGGCCAGTGCATCACCATCAACATCGCCACCGCTGCCACTACCCCTGCCGCAGCTGGGTCAGCAGCCACAGCCGCAACTCGGGCAACAGCGGCAGCAGCAGGAGCCGCCGCAGCAACAGCAGAAGGGGAATGTCCTTCCACGTGTGGCCGGTGCATCACCATCGCCACCGCTGCCACTGCCGCAGCCGCAGCAGTTGGGGCAGCAGCAGTTGGGGCAGCAGCAATTGGGGCAGCAGCAGCAGAAGGGGAATGCACTTCCACGTGTGGCTGGTGCATCACCATCACCATCGCCCCCGCTGCCACTGCCCCTGCCGCAGCTGGGGCAGCAGCAGCAGTTGGGGCAGCAGCACGTTGGGGTGCAGCAAAGACCTGTGTTGCTACCACGATTGCCACAGCAGCAGCAACAGCAACAGGTGAAGGCAACACAGTTAGCGCCACAGAAAGTGCTACTGCCAAAGCTGCAGCAACACCCCCAGCAGTCCCTATTGAACCAGCAGCAGCAACAGCCCCCGCAGCAGCAGCAGCAGGCGAGGGAGGGGCAGGAACCAGCGCAGAAGAGAATGCGAACGGAGAAGGAGCAGATGCAGGGAGTAGCGACAGCAGTGCAGGCAGGCAATGTGGGGGCAGGCAGTGGTGCCGGGGCAGGGAACACAAACGGGGCTGGTGCTGCTGTTGCTCCTGGTTTGAAGGCGCAAGGAGGGCAAATGCAGCTGGGACAGGTGGTACCAGGGCAAATGCTACCAGGACAGGTGCTTTCGAGGCAGGTACAGCCAGGACAGGTGCTATCGGGGCAGGTGCAGTCAGGACAGGGACAACCAGGGCAGGTGCTACCAGGGCAGGTGGTACCAGGGCAGGTGCTACCAGGGCCGGTACCACTGGCCCAGGTGCAGCGGGGTCAGGTGCAAGCAGGACAGGTGGCATCAGAGCAGGTGCAGCCGGGGCAGGTGCAGCCGGGGCAGGTGCAGCCGGGGCAGGTGCAGCTCCAGCCCGGGCAGGTGCCCCTGGGACAGGTGCAGGCAGGGAAGGTGCAGCCGGGGCAGGTGCCACCTGTAACAGCAGCACCTGTTGTGGCACCTCTTGGAGCAGCAGCAGCGTCTGTGGCACCAACACCACCAGCAGCAGCAGCAGCAGCAGCAGCAGCAGCAGCAGCAGCAGCAGCAGCAGCAGCAGCAGCAGCAGCAGCAGCAGCAGCAGCAGCAACAGCAGCACTACCAGCAGTGGTACCAGCAGCAGCACCAGCAGCAGCACCAGCAGCACTACCAGCAGCAGCAACAGCAGCACTACCAGCAGTGGTACCAGCAGCAGCACCAGTGTCAAATCCTGTTGTACCAGTGCCTGTTCCACTAGAGGCACAGGGGCAGGCACAGGGGCAGGGGCAGGGGCCTGCTGGGAAGGTGGTATCCGTGCCTGTTCTTCCAGGGCAGGTGCCACCTGGGCAGGTTCTTCCAGGGCAGGTACCACCTGGCAAGGAGCTGCCTTCCATTACAGCCCCGGTTTCCACAATAGCTCTAGGAAGCAATGCAGCAACAGGGCAGCAACAGCAGCCGCAGCAGCAGCAGCAGCCGCAGCAGCAGCAGCAGCAGCAGCAGCATGGGAAAGGTATGCCTGCGCCTCCAGCACTCACGTGTGCTCTCAAGGGAACCGCTGTGCCTGTTCTCCCTGCACAGACGTCTGCTGCTAAGATTCCTCCTGTGCTTGTTCCCTCAGCAGAGGCGTCTGCTGTCAAGGTTGCTCCTGTTCTTGTTCCCTCTGCACACGAATCCACTGCTAAGGCTGCTGCAGTGCTTGGGCCACCAGCGCACGATTTTACTGCCAAAGTGGTTCCTCTGCTTGTGCCTCTCCCCCCTGCCCAAGGCCCCCCACTGAGGCCGCGCACTCCTGTTCCCCCAACCCCTGTCCCCCCCGCTCCTCTTCCCCCCACCCCTGTTCCGCCAGTTCTAGCTTCTGCTGCTCCCCCTCCTGTTGCTCCCTCTACCGCTCCCACTGCAGCGCCTGCTGCAACGACTGTAGCGGCTGCTGTAGCGCCTGTAGCGTCGGCAGCACCTGTAGCACCTGTAGCTTCGGCAGCACCTGTAGCGCCTGTAGCACCTGTAGCGCCTGCCATATCGCCTGCAGTGCTTGCTGTAGCTTCTGCAATGCCTGCTGTAGCGCCTGTAGCGTCGGCAGCACCTGTAGCGCCTGCCATATCGCCTGCAGGGGCTGCTGTAGCATCCGCAACGCCTTCTGCAGCGTCGGTAGCACCTGCTGTAGCACTTGCAGCACCTACTGTAGCGCCTACAGCACCTGCTGTAACGCCTGCAGTGGCTGTTGTAGCATCCGCAACGCCTGTAGCGCCTGCTGTAGCACCTGTACCGCCTGGCGCAACGTCTGTGATGGCTGCTGTAGCTCCTGTAGCGCATGTAGCACCTGTAGCCTCTGCTGTAGCGCCTGCTGTAGCACCTGCTGAAAGGCCTCAAGCACTATCTGCAATGCCTGTAGCGCCCGCTGTAGCGCCTTCTGTGGCTGCTGTAGCAGCTGTAACGCCAGTAGCGCCTTTGCCGCAGTCAGCGCCTCCAGCTGTAACGCCTGCTGTAGCGCCTGCGGTAACGCTGTTTGTAGCGCCTGTAGCACCTGCTGTACCTGCTGTAGCGACTGTAGCGCCTGCTGTAGCGCCCGCAGTAATGCCTGCTGTTGCGCCTGTAGCACCGACAACGTTTGCTGTAACGGCTGTAGCACCTGCTGTAACGGCTGTAGCACCTTCTGCAACGGCCGTGGCACCTGCTGTAATGGCCGTAGCACCTGCTGCAACGGCTGTAGCACCTGCTGTAGCGGCTGTGGCACCTGCTGTACCTGCCGTGGCGACTGTAGCGCCTGGGTCTCAGTCCACACTGTCTCCTGCTGTTGATGCTTCAGTTGCTGCACCTCCTGCTGCTGTGGTTGCTTCTGCAGAGTCAGCTGCCTTGCCAGGAGCAACGAGTGCAGCAACAGCAGGATCAGCACCACCAGCAACAGGAAAGTCTCCTGCTGTTGTGGCTGGCGCTCCGTCTGCCGTTAAGGGAGAGTCAACAGCAGCGGCAGGAGCAACGAGTGTAGCAGCAGCAGGAGCAACAGCAGCAAAACCAACAGCAGCAGCGACAGCGCCAGCAGCAGCAGCGGCATCACTACCAGCGGCGGCATCAGTGGCACCAGAACGAGCAGCAACAGCACCAACAGTTACAGCACCAGCAGCAGCAGCAGCAGGAACAGCAGCAGCGACAGCACTACCAGCGGTGGCACCAGCAGCACCAGAACGAGCAGCGGCAGCACCTACAGTTGCAGCAGCATCACCAGCAGCAGCAGCAACAGCAGCAACAGCGATACTTCCAATCACAGCAGCACCACCAGCGGTAGCAGTAGTAGCAGGAACTGAAACACCCACACCCACAGCCAGACCTCTTACAGTCACAAACACAGCTCCAACCTCACCCACAGTCACACCCGCACCCACTGTGACACCCACATTGACACCCACAGTTGCGCCCATGGTGACAGCCGCAGTGACACTCACAGTGATACCCACAGTTGCGCCCACGGTGACACCCACATTGACACCCACAGACACAGTAGCTCCCACAGTGACACCCGCAGTGACGCTCACAGTGACACCCATAGTTACATCGGCAGCAAAGCAATCCGTTGATACACCAGCAACACCCGGTACCAGGGGAACAAGTGTGCAGAGCAAAGTGATGGAGGGAGGGGAGGGAGAGAGGACGGGAGGGGAAGGGGAGAGGAATGGACGGGAGGGGGATAAAAAGGGAGTGGAGGGAGAGAAAAAGGGAGAGGAGGGAGAGAAAAAGGAAAGGGAGGGAGAGAAAAAGGGAGAGGGAGAGAACAAAGGAGAGGAGGGAGAGAAAAAGGGAGAGGAGGGAGGAGAAAAGGGAGTGGAGGGAGAGAAAAAGGGAGAGGAGGGAGAGAAAAAGGGAGAGGAGGGATGGAAAAGGGGAGAGGAGGGAGAGAAAAAGGGAGAGGATGGAGAGAGAAAGGGAGGGGAGGGGGAAGGGAAGGGTGGGGAGGGAGCAACAGCCACTCCCAATGGAGCAAGTGTGCAGAGCAAAGGGGTGGAGGGAGGGGTTGCAGCAGCAGCTGCACCGGCAGCAGCAGCAGCAAAAGCACCAGCCAAGACCCCACAACTCCCTGTTGAGCCAGCTGCATGTGCCCCAGTTACAACTCAAACCGCAGTTATACCCCCCCCAGAAACCCCTGCTTCAGCTGTAGCTTTCTCCTCAGGTGTACCCGCTTTAATCGATCCCGCTGTGCCTGCTACAGCCGCAGAGGCAGCTGCAGCTGCTGCAGCTACAGCGGCACCCAGTGCTGCAGCTACAGCTGCACCCAGTGCTGCTGCTGTGCCTTGTGGTGCTGCAGCTCCTGATAAAGTCACTCCTGGTACAGTAACAATTGGATCTGGGCCTGCTGCTGCTACAGCTGCTCCTGTTAGAGTCACACATGGGGCAGTAGCGCCCGTACCTGTTGCAACTGCGCCTCCCCGTGTTGCTTCTGCTACAGATGCACCTACCCCAAATGCTGCCGCTACAGCTGCATCTTCCCCAAGTGCTGCTGCGACAGCTGCGCCGTCCCCAGTCCCTGCTGCTACAGATGCACCTACCCCAAGTGCTGCTGCTACAGATGTACCTTCTCCAGTCCCTGCTGCTACAGATGCACCTGTGTCCGTGACTGCTGCAGCATTACCTGCAGTGGCAGCAGCAGCAGAGGGCGAGAGGAAGGGAGGGGAGGGAGAGAAGAAGGAAGAGAAGAAGGGAGGGGAGGGAGAAAAGAAGGAAGAGAAGAAGGGAGGGGAGGGAGAGAAGAAGGAAGGAGAGGGAGAGAAAAAGTGCGGGGAGGGAGAGAAGAAGGGAGGGGAGGTAGAGGAGAATGGAGGGGAGGGAGAGAAGGAGGCGACAGCACCAGCAGCAGCACCAGCAGCATCACTAGTGGCAGCACGGGTGGCAGCACCGGCAGCGGCAGCACCGGTGGCAGCACCAGCAGCAGCACCACCCGCAGCACCACCAGCAGCACCGGTGGCAGCACTAGCGACAGTGGCAACACCAGCGGCAGCACCAGCGGCAGCACCAGTGGCAGCACCAGCGGCAGCACCAGTGGCAGCACCAGTAGCAACACCAGCGGCAGCACCAGTAGCAACACCAGCGGCAGCACCAGTAGCAACACCAGCGGCAGCACCAGTAGCAGCACCAGCGGCAGCACCAGTAGCAGCACCAGCGGCAGCACCAGTAGCAGCACCAGCGGCAGCACCAGTAGCAGCACCAGCGGCAGCACCAACGGCAGCACCAGCGGCAGCACCAGCGGCAGCAGCTGGAGAAATTAAGCAGCTTGGCTTGGGAGTAGCAGCAGGGGCAGCCTCGGGAGCAGGGACAGGCTCGGGAGTAGCAGCAGGGGAAAAGGAGGGAAGGGCCAAGGAGGAACCTGAGAGAATGGATGTGGATGGGGAAAACGCGGATGGGGAGACGGGGGATGGGAAGAAAGCGGATGGAGATGGGGATAAGAATAGTTGTGAGAGGATGGATATAGATGGGGAAGGGAATGGGGCAGCACACGGGGTGGTTGTTGGAAGGGTGGAGGGCGGTAAAGCGAGCGTGGAAGGGCGGGTGGACATGCGGCAGGAGAGCTAGGGTGTGCTGGGTACTGTGTCTATCCTGGTTCGATATGTTTTGAGACGCACATTAGGGTGACCCTGACGTCTCAGAGCAAATCCATCTTCACGTGGCAAGAGAGCTAGGGCGTGCTGGGTAATGTGTGCATCCTGGTTCGATTCCTGCTGGGGCTGGTTCTGCAACGTAAGGACGATTTAACAGCTAGCTGGGTAAGGAGGGCGGGTGGACATGCGGCAGGAGAGCTAGGGTGTGTACTGTGTGCATCCTGGTTCAATACCTGCTGGGCCTGGTTCTGCAACATAAGGACGATTTAACAGCTAGTTGGGTAAGGAGGGCGGGTGGACATGCGGCAGGAGAGCTAGGGTGTGCTGGGTAAGGTGCGTCCCGGTTCGAGCCCTGCTGAGGCAGGTTTTGCGGCATAAGGGACGGATTGAGCAGCTAGCTGTAGAGCAATCGAGCTTGTAAATAGGGCTGCAGCAGCATCAGCAGCAGGCAGCATATCCAGAAGCGGCTGTAGGCCTGCCTGTAGCAGGAGCAGCTGTAGCAGCAGTTGCAGTAAAGTATAAGGAAAGTGAGCTAGTATCGGTGGTAATAGCAGTAGCAGTAGCTGGTGGCGAGGAGGATAGAGGTGTGGAGTGCGGTTGGAAGGAGGGTGGTGGTAAGGAGGAGAAAAGGGGTGGAGCATAATTGGAGGATAGTGGCCGTTTAGCGGTAGAACAGGGGCGTCAATATTAGGTGCCTCGATAATAGTCCCCAGTATTTGGTAATATTAGGTGACTCTAGAGTTGGCACTGAGAATTCATTAACAGGAGGAGAATGGAGCAGAGTGAAGAGCAGCAAGAGGTATGGATGGGTGCTTAGGAGTTTCAAAGGTATGAATGGAGTACCTTTTCCTTCCGTTTTTTTTTTTTTTTTTTTTTTTCCTCAAGCCCTCCTCCCTGTGCTGTTGTTCAAATATCGATACTGTACTACACTGCCCTCCGTCTCACCTTGCCTTCAGGGCTCCAATAGGACACGGGCGGAAGGGCTTCACTTCACTGCAGTGCCAACACGAAAGAACCATTCGCCTTAAAAAGTCATCCATTGAGAATGGTGATGGGAGTATGTGGAGTGGATAAGTGGGATGTATGGAATGGGAATAAGGCTGGTGTGAGAGAGTGCTTGCCTGGAGAGTGCTTATAGAGAATGCACTCTACTCCATGCTCGATAGAAGAGTGGTCTGCACTGCACTGCGGATTGGTTGGTGGCGTGGTTGGTTGGTTGGCACACATTTGATGGCGTGTGTGTGTGCCTCTGACTTGGTTCGGCTCGGCCAGCACGACGACAACCTTACCGTACCTGATTTGCTAACAATGCTGATATTCGTTGGTTCACTGACTTGCAGATTCGCTGCCTAGACTATACTGTCTCCTCGTATAAGAGGATACACTTAGGGTTGGTCACAGATTTAGTAGATGCTTTTGTTTACTTAGCTAGCTAAGCCCTTCGTTACCATCTGCATGCCATGAAAATTCGTTACCTACAATACATAAGCTAATAGAGATACACTCCTGTTTTGTTTCTAGTGTGGTTTCGCACGGTCTAGTCCTCTTCACCAGCGCCAATCACCATTGCCCTCCTGGTATGCACCGCGAAGTCCAACTCATATTCCAGCTCCGCTTCCGCCGCCGCATCAACCGCTGCCTCTCTCCAGTCCACATTTCCCAAGCCTGCCACCTCATCATCGTCCTCACCTCCACCATCATATCGTGAACCATCGTATCGTGACAAACGGCTAACAGTGATATCTTCTTCCTCTTCTTGTAGAGCCCCATCCTCTCCCCAAAACACGTGTACGGGTCGCACGTGCTCTTGCTCCTCCTCCTCCTCCTCTTCCTCGTCTTCCTCCCCTGTCTCTTCTTCTACCCCCTGGCTTCCTGTATTTTCGTAGACGATCTCAATCCGTTTGTCATGAGACAGTCTCAATCTCCTTCTAATCTTCGTCAAAGAAGCGGAGAGAGATGACGGACGAAAACGGACTGGAAGCTCCTGCTGGTGTAGGAGGATTAGCTCTGCTGACGAGATTCCGTCAAGCTCCGTCAACGGAATCCCGTTTACTTCCGTCCGCCGACGTCAGAACAGCTTCGTGTTCTTATCTGCCCGGAAAACATGAAACGACCTGAAGGAACCAACTTCTTGGTCCCACTTTTCTTCCGCTCCTCCTTGAAACAATATGCGACTCCACGCGTGTGATGCACGTGTCCGCTCCAAGGAAGCACGTGGCCCAACCCGTGGTGCACGTGGCTGCGCGTGTGCTGCACGTGTCCGCACAGCCACTTCCTCGTAGTACGGCGCGTCTAGACTGCCGAACACCATCTGGTCGTTGTCGCCGATTTCAGGTTCCTCCTGCAAAGAACCATCAGCTGCTCGAAACACATGCAGCGGGACTGCAAGCTCCCCGTTGCCTCCCTTCTCCGCCTCCTCCCCCTCCCCCTCCGCCTCCTCCCCCTCCCCCTCCTCCTCCTCCCCCTCCCCCTCCTCCATCCCCTCCACTTCGTTCTTCGTGAAGATGGAATGATCCGGTAACGTACTCGTGGCAAGGGCCATGCCTTTCTTGCTCCTCACCGCCGTATCTTCTAAATATAGCGCGTCTGCTCTTATCGCGGCCTCCAGCCATGCGGCATCTCCCGCGTCAGCATCCGTAGGGTCTGACGTGTCCACAAGCTCAAGATCCAGAATCTCCGGAACGCGTTTCTCGGGGATCTCGATGAGGTCTATGGCGAACGGAGCGCGAAAGACGTGAAACGGAGATTCTGTCGGGTTTTGAGTCGCAGTGTTATTAATGGCCGTCGTGTTTTCGTTTCCGACCCTCGACGGCACCAGCGCTTCGAAATGCGCGTGGGACCCGTCTGTTGCGGATCGCAGATGGGATGCGGGGTAGGAGCGGCCGGCGGGAGACGCGGGGAGCGAGAAGAGAGCTGCGGAGGCTGTGGCGATAAGGGGAAAGGCGAGGAGAAACGAAAGAATGCGGCGCGAAAGGTGGGATTGGTGGAAAGATAAGCGTTGCTGATTTGACGCGCGACGAGAGGCCATAGCGATTGTGAAAGGCCGTTTTAACGCAAGGGGCTCCTTAACGAAAATTGCGAGAACCTGGCGACGTCGGAACAGATGCTTATGACGACGGTCGTTCCCTTGGTAATGATCCAACGGCGGACTTAATAGCACCTAAATCTAAACTGACAGCGACGGGTTCTTTAGTTCACAACATGAGGACCTTGACCCGATTCTGAGATCTTTATCTACGAGCGACGACCCTGAAATATATAATGGTTCAAGGTTTGAGCTCTCGTAAAGTTGCGTCTAAGCGAAACCGCAGGTTGAAACAGCAGAGGTTCCTGAGGGCATGCGATTCGAAATACCAGATGTCGAGACAGGGGCGACGCGTGGGCACAGCTGCATCTGGTGCTGCGGCTCTCACGACAAGACTCATGCACTCATGGACTCGTGTGGTATCCAGTAGCATCATCCAGCACATGGACTCATGGCTACGGTCCATGCCCATCGGAAGAGTAAACCCACGGTATTCCCCTGCGCGAACTGCGGCAGGTGCAGCCTAATTCAGAACAACCTCATGCGGAGTTGCTTGCAGTGTCCAAATTTCGCAATTGATGTGTTCCCTCGCTCCGACTTCGAATGAGAAGTCAGAGACACCTTCGAAACAAGGACGAAATTTGTGGCAGAACTCTCTGCTGCATGCGGCTCGCTGCTGAATTTCAAAGTTGCGCTTCGGACATAATCCGATGAAGGGCCCGGATGGAATTCTCTTTGCGAGACGCGAATTTGACTGTCAGAAGCGCGAAAGCGACTCCACCATTAGCAGTTCGTCATACAAGTCGTATGGTACACTTCGAATAAAAAAAACCTCCGCGGTAAAGTATAACAATGTCAGAAAACAGCCCACACTACAGTAGATGACTATCTTACAGGACCTTGTGCTAGAACAATGTGCATCTCAGATTACACTGAACTGAAGTCATAAACTAAAGACTCCACAGAACATGGTTGCATGCACGGCTATGACAGCACATTATGCTTTGCGAACATTGCATTAATACGATACAAGTTTTTAAGACGTTTTCTCAGCACCAGCAATACAAGCTGGCGCAATTGTTTTGTTATATCCACTTGTTCACCAGTTGACATGTGCACGGCACGGCCAATCTCCATGCAGCTATGGGACAACACTAGAAGTTGGCTAGGGCAATCACGCGCATGCGCCGCTTTCGACAAAGTCTTGGACAGGAATGTGACGCACGGGTGGGAAATAAATGCCAATTTCAAAACGAGGAGCTTGGACGCGATTACCTTCGAGTTGACTCATAGTAAGGCAAAACTAGCTAGACTCATGAGTCACAGTCCTCATCATTCGATGACGCAGGAGGGAAGACGGTGGGCAGGGTTCGAATGAGGAGCTCGAATGAGGTGAAGGTGATGACTGCAGCAGGTGTGGTTCTAAAGAGGTTTGTCACACAACCCCGATAAAACCCGCGAATGCCTTCCTCTTTGAATATCTGAACAGCAAGTCGATTGGCAAAAACAGGGGTAAGAACGCGAAGAGAGGATATTAGCCTGTTACCGGGTCCAAATTGCTCCAATAAAACCCAAGAACGCCCTCCTTGAATTCCTGAACAACAATTTGGAAGAAATAGATTACGAGGAGAGAACTGGGGATTTTGGGGAAGAGAAGAGCAGAACACAAGGGATAAACAGGAGAAATGCGTAATCTGGTGCGGCTGAAGACAGCAAGCTGACGTAAAGCCAGCATACACAAATAAACCTACAGGCTTGAGCTGGACTCACCCGCGTTATACAGTCCCCCACGCCAGTGTAACGGTGTGCATTCCCCAGGTCCTTCCCCTGCTCCTGAAGCCGTGCCCTCACCACCTGGAGGTGGGAGCAAAAGGAGGAGTGAGCAGACAAACGAGGGAAACAGGTGTGAGTGAGGTACACATGTTTTCAGTTGATTCGGAATATAGCAACTTGAGTTGAGTCTCCTACCTAGACTCTCGTATGAGAGTTCTAAGAGCGAATTTCGTTCTTACAAGGAGTGGAATAGGCGTACGTGCGATTGAGGTATGTGAAGTTTGAGCTTGGTTGCGGTTACCTCACGTGGGTACGTGAGTGTTGAGGCAAAGACTTTAGAGATGGCAGAGGCTGCTGCTAGCTGGGGGCCCGTAGCCTTCCTTACTACCTTATAGCTTGGGGATTGCATTCCACCACAGTATAGGCCTGGCTGGGGGGTTTACCTCATGCGGGTACGTGAGTGTTGAGGCAAAGACTTTAGAGATGGCAGAGGCTGCTGCTAGCTGGGGGGCCGTGAGAGTGTCAGTGGTTGATCCTTCTGTTGGGACACGAGTGGACAAGGGGAGGGAGGGCGGACGGGGGGGTGAGACGTCTGAAACGAAAATGGCAGAGGTTGCTGCTAGCTGGAGGGCTGTGGGAGTGTCGGTTGTTGAGCCTTCTGTTGGGACGCGAGTAAAAAAGGAGAGGGAGGGAAGGGGAGAGAGAGAAAGGGAGGCAGGTAGGGTAGTGTGGGTGAGGGTGCGGGTGCCAGTGATTGGCCCTCAGAGACTTTGGAGATGGCGGAGGCTGCTGCCAGCTGGGAAGTGATTCTGCCAAAACGCTCTGAGCCTTCTGTTAGGACGAGATGGGACGTGGGATGTGGAGGAAGAGAGGTGGAGCGGGAGAATGAGGTGAGCGGAGGGGGTAAGAGAGGGGCAGTGAGGGTGGCGGATCATGCATCTTTTGAGTGAGGGTGATACTCAAAAGCGAGGGAGTCACTTTTGAGTATCTTTGCATGCCATCTGCTCACCTCGGCACGCCATCTGCTGCTTGATATACTCGTACATGGGGAACTGGATCGCCACGTGGCTTATGCCTTCTAGTGTGGTGTGGTGCGGTGTGGTGTGGTGTGGTGTGGTGTGGTGTGGTGTGGTGTTGAACTGTATAGTGTGGTGTGGTGTGGTAACACACATGCTACTGCTCTGCTCACCTCTACACGCCATCTGCTGCTTGATATACTCGTACATGGGGAACTGGATCGCCACGTGGCTTATGCCTGCTAGTGCCGGCACCACCCCACTGCTCACACGCACCAACCAATCAGAGCAGAGAGAGAGGGAGAAAGAGAGACTTCAGAAGTGCGCACAAGGGCGGAAAAACGTTCATACCCCCTCTCCCTCCCCCTCCCCTCACCTGTACAACCCCCCCAGCCCCTCCTCTCTGGTAATCCGCATCAGGGCTTAAAACGCTCACTCATACGCCTCACCTCCCTTCCCACCCCCCTGAACCGCTTTACCCTCTCCCTCCCCCTCCCCTCGCCTATACCATCCCCCCAGCCCTTCCTCTCTGTGATCCGCATCAGGGCTGAAAACGCTCACTCATACGCCTCACCTCCCTTCCCACCCCCCTGAACCGCTTTACCCTCTCCCTCCCCCTCCCCTCGCCTATACCATCCCCCCAGCCCTTCCTCTCTGTGATCCGCATCAGGGCTGAAAACGCTCACTCATACGCCTCACCTCCCTTCCCACCCCCCTGCAACATTCTCCCTTCCCCTCTCCCCCTTCTTCGCCCCCCATCTCACCTGTACAATCCCCCCAGCCCCTCCTCTCTGGTGATCCGCACAAGGGCTGAAAACGCCCACTCATACGCCTCACGTCTCTCCCCATTCCCATGCACCTTCCTCACTCCCCCTCTTTCAAACTCCCCCCATCTCACCTGTACAGCCCTCCCAGCCCCTCTTCTCTGGTGATCCGCACAAGGGCTGAAAACGCTCGCTCATACGCCTCACCACTTCCCATCCCCCTGAACCGCTTTACCCTCCCCCTCTTCTCCCCCTCACTCACCTGTACAGCCCTCCCAGCCCCTCCTCTCTTGTAATCCGCACAAGGGCGGAAAACGTTCCCCTGTAGGGCTCACCTCTCTTCCCAACCCTCTGCAACTTTCTCCCTTCCCCCCTGCAACTTTCTCCCTTCCCCTCTCCCCCCTCTTCTCCCTCCCCTCACCTGTACAATCCCCCCAGCCCTTCCTCTCTGGTGATCCGCACAAGGGCTGAAAACGTTCCCTTGTAGGGCCGTCTGTTGGTCCGCATGGCTTGAGTCTGGTGATCGATGGAATGGGAGGGGGAGAGGGGTGTAAGGGGGGAGGAGGGGGTTAGGTGGGTGGGGAAACTAGCAGCCCCTCCTCTCTGGTGATCCGCACAAGGGCTGAAAACGTTCCCTTGTAGGGCCGTCTGTTGGTTCGCATGGCTTGAGTCTGGTGTTGCAGTGGGGGGAGGGAGGGAGAGGGGAGGGAGGGGGGAGGGAAGGGAATAACGGTAGGGTGTGGGTATGAGGTATGGTTTGGAATTTTTCCTAGTGCCTCAAAAATCGCCCCCCTGTACGGCCGTCTGTGGATTCTCCTGGCTTGGGTCTGGTTTTGCTGGGGGGAGACGGGGAGAGGGGGAGATGGGGAGGGGGGGAGAGGGGACGAGGGGAAGAGGGGAAGAGGGGAAGAGGGTTGGTGGCGAGGACAGTCGCTGTGCCTGCTCCTGCTGCTTTGAATCGACTCAATTCAAGGCTCGATAATTCCCTACTCCCTGTAGTTTTCCCAACAACTCACCTGCAGTCTTGTCTTGACGACCCACAGGGGGTTGGTGGCGAGGACAGTCGCTGTGCCTGCTCCTGCTGCTTTGAATCGACTCAATTCAAGGCTCGATAATTCCCTACTCCCTGTAGTTTTCCCAACAACTCACCTGCAGTCTTGTCTTGACGACCCACAGGGGGTTGGTGGCGAGGACAGTCGCTGTGCCTGCTCCTGCTGCTTTGAATCGACTCAATTCAAGGCTCGATAATTCCCTACTCCCTGTAGTTTTCCCAACAACTCACCTGCAGTCTTGTCTTGACGACCCACAGGGGGTTGGTGGCGAGGACAGTCGCTGTGCCTGCTCCTGCTGCTTTGAATCGACTCAATTCAAGGCTCGATAATTCCCTACTCCCTGTAGTTTTCCCAACAACTCACCTGCAGTCTTGTCTTGACGACCCACAGGGGGTTGGTGGCGAGGACAGTCGCTGTGCCTGCTCCTGCTGCTTTGAATCGACTCAATTCAAGGCTCGATAATTCCCTACTCCCTGTAGTTTTCCCAACAACTCACCTGCAGTCTTGTCTTGACGACCCACAGGGGGTTGGTGGCGAGGACAGTCGCTGTGCCTGCTCCTGCTGCTTTGAATCGACTCAATTCAAGGCTCGATAATTCCCTACTCCCTGTAGTTTTCCCAACAACTCACCTGCAGTCTTGTCTTGACGACCCACAGGGGGTTGGTGGCGAGGACAGTCGCTGTGCCTGCTCCTGCTGCTTTGAATCGACTCAATTCAAGGCTCGATAATTCCCTACTCCCTGTAGTTTTCCCAACAACTCACCTGCAGTCTTGTCTTGACGACCCACAGGGGGTTGGTGGCGAGGACAGTCGCTGTGCCTGCTCCTGCTGCTTTGAATCGACTCAATTCAAGGCTCGATAATTCCCTACTCCCTGTAGTTTTCCCAACAACTCACCTGCAGTCTTGTCTTGACGACCCACAGGGGGTTGGTGGCGAGGACAGTCGCTGTGCCTGCTCCTGCTGCTTTGAATCGACTCAATTCAAGGCTCGATAATTCCCTACTCCCTGTAGTTTTCCCAACAACTCACCTGCAGTCTTGTCTTGACGACCCACAGGGGGTTGGTGGCGAGGACAGTCGCTGTGCCTGCTCCTGCTGCTTTGAATCGACTCAATTCAAGGCTCGATAATTCCCTACTCCCTGTAGTTTTCCCAACAACTCACCTGCAGTCTTGTCTTGACGACCCACAGGGGGTTGGTGGCGAGGACAGTCGCTGTGCCTGCTCCTGCTGCTTTGAATCGACTCAATTCAAGGCTCGATAATTCCCTACTCCCTGTAGTTTTCCCAACAACTCACCTGCAGTCTTGTCTTGACGACCCACAGGGGGTTGGTGGCGAGGACAGTCGCTGTGCCTGCTCCTGCTGCTTTGAATCGACTCAATTCAAGGCTCGATAATTCCCTACTCCCTGTAGTTTTCCCAACAACTCACCTGCAGTCTTGTCTTGACGACCCACAGGGGGTTGGTGGCGAGGACAGTCGCTGTGCCTGCTCCTGCTGCTTTGAATCGACTCAATTCAAGGCTCGATAATTCCCTACTCCCTGTAGTTTTCCCAACAACTCACCTGCAGTCTTGTCTTGACGACCCACAGGGGGTTGGTGGCGAGGACAGTCGCTGTGCCTGCTCCTGCTGCTTTGAATCGACTCAATTCAAGGCTCGATAATTCCCTACTCCCTGTAGTTTTCCCAACAACTCACCTGCAGTCTTGTCTTGACGACCCACAGGGGGTTGGTGGCAAGGACAGTCGCTGTGCCTGCTCCTGCTGCTTTGAATCGACTCAATTCAAGGCTCGATAATTCCCTACTCCCTGTAGTTTTCCCAACAACTCACCTGCAGTCTTGTCTTGACGACCCACAGGGGGTTGGTGGCGAGGACAGTCGCTGTGCCTGCTCCTGCTGCTTTGAATCGACTCAATTCAAGGCTCGATAATTCCCTACTCCCTGTAGTTTTCCCAACAACTCACCTGCAGTCTTGTCTTGACGACCCACAGGGGGTTGGTGGCGAGGACAGTCGCTGTGCCTGCTCCTGCTGCTTTGAATCGACTCAATTCAAGGCTCGATAATTCCCTACTCCCTGTAGTTTTCCCAACAACTCACCTGCAGTCTTGTCTTGACGACCCACAGGGGGTTGGTGGCGAGGACAGTCGCTGTGCCTGCTCCTGCTGCTTTGAATCGACTCAATTCAAGGCTCGATAATTCCCTACTCCCTGTAGTTTTCCCAACAACTCACCTGCAGTCTTGTCTTGACGACCCACAGGGGGTTGGTGGCGAGGACAGTCGCTGTGCCTGCTCCTGCTGCTTTGAATCGACTCAATTCAAGGCTCGATAATTCCCTACTCCCTGTAGTTTTCCCAACAACTCACCTGCAGTCTTGTCTTGACGACCCACAGGGGGTTGGTGGCGAGGACAGTCGCTGTGCCTGCTCCTGCTGCTTTGAATCGACTCAATTCAAGGCTCGATAATTCCCTACTCCCTGTAGTTTTCCCAACAACTCACCTGCAGTCTTGTCTTGACGACCCACAGGGGGTTGGTGGCGAGGACAGTCGCTGTGCCTGCTCCTGCTGCTTTGAATCGACTCAATTCAAGGCTCGATAATTCCCTACTCCCTGTAGTTTTCCCAACAACTCACCTGCAGTCTTGTCTTGACGACCCACAGGGGGTTGGTGGCGAGGACAGTCGCTGTGCCTGCTCCTGCTGCTTTGAATCGACTCAATTCAAGGCTCGATAATTCCCTACTCCCTGTAGTTTTCCCAACAACTCACCTGCAGTCTTGTCTTGACGACCCACAGGGGGTTGGTGGCGAGGACAGTCGCTGTGCCTGCTCCTGCTGCTTTGAATCGACTCAATTCAAGGCTCGATAATTCCCTACTCCCTGTAGTTTTCCCAACAACTCACCTGCAGTCTTGTCTTGACGACCCACAGGGGGTTGGTGGCGAGGACAGTCGCTGTGCCTGCTCCTGCTGCTTTGAATCGACTCAATTCAAGGCTCGATAATTCCCTACTCCCTGTAGTTTTCCCAACAACTCACCTGCAGTCTTGTCTTGACGACCCACAGGGGGTTGGTGGCGAGGACAGTCGCTGTGCCTGCTCCTGCTGCTTTGAATCGACTCAATTCAAGGCTCGATAATTCCCTACTCCCTGTAGTTTTCCCAACAACTCACCTGCAGTCTTGTCTTGACGACCCACAGGGGGTTGGTGGCGAGGACAGTCGCTGTGCCTGCTCCTGCTGCTTTGAATCGACTCAATTCAAGGCTCGATAATTCCCTACTCCCTGTAGTTTTCCCAACAACTCACCTGCAGTCTTGTCTTGACGACCCACAGGGGGTTGGTGGCGAGGACAGTCGCTGTGCCTGCTCCTGCTGCTTTGAATCGACTCAATTCAAGGCTCGATAATTCCCTACTCCCTGTAGTTTTCCCAACAACTCACCTGCAGTCTTGTCTTGACGACCCACAGGGGGTTGGTGGCGAGGACAGTCGCTGTGCCTGCTCCTGCTGCTTTGAATCGACTCAATTCAAGGCTCGATAATTCCCTACTCCCTGTAGTTTTCCCAACAACTCACCTGCAGTCTTGTCTTGACGACCCACAGGGGGTTGGTGGCGAGGACAGTCGCTGTGCCTGCTCCTGCTGCTTTGAATCGACTCAATTCAAGGCTCGATAATTCCCTACTCCCTGTAGTTTTCCCAACAACTCACCTGCAGTCTTGTCTTGACGACCCACAGGGGGTTGGTGGCGAGGACAGTCGCTGTGCCTGCTCCTGCTGCTTTGAATCGACTCAATTCAAGGCTCGATAATTCCCTACTCCCTGTAGTTTTCCCAACAACTCACCTGCAGTCTTGTCTTGACGACCCACAGGGGGTTGGTGGCGAGGACAGTCGCTGTGCCTGCTCCTGCTGCTTTGAATCGACTCAATTCAAGGCTCGATAATTCCCTACTCCCTGTAGTTTTCCCAACAACTCACCTGCAGTCTTGTCTTGACGACCCACAGGGGGTTGGTGGCGAGGACAGTCGCTGTGCCTGCTCCTGCTGCTTTGAATCGACTCAATTCAAGGCTCGATAATTCCCTACTCCCTGTAGTTTTCCCAACAACTCACCTGCAGTCTTGTCTTGACGACCCACAGGGGGTTGGTGGCGAGGACAGTCGCTGTGCCTGCTCCTGCTGCTTTGAATCGACTCAATTCAAGGCTCGATAATTCCCTACTCCCTGTAGTTTTCCCAACAACTCACCTGCAGTCTTGTCTTGACGACCCACAGGGGGTTGGTGGCGAGGACAGTCGCTGTGCCTGCTCCTGCTGCTTTGAATCGACTCAATTCAAGGCTCGATAATTCCCTACTCCCTGTAGTTTTCCCAACAACTCACCTGCAGTCTTGTCTTGACGACCCACAGGGGGTTGGTGGCGAGGACAGTCGCTATGCCTGCTCCTGCTGCTTTGAATCGACTCAATTCAAGGCTCGATAATTCCCTACTCCC